GGAACGTTGGTGGTTTCCAGAGGGTGGATAGGTGGGTGTGTCCTGTGTGTCAAATTCTTCGTAGATTGGCATATGGCGCATCCATCCACGTATTCATGGACGAATTTTGTCATGTTTTGCCACCAGTAGTGTCGTTGCACCATTTCCAATGTTTTTGCTCTACCCGGGTGTCCTACCGCGGGTGCATCATGATGTGTTTTGACGATGAGTCTTCGGATGACGTCATCTTTGGGGACGCATATGTGGCCGTTGCGTCTGGTGATTCCGTCCTCATATGTCCAATGTCCCAATAATCCTCTCATCCCTTGTGGTCCTACTCGTAAGAGTTTTGCAAGAGCTACTCTTGTTAAGGCGTCATGTTCCGATTTCGAGTGTCGGATGAGGGAGATGAGGTTTGAAGAGGCAATTTCCGTGGATTTTATATGCCGTGTCGGGGACGGTTCTACCAATGTTTCGTCGGATTTGTTGAAAAGTTTGGCCGGGAGTAAAATTTGAGATTTGTTGTCAGATTCTACCCCTTCACTTAGATCTGGACGCCTGGACAGAGCATCAGAGTGATTTGTCGATCCTGCTTTATAGCTGAGTGTAAAGTCGAATCTGCTCAAATAAAGGCTCCAACGGGCGTGTCGTCGTGATAGGTCTCGCGCCGTTTGGAAGTGTTCCAGGTTTTTATGATCTGTCCAAATCTCGAAGGGGTGTCGTGCGCCTTCGAGGTAATGATTCCAATGTTCCAACGCTTTGATTATAGCCAAGAGTTCCCGGTCGTGAACGTCGTAATTCCGCTCTGCTGGTGAAAACGATCCAGAGAGGAAAGCGACTGGGTGCCAGTCACCATCTTTTCCTTCTTGTAGAAGGGTAGCTCCATAGGCGATTAGTGATGCGTCCGTTACTAGTCGATATGGGTGCATGGGATCTGGATAGTTCAAGACAGGTTTACTGATAAAAGCTTTCTTTAATCGTTCGAAAGCTTCTTGGCATTTTGTAGTCCAGTTCCATTTCTCGTCCTTTTTGGTGAGGTCATGTAGGGGGCGCGCGATGAGTGAGAACTTGTCAATAAAGCGCCTGTAAAAATTCCCTAGACCCAGGAAGGAGCGAATGTCGCGGACTGTACGTGGGATTGGCCAATCTTTTATTGTGTCCACCTTTGAGTCCTCCATGGCGACATGATCTTTTGAAATTGTATATCCCAGGTATTGGAGCTTTTCCTTGTAAAACTCGCATTTTTCGGGTTTCAAATATAGATCGTTGTCGCGTAGGATTTGGAAAACCTGGTTTAGGATTTTGACGTGTTCTGCCATGGTTTTGGAGAAAACGAGGATGTCGTCCATATATACGGTTATCTTCCGGGCTGTGATGAGCTCTCTGAAGATCATGTTCATCATAGCTTGGAAGGTGGCTGGTGAGTTGGTCAGGCCGAAAAACATCACCGTGGGTTCGTAAGAACCTAACGGAGTGATGAAGCTCGCCTTCCACTCATCTCCTTCTTTGATGCGTATATTGTTGTATCCCCATCGCACGTCCAATTTGCTAAAAATGATGGCCCCTTTTATCACATCCAGTAGTTCCTGGATTAGTGGAAGGGGGCACACATTCGGGATGGTGTGCGAATTTAAGTGGCGATAGTCCTGTACCGGGCGTAGTTTTCCATCCTTTTTTCCTATAAAGAAAAATGGGGCTGCTGTTTGCGAGGTGGATCGACGGATGGTTCCTCTCTCCAGATGTTCCTTGATGAATTTTCCTAATTCGTCGTGTTTCTCTGGGCTCAGGGCGTAGATTTTGGGCACTTGAGGTTTGAAGGTTGGTTTCAAGTCGATGGCATGGTCCCAGTAAGTGTGTTCTGGGAGTCGCTGCGACTTTCGTTCGCTAAAGATGTCCAAAAATTCGTGATGCGCCTTGGGAACTCTTTCCTTTAGATTGGTGACGATAATTTCGTCTTCCAGGTCTTGGTCGAAACTGGCAAATCCTGACGGTTCGGGGGCCAGTTTCCGAATAACTGGGTCCCGGGTGGCCTGTTTTCCTGAGGGTTTGTCTGGGAGATCAGGTTCTCCCCCGTTTGGTGAAAGAGATGGCTTGTCTTGAGCCTTTCGTTTCTCTTCTGCGTATTTCCTTATGTCCTTTAGGAGCCATTTCCTTTTGAGGTATGCTCGTAGTCGGACGCCAAACGTTCCGCTGTGATCGCGGAGTCCTACATCTTCCGATAGTCTTCGGAGATGTTCGAGGCGCTGTTTTTCGCGCTCATTGATGCGTGGTTTGTGCCGTGGCTCCACGTCTGATAACTGCCTGCTGTATGGTGGTTCTTCCCTTGCCCTAGTGAACCCATATGGTTGCTGGCATTTCTGGGGGCACCGATCAAAGTGCACTTCACGTCGCCTCCATTCGATGGAGGGATCGTGGTATTTCAACCAATCTGTTCCCAGGATAAGGTCGTCTTTCCCTAGATTGGAGATAAACATCTGGACGCGCTCGGTATGTGTTCGTCCACTGATGTCCCGAATGGTGAGGTTCACATCCAAGGCGGATCGGATGAGACCTGCTTTGTTAATGGTGTCATCGACGTTCCGGACGCGAATGGGGTTGTTGAGTGTATAGGTGGGGAAACGATGTTTCTTGACCCAAGTTTCGTTTACTATAACCCCTTCACAGGCCGAGTCGATGGTTGCCTTTGCTCCAGCGTTTTGACTCCTGTTTGATACTTTCACGTTCAGGCGTATGGGGGTGATGATACGGTCGTTCATTGCTCCGATACGAATACAAGTGCGGGCATCAAACTCGGGTCGTCCTTGACCTCTCTCCTTCGCTGGCGAGGGAGAGGTCAGGAAAAACGCTCCGCGTGTCCCAGGATCACTTCTCTTGCTTCATCTTCCCCTAGTTCTCCGAGTACTGCTCCGATTCGAGCAGAATGACTGACGCTTCCGTCTCCCCGTCGTCCGTTAGGTAACACAGCGCGTTGCCCATGGTTCGTTTGGGGTCGTCCGGATGAGGTAGAGTGAGGACGTTCCATCGAAGGACCAGGTTGTGGTACCCGCTGGTCGTTGCGAGGGACATCCTCTGTCTCCATTCCTCGATATATTCCCGCTTGGTTTCCCATAGCGGGTGCGTCGTCTTCTCCCTCCAAATCAACCGCGCGGTTTCCTCTCCCTGTCGTACCCAGGCGTCTTTTCGAGTTTCCTCGAACTGGGCGAACGCCTCTGCGTGGTGACCAACAGTTAGCGCTAGAGTGCCCTGGTTTTCCGCAGTTGGAACAGGAGGTGGTTCGCTTGCCGTCAAATTTTCTCTTTTGACTTTCGGCGTTACGCTTTCTGGTAGCGTCAATGTCCATGTCAACCACCTGGTTGTTCATTCTGCGAGGGGCGTTTGTGGAATTGTAGCGGGGAGAGATTTGGTTATGAAAACGATTCAGATAATCGCTTCGAAAGGAGGTGGAGTTGGCGAGGATGGCTTTTTGAGCTGTTCTGGCTCGAAGTCGTCCATCTATTTCGCAGGCTGTATTGATCCAGTCCTGAATCGTATCCTTTGGCTGAACTTCCTTGTCGTATATTTTGTCCATGACGCGCGGGTCTAACCCGCGTTGGAAGTAAGGGACTTGCTCTTTATCGGAGATGTCGGCATCGGCGGCGATGAGAATGAATTGGTTGGAGTATTCATCAACCGTCATTCGTCCTTGGGAGAAGGCCATAAGTGCGCTTCGCGCCTTATCGGTCTTGCCCGTCTCCCTGAACTGTAATTTGAACTTGGCTAAAAAGTCCTTCCAGGTGCCTAGATCGGTAGGTGGATCCGCTCCTACTGATTTGAGGAGGAAGTTCTCCGCCCAAGCTCCTGCCGTGCCGTATCTCATGCATGAGAGCACAAGGGATATTTTGTCTTGATCGGTCTTGTACCAATCGGATTCTGCTGCGAAAAGAAGGAGGCATTGGAGCATGAATTTCTGGGATTCAATGCGGTCGCCTGTGTAATTGTCTGGGAGTTTGACTTTTCCTCTTCCGGGTTGTACTGTCACGGAAGGGGTGTTTGTAGAAGTCGAAGCTTGTCCCGACATTTCGGCGAGTGGTTCGTTTCGGGTGTTGATCGGTGTTTGGTCTGGTGAGTCGGAGTCTGATTCCGAGGTTGTTTCCTCTTGCTCCGAGTCTTCGGGGATTACCGGCGCCGGTTCCCTGTATTGTGGGGCTAGTTCCCACTGAGCTTCTGTTTCGTTCCAAATATCCTCTTCTTCTGTTCCGTCTTCAAGGGTGAAGTAATAACGCCCGTTTCGGTATGAGCAGTTATCGTAATTCGGAGGGGCAGTTCTGTTATTGTCTTCGTAGACCCAGAAGTCCCCTTCGCGCCGGATAGGGCGATTGTTGTGACGGAGTTGATTATTGATAAGTCTAGTGCCAGGTGGGTATTCCTGGCCTAGGTCTTGCTCCAGAGTGTATGCAGTAACGCTTTCTTGATGGGGTCTATTATCCCCACCGAGGAAGGTTATGAGAGAGAGTGTGGCAGCAAGCTAGTACGAGCAAGGTAGGGGCAGAAGAGTCTATTCTAGTGTTACGACTGCTCGTCGGTAACCCCAAGAGTAGGAGGTTCTTCCCTAGGTCACTCGTGGAGGATGTGTGGAACGGTGATCTCGACTGTACGTGTAGCACAGGAGCCAGAAGTGTATTGCGATATAGCAATGAAAGTAGACAGTATGAAGACTGCCTAAGAACGAAGGAGTACTGTAGGAAGACAGTACTGAACGAAGGTTCCTGTATGTGGAGATACAGGAGAACGAAGAGAGTAGACTGAAGATCCTCAGCCTATTCTATGGGCCTTTTATACTACTTTGGGAAGTAGGGCGTGAGAATACCGAATATGTATCTGTAGGTATTCTCTAAGTCGTCTCTCTCAATAACGACTACTCTTGTGGTTCTCCATTGGTCTCCTTCCGGCCAGGAGAGACTAGGAGGTTCATGCCCTGCGTGTGAGTAATTTATAAGGTGGCGTTCCATGCCCGCTAATACAAGGCCCGTGATACTCGACCAATGATTGATGATCCATTGGGAGTAGATGACCAAGGTTAATATCTGTACCTTGGTGTACGCCTCAACCTGTGAGGCCGCGTGATATTTGTGATGATCGTATCGGTATAGACCGCCGTGTAGGCCCGATAGAACGTGATCATAACAAAAACTTCATTTGGTGTACACACTGACATAGCTGTTGTTGTTGCTATTGCTGCTGCAGCTGTGATGACACTGGTTGTTGCTTTTGCTGCTGCTGCTGTTACGACAACACCAGTTGTTGCTGCTGCAGCTATGACGACGCCAGTTGCTGCTGCTGTTGCTGCTGCTGCAGCTGTGACGACACCACTTGTTGCTGCAAGAGCAGCACTTGGGCTTGCCCCAAAGATCCCAAGACTGATACTGAAGCCTCCGCGTGCACCAGCCTCATCAGTGATCAGTTCTGTACAGGCTCAGCCTACTCACCTGCTCACACTGGCAGCATCCAAAGACACGCCAAAAAATGCCACCCTGTTCTCCATGCTTGCAGGGTATACCAAGGAGCCAGCACTAGTGCCCTCATGGACGATAGCCCATGATGACCAGTCCCATGTAGCTCCGCTCATGCTGGCACTACCAAAGATCAAGACCATGCCACTGACTGTTGTCAGGGCCGATCCCGCTGCACACACCGCCCCGCCAGAGGGATCCATAGCCTCTAACAATATGTCAGCAAACCCCAGAATTGATGCATTGTTTGGAATGCACCTTCAAGCAGGCAGAGGGGCGCATTGTGGTTCTATAATGAGCATGCCTTAGGGGAAAAGCAGTCAACCTCATGCCACCCCTGCCCTTAGTATAAGCCAAGAGCCGACACCTCTGAGAGACATCAGTGATGCCGCAACCACATCACAGTACCCTTGAGAAGCACACGCACCTACAAGGGAATTCTCCTTGGCACCGATGGATCCAAGCATGATGAGACCAGCAGGTGAATACACCTTTATCTAATGAACAAAATGAGTTAATCAGCGTGCATTGGAACAGACAGGAGAGCATTGGTGATGAAGAATATACAGGATAGGCTTTCCAGCCTCGAATTTGAGTTCCCAAGAGTTCAAGAGATCATCAAGGAAGTTCTAACAATGCTCATAAGCTTCATTTCACATGATCTGAAGGTGTTATGTAGGGAGTTAAACAATGCCATTGCAAGGAACAACGAGGTAGAGGAGAGGTTAGATGAGATGGGGCAGGAGATGGCCAACATGAAGGCAGAGGTTAATGCTTTGAAGGCAGAGACAAGAGAGAGGTCAGCAGGGCGAGATGGCAGTGATACAGGGCAGAGGCGGAATAACATTCTGTCGGTGAGTCATATGATTTTTATTTCACAAATGCTTGGCACTTACAATGAACGGTGCCTGAATGATCAGATAACCATATGGAATATCATGTATGATTGGATGGAGATTCTGCATGATAGTGCAGTCCTTCTGGATCTGCTCCCTATTGATGAAGCAGGAGTACGTGAGTATTGGATGTTAGCAGAAGATGGGGCAGAGGACAATAGGATCCTACAGCCAGGCTGGACTGACTCATAGTGTGCCAATGAAGCAGGGTGGGCAAAAAATGTGGTGGCTGGGGTGCAAATGGATGGTGCACATTGGAATCCAAGTATGAATCAAACCAAATTAGCAGAACTCATGATGCCTATGATCCTAGCTGTAATTCACATCACCTTCTCAAGCTGGGTCAAGGCCTACAAGAAGTCAAAGAAGCCCATTGTCGATCAGTCCATCGTAAGGCAGAAGCAGCAGTGCAATGGCCATAAAACACAGGTTAGTCAAATTTTGATAGTTGCATAGGATTCTGCTTACCACATAATTTGTAGAAAGCAAATAGTCGCAAGATGTATTGCATGCTGGTCCCCGAGGCAGCCAGACCAGAATAGGCATTCATAGGGGAGACTATGTATCAGTCCACAGATGAATTGGAGGAGGAAACACTCACTGGTGCAGGAGGGAATGGTGGACTGGATCCGCAGACTAACAATGAAGGGCCCATCAGTCACAATGCACAGATAGGGGTTTCTAAACTTGGGAAGCAGAAGCCTGTGTCACATAAGCCTTACCTAATGCATGCTCCAATGGACCATGTGGCTCAGATACAATTTTACTCAATAGTGTATTATGAGATATCTCATGTGTCATCCCCTCGGCAGGTAAACAAGATCCTGGATAAAGTAGATGACATAAAAAATAACAACTCAAACCCACATGTCCAGGAGTATGGAGCACCGAGGGAGAAAGGTTTACCTGTCAGCAAGAAAATCACAAAGCCCAAAATTCCTCGTATGATGGTTGACCTCTAGTGGCTTGCGATGCATCCTGAAAACGACCTTCCTTTGCATATCCAAGACTTTGAGAGTGCTCTGTTGGAGGAACGGGAAGGGCACTTTGGAGAAGATGATGATTTGTATGGAAATGAGGTTCCAGACAAGATGGCAGAACCTTGGGATGAGGAAATGTGGAGGGCCCGCACGTACTTGGAGGGTAAAATGTAATATACTCACAGCCATGTTGTCTTGATCACTCATTGTTAGAATCATATCCGAGGGCATCCGGTTCTTGAGTTAACTAAAAAAGGTTGTGCATGAAGGACTTGAAAAAGAAAAGAAATAAAACTTACATGATCTAGTGATATGGTGACCCACACGTGGCCATGATCGCGAAGGGGGATTTCTGCAAGGGCAAACACCCTGCACAAGTGGTGTAATTCAATGACCTCAGGATCTAAGAATTTATTGAAATTCCAAGTCAAGTTCCCAAGGTCAGTTTGCCTAGGAGACAGTGATAATAGAAGTGCAATCATTAACTGATGATCAATGATGACCTACGTGTTATCCCATGGCATCAAGGGGATGCCAGCACTCATAAGCATTTGACAATTGCGAAGGCAGTTAACAATGCTGCTAAGCGCGGATCACGGCACTCGTGTTTCACTGATAGGATATGCTGGATTTGCACAGCTATCCTGCCATCCATGTATGCAAACGAGATACCCTTCCCTCTGTATGAAGTGCAAGCCCCAAACTGTATGCCATTCACGTGGGCATGGGAGAAGGATTGCACCGCAGTCGCAACAAATGGCTTGCCGGCTTGCTAATCAGTTGTTTTTGAGACAAGTTTTACCTGTGAATTCCAGAGTATCTGCAGATAATTGAAAATGAGACCATATAACGATGTGCCATTAATTTGGATCATATTGAGGTTAATGCGTTTACCTCGAGGCGGTAGTTCAACTTCATCAGATCCTTCAAATGAAAAATGAAAAATAGATGAATATAAGGAGTGGTGCACTTTGTTTGATTCGGCTTGATCACATTGATGCACCTGCAAAAATATGTTATGCTGCGGGGAAGGACTCACCATTGGATCCCTGCCAGCCTGTGTGACTTGCGATCATATTAAGGAGAGTTCATCGCGTCCGATGGGACTTCTTATCACCCTTCAAATAATTCTTGAGTTTCCGGATGGCAACCAAGTCCTCTTTGTTTTGCTCATCAAGCTCTTCGATCATGCGTACCTTGAGATAATGACAACAGATTAGTGAGACCTCTCCATGTAAAAATTACTCACCAGGTCATGGATCAATATGTTCTTGATCCAACTCTGCATCATGGTACCTTCAAGTTCACCTCCTGTATGTCCATTTGTGTTAACCTTGACAAGGTGTCCATTGTTTGGTTCTGGCCCAAATAGCCAGAACCCATGAACCGGCCCTAGGCGATAAATGAAAGAATCTCCGTGAGTGAGCAAATGGAAATAGGGAGTGAGATGGCAATGCATTAGTGACCATGTGCGACACGCGCGTGCATAATAGTCCTGCACACGCCGTGCTTTGTTGGGTGTTATTGACTGGGCTGTCCAGATGCGGATGGCGGAGCATGCATCAAGAACAGCCTTGAAATGACACTGGTAATTCCGATCCATAGAGATGTCATCCTCCTCAAAGTGTGCCGCAACTATAGTCCTACCCAACTGCCGCGCAACATGCATATGATAAGCCTTGTGATGTTCTCGCAGCAGCTTCTCAGTCTTTGCGAAGGCAGCACCGGCTTTAGATTTGGGAGCAGGTCTAGGCAAATCACAATCCGGGATCTTGCCATTCTGCTGCCATGCATAATAAAGTGCGACAGGCAGAACTGTTGCGAAGTTCCACCATTGGTCGGCCTTTAATGTCCCTGATATCTGCAAATCTTGCATCATTAGCAAATAAAGCTCAGATTCACAAAATAACTAAACCTTAGCGGGCACTCTGCCAATTGTAGAGGGCCACCAGATGCTCCCTAAGAAGGTCTCGAGTTTCTCATAAGGATTGTTCATCCGGCTCCAACGTGTCAGCATCCTGCCAACAACCAAGATCTGTTGGACTATGTGTTTCACTTCCCCTATGCAAGAATAATCAATGAGCATAATACAGTTATAATATGTTTACCTAGAAACACAGCGTGCATGAAATCTATGGGCGAATCTCATGCGGGCATCCATCCGGGCAGAGATGTTAATGTTGACCAGCTCACCCCACACTCGATCTCGATTCTCTCGCGCTCTTCAGTGCTCGCGTCCCTCCACCGATATGCATACTTGCGGAACCGTCGCTTGTCTCGCATCGAGAATGCTAGGGTTGAGGAAATCAGAGCAAATGAGATATTGTAAAAAGAAGAAACAACTCATTTTCATGGTTGAGGCAGTCCTCGCACACGAGCGACGAGAACGTCTGATAGCAAGACGTGCACATGAAGTCCTCCGAAGTCACACCCTGGAGACCCGTAATCTTTCGGCTCGCAGGGATGTCCGAAGTGTTGATATACAGCATGCTGTTCACTGGGAACTGCTGATTATCTGGTTCCCCATGGATGCGCATGGTAACACCTACAAGATGAAATTCTGGTCAGTCCATTGCTCGCTTTCCCCTTCCCCATTGCTTGCAAACTCACCCTCGTATAGTGCCCACAGCTCTTCGACTAGTGGTTCTGTGATGTGATTCAGCTGCTCCAAGGTTGGTTCTTGTGGGCCAGGTATTACACAGTATAGTATAGTTTCCTGTGGTAAGAAGTGTTTGGATCTCGGGTTGTTGAGAATCGTAACATAAATCGCGCCTGTAGAGTACGCGCGCGATCGTTTCGTCGGAGAAAACCTGGAAGAGATCAGATTAATGAACATGCGTAGAAGGTGGGGCACGCACCAGTCTATATTGATGGAGAAAAGCAGACCGCATGGCAACGAGACAAATCGCTGCTGTTTCTCCTCTACCAACACATCTTCTACTCCCCACAAAGACACAGCGCTGCTCACCTTCCGACGTTCCCAACCCCACGACACTGCACGCCAGCCCCAGCCATTAGTAATGTCGCCCATTACCCAGTTTACATTATTGAAGGCATCCAGAGGGTCGCGAGGTTCGTTGAGGGGCGGAACCTCTCCGACGTCGTCAAGCCCCGGTAACCTCCAGTGCTGAAACTCCTCGTACTTTCCTGGTCGAAGCAGAAATCACTGGATCATGGGGGTGATTGGCGCTATCGGAAGGACTCTGAGTGGTGTGCGTTTGAGATGCCCCCCGGTGAGTTCTTTCAAGCTGTAGAGGAAACCGGGACACTCAGGCATGGTACAGGATTCGTCGTCGAGGTCGTTGAGGCTCGAGGGGTGGTGCCGGGCCCAGCAGACAGTACAAAGAAAATAATATACAATGTATCGATTGGGGTCGATGCGCAAGCGTCGCTCAACTGTCAGAAGGGTGCGCGCCATTGTATCAAGACCGCGCAGCTGCAGCTGACCCTTTCTTTGCAATGCGGTGAAAGACTCGTGCATGGAGTCCAGGTAGGCCTTGATTCCCTCTTGTGTGTATCCGTGGCACGCAGAGAGGAGATACGCCGTGATGTAGGCATTCCGGATGACCGGATCTTCGTCAAAAGCAGGGGGAATTGAAGCGTCCGGGGCTAGGTCGTCTGAGCCAGAGTCCAAGATCCTTTCGAAGAGCGCGTCACTCCCCTGAAACAGTGGGTCTTGGTTCAGCTGTGGCAAGTCCTCCATGGTGTCTTCGTCGTCAGTATTAGGAGGGGTGGGACCTAGGGTATCAAATATGCCATCCGGGTTGAAGTCTAGCTCTTCAGTCAAGATATCACCCAGCAGAGAGCTTGCGCGCGAGAGAGATTCCAGACGACTGTCGTCTAAGCGTAGTCCAGAGTGGTCGTCACTAAGTGCTGAGGACAAGAGGGGATCGCTCATAGCCGTTGCTTGTAGGGGAGGCACAGCGCTGACATCCGAAGCGTCATCGGACGCATATATGCTGTCCACATCCGCCATTTGATGGGCTGAACCTGTTTATATGTTAGAATGAAATTATAGCGTCCACTGGGACATATTTTTCGCGAAAAAAAAGACTCACGCAGGCTTGATGATCTCTGGACTCTAGAGCGGAGAATTCTGGCCATGTCCCTCAACAGCGTCCTCCTCTCCTGGGTCGGCTGTATCCTCTCGTCTGCGTTTCACAGGTATCCTTCTTGATGCCTCGGCCAACAGGGCCTGGATTCGTAGGCCGTTTCGTTGATGTTCGAGGTGCCGATTGATAGTGCGACGTTGCTGGCGGAGAGGTGGGGTATTCTGGTGGCATTTGTCACATGGGCAGAGCTCATAAAGAGCAACCACTGCACATTGCCCTTAATATCCCCTGGGTTATATTTGGGGTATATAAGCAATATACCCGAAATATACCGCCAATATACCCAGAGCCACCCTCGGTATATTCACTGTTGATTCGAGGTTTTGGCTCAAATATACCAGGAGTATCCCTGGGAGCTGGATATATTCACAGTATATTTCGTGTATATTCGCATTTGATATCCATTAATTATCGCTTTTAAAAGCACTCCATAAATAGATAATAAGTATATTTAAACAACAATAAAGCACAATTAAGCCATCAAAGGATACATGAACATCTAAAGACAAAAGGATCTACGAAACATACTCCAAAAGGTGAGAGGTGCGAATCCTGGCCAGAAGTTGACAGCCTTGTGGCTGCGGATGCACGATTGAGGCAACAAAAAAAAGGCTGCACCGCCCTTCCACTTCTCCGCATCATCGTCGGTCCATAGCGCGAAAAAATCCCTGGAAAAAGGACATCAATGAGTACTCGCAGTAACCCAGTAAGGAACACCAGGTCGCGCACCAGGCAGCCCGATGAACCTACCGAGTCTTCCACATCAGCGATTCAACCCTCCACTCCAATGCCTACTGAAGATCGAGTACCGCCATCGCCACGTCGTGACGACCCCAAGAAGCGTCGTATGGAGGTTGATCCACAAGTGCGAATGGCCACCGCGCACACCCGCGGCGCTTCAGGGACAGGAAAACCAGTCCCACGACGCAAGGATATATTCAAGCAACCGCAGAAGAAAAAAGGTGAGTGTTCTATCCATAAAAACCTCATTTGGTGTACGCACTGACATAGCTGTTGTTGTTGCTACTGCTGCAGCAGCTGTGACGACGCCGGTTGTTGCTTCTGCTGCTGCTGCTGCTGTTGCGACGACACCAGTTGTTGCTGCTGCAGCTGTGACGACGCCGGTTGCTGCTGCTGTTGCTGCTGCTGCAGCTGTGACGACGCCAGTTGTTGCTGCAAGAGCAGCACTCGTGCTTGCCCCGAAGATCCCAAGACTGATACTGAAGCCTCCGCGTGCACCAGCCTCATCAGTGATCAGTTCTGTACAGGCTCAGCCCACTCACCTGCTCACGCCAGCGGCATCCAAGGACACGCCAAAAAACGCCACCCTGTTCTCCGTGCTTGCGGAGTATACCAAGGAGCCAGCACTGGTGCCCTCATGGACGATAGCCCATGATGACCAGTCCCATGTAGCTCCGCTCATGCTGGCACCGCCAAAGATCAAGACCACGCCACCGACTGTTGTCAGGGCCGATCCCGCTGCACACGCCGCCCCGCCGGAGGGATCCGTAACCTCCAACGATATGTCAGCAAACCCCAGAATTGATGCATTGTTTGGAATGCACCTTCAAGCAGGCAGAGGGGCGCATTGTGGTTCTACAACGAGCATGCCTCGGGGGAGAAGCAGTCAACCTCATGCCACCCCTGCCCTTGGTATGAGCCGAGGGCCGACGCCTCTGAGAGACATCAGTGATGCCGCGGCCACATCACAGTACCCTCGAGAAGCGCACGCACCTACAAGGGAATCCTCCTTGGCACCGATGGATCCAAGCATGATGGGACCAGCAGGTGAATACACCTCTATCTAATGAACAAAATGAGTTAATCAGCGTGCATTGGAACAGACAGGAGAGCATCGGTGATGAAGAATATACAGGATAGGCTTTCCAACCTCGAATTCGAGTTCCCGAGAGTTCGAGAGATCGTCAAGGAAGTTCCAACAATGCTCATAAGCTCCATGTCACACGATCTGAAGGTGTTGCGTGGGGAGTTGAACACTGCCATTGCAAGGAACAACGAGGTAGAGGGGAGGTTAGATGAGATGGGGCGGGAGATGGCCAACATGAAGGCAGAGGTTAATGCTTTGAAGGCGGAGACAAGAGAGAGGTCAGCGGGGCGAGATGGCAGCGACACAGGGCAGAGGCGGAATAACATTCTGTCGGTGAGTCATATGATTTTTATTTCACAAATGCTTGGCACTTACAATGAACGGTGCCCGAACGATCAGATGACCATACGGAATATCATGTATGATTGGATGGAGATTCCGCATGATAGTGCAGTCCTTCCGGATCCGCTCCCTATTGATGAAGCAGGAGTACGTGAGTATTGGATGTTAGCAGAAGATGGGGCAGAGGACAATAGGATCCTACGGCCAGGCTGGACTGACTCATGGTGCGCCAATGAGGCAGGGTGGGCAAAAAATGTGGTGGCTGGGGTGCAAATGGATGGTGCACGCTGGAATCCAAGTGCGAATCAAACCGAATTAGCAGAACTCGTGACGCCTACGATCCTAGCTGCAATTCACGTCACCTTCTCGAGCTGGGTCAAGGCCTACAAGAAGTCAAAGAAGCCCATTGTCGATCAGTCCATCGTAAGGCAGAAGCAGCGACGCAACGGCCGTAAAACACAGGTTAGTCAAATTTTGACGGTTGCATAGGATTCTGCTTACCACATAATTTGTAGAAAGCAAACAGTCGCAAGATGTATCGCGTGCTGGTCCCCGAGGCAGCCGGACCAGAATGGGCATTCATAGGGGAGACTATGTATCAGTCCACGGATGAATCGGAGGAGGAAACACTCACCGGTGCAGGAGGGAATGGTGGACTGGATCCACAGACTGACGATGAAGGGCCCATCAGTCGCAATGCACAGATGGGGGTTTCTAAACTTGGGAAGCGGAAGCCTGTGTCACATAAGCCTTACCTGACGCATGCTCCAACGTACCGCGCGGCTCAGGTACGATTTTACTCACCAGTGTATTATGATATCTCATGTGTCATCCCCTCGGCAGGTAAACGAGATCCTGGATAAAGTAGATGACATGAGAAATGACAACTCAAACCCACATGTCCGGGAGTATGGAGCGCCGAGGGAGAAAGGCTTACCTGTCAGCAAGAAAATCACAAAGCCCAAAATTCCTCGTATGATGGTTGACCTCCAGTGGCTTGCGATGCATCCTGAGAACGACACTCCTTTGCATATCCAAGACTTTGAGAGTGCTCTGTTGGAGGAACGGGAAGGGCACTTTGGAGAAGATGATGATTTGTATGGAAATGAGGTTCCAGACAAGATGGCAGAACCTTGGGATGAGGAAATGTAGAGGGCCAGCACGTACTTGGAGGGTGAAATGTAATATACTCACAGCCATGCTGTCTTGATCACTCGTTGTCAGAATCATATCCGAGGGCATCCGGTTCTTGAGTTAACTAAAAAAGGTTGTGCATGAAAGACTTGAGAAAGAAAAGAAATAAAACTTACATGGTCTAGTGATATGGTGACCCACACGTGGCCATGATCGCGAAGGGGGATTTCTGCAAGGGCAAACACCCCGCACAGGCGGTGTAATTCAATGACCTCGGGATCTAAGAATTTGTTAAAATTCCAAGTCAAGATCCCAAGGTCAGTTTGCCTAGGAGACGGTGATAATAGAAGTGCAATCATTAACTGATGATCAAGGATGACCTACCTGTTATCCCATGGCATCAAGGGGATGCCAGCACTCATGAAGCGTTTGACGATTGCGAAGGCAGTTGACAATCCTGCTAAGCGTGGATCACGGCGCTCGTGCTTCACTGATAGGATATACTGGATTTGCACAGCTATCCTGCCGTCCATGTATGCAAACGAGGTACCCTTCCCTCTGTATGAAGTGCAAGCCCCAAACTGTGTGCCATTCACGTGGGCATGGGAAAAGGATTGCACCGCAGTCACAACAAATGGCTCGCCGGCTTGCCAATCAGTCGTTTTTGAGACAAGTTTTACCTGTGAATTCCAGAGTGTCTGCAGATAATTGAAAACGAGACCGTATAACGATGTGCCGTTGATTTGGATCATATTGAGGTTGATGCGTTTACCTCGAGGCGGTAGTTCAACTTCATCAGATCCTTCAAATGAAAAACGAAAAATAGATGAATATGAGGAATGGTGCACTTTGTTTGATTCGGCTTGATCACGTTGATGCACCCGCAAAAATATGTTATGCTGCGGGGAAGGACTCACCATTGGATCCCCGCCGGCCTGCGCGACTCGCGATCATATTAAGGAGAGTTCCTCGCGTCCGATGGGACTTCTTATCACCCTTCAAATAATTCTTGAGTTTCCGGATGGCAACCAAGTCCTCTTCATTTTGCTCGTCAAGCTCTTCGATCGTACGTACCTTGAGATGATGACAACAGATTAGTGAGACCTCTCCATGTGAAAATTACTCACCAGGTCATGGATCAATATGTTCTTGATCCAACTGCGCATCATGGTACCTTCGAGTTCACCTCCTGTATGTCCATTTGTGTTAACCTTGACAAGGCGTCCATTGTTTGATTCTGGCCCAAATAGCCAGAACCCATAAACCGGCCCTAGGCGATAAATGAAAGAATCTCCGTGAGTGAGCAAATGGAAATAGGGAGTGAGATGGCAATGCATCAGTGACCATGCGCGACATGCGCGTGCGTGATAGTCCTGCGCACGCCGTGCTTCGTTGGGTGTTATTGACTGGGCCGTCCAGATGCGGATGGCGGAGCATGCATCGAGAACAGCCTTGAAATGACGCTGGTAATTACGATCCATAGAGATGTCATCCTCCTCAAAGTGTGCCGCGACTACAGTCCTACCCGACTGCCGCGCAACGTGCATACGATAAGCCTTGCGACGTTCTCGCAGCAGCTTCTCAGTCTTTGCGAAGGCAGCACCGGCTTTAGATTTGGGAGCAGGTCTAGGCGAATCACAATCCGGGATCTTGCCATTCTGCTGCCATGCATAATAAAGTGCGACAGGCAGAACTGTTGCGAAGTTCCGCCATTGGTCGGCCTTCAATGTCCCTGATATCTGCAAATCTTGCATCGTTATCAAATAAATCTCAGATTCACAAAATGACTAAACCTTAGCGGGCACTCTGCCAATTGTAGAGGGCCACCAGATGCTCCCCAAGAAGGTCTCGAGTTTCTCATAAGGATTGTTCATCCGGCTCCGACGTGTCAGCATCCCGCCAACAACCAAGATCTGTTGGACTATGTGTTTCACTTCCCCTATGCAAGAATAATCAATGAGCATAATACGGTTATAATATGTTTACCTAGAAACACAGCGTGCATGAAATCTATGGGCGAATCTCGTGCGGGCATCCATCCGGGCAGAGATGTCAATGCCGACCAGCTCACCCCACGCTCGATCTCGATTCTCTCGCGCTCTTCAGTGCTCGCGTCCCTCCACCGATATGCATACTTGCGGAACCGTCGCTCGTCTCGCATCGAGAATGCTAGGGTTGAGGAAATCAGAGTAAATGAGATATTGTAAAAAGAAGAAGAAACAACTCACTTTCATGGTTGAAGCAGTCCTCGCACACGAGCGACGAGAACGTCTGATAGCAAGACGTGCACATGAAGTCCTCCGAAGTCACACCCCGGAGACCCGTAATCTTTTGGCTCGCAGGGATGTCCGAAGTGTTGATATACAGCATGCCGTTCACTGGGAACTGCTGATTATCTGGTTCCCCATGGATGCGCATGGTAACACCTACGAGATGAAATTCTGGTCAGTCCATTGCCCGCTTTTCCCTTCCCCATTGCTTGCAAACTCACCCTCGTATAGTGCCCGCAGCTCTTCGACTAGTGGTTCTGTGATGTGATTCAGCTGCTCCAAGGTTGGTTCTTGTGGGCCAGGTATTACACAGTATAGTATAGTTTCCTGTGGTAAGAAGCGTTTGGATCTCGGGTTGTTGAGAATCGTGACGTAAATCGCGCCTGTAGAGTACGCGCGCGATCGTTTCGTCGGAGAAAACCTGGAAGAGATCAGATTAACGAACATGCGTAGAAGGTGGGGCACGCACCAGTCTATATTGATGGAGAAAAGCAGACCGCATGGCAACGAGACAAACCGCTGCTGTTTCTCCTCTACCAACACATCTTCTACTCCCCACAAAGACACAGCGCTGCTCACCTTCCGACGTTCCAGACCCCACGACACTGCACGCCAGCCCCAGCCATCAGTAATGTCGCCCATTACCCAGTTTACATTATTGAAGGCATCCAGAGGGTCGCGAGGTTCGTTGAGGGGCGGAACCTCTCCGACGTCGTCAAGCCCCGGCAACCTCCAGTGCTGAAACTCCTCGTACTTTCCTGGTCGAAGCAGAAATCGCTGGATCATTGGGGTGATTGGCGCTATCGGAAGGACTCTGAGTGGTGTGCGTTTGAGATGCCCCCCGGTGAGTTCTTTCAAGCTGTAGAGGAAACCGGGACACTCAGGCATGGTACAGGATTCGTCGTCAAGGTCGTTGAGGCTCGAGGGGTGGTGCCGGGCCCAGCAGACAGTACAAAGAAAATAATATACAATGTACCGATTGGGGTCGATGCGCAAGCGTCGCTCAACTGTCAGAAGGGTGCGCGCCATTGTATCGAGACCGCGCAGCTGCAGCTGACCCTTTCTTTGCAATGCGGTGAAAGACTCGTGCATGGAGTCCAGGTAGGCCTTGATTCCCTCTTGTGTGTATCCGTGGCACGCAGAGAGGAGATACGCCGTGATGTAGGCATTCCGGATGACCGGATCTTCGTCAAAAGCGGGGGGAATTGAAGTGTCCGGGGCTAGGTCGTCTGAGCCAGAGTCCGAGGTCCTTTCGAAGAGCGCGTCACTCCCCTGAAACAGTGGGTCTTGGTTCAGCTGTGGCAAGTCCTCCATGGTGTCTTCGTCGTCAGTATCTGGAGGGGTGGGACCTGGGGTATCGAATATGCCATCCGGGTTGAAGTCTAGCTCTTCAGTCAAGATATCACCCAGCGGAGAGCTTGCGCGCGCGAGAGATTCCAGACGACTGTCGTCTAAGCGTAGTCCGGAGTGGTCGTCACTAAATGTTGAGGACGAGAGGGGATCGCTCATAGCCGTTGCTTGTAGGGGAGGCGCAGCGCTGACATCCGAAGCGTCATCGGACGCATATATGCTGTCCACATCCGCCATTTGATGGGCTGAACCTGTTTATATGTTAGAATGAAATTATAGCGTCCACTGGGACATATTTTTCGCGAAAAAAAAGACTCACGCAGGATTGATGATCTCTGGACTCTGAGCGGAGAATTCTGGCCATGTCCCTCAACAGCGTCCTCCTCTCCTGGGTCGGCTGTATCCTCTCGTCTGCGTTTCACAGGTATCCTTCTTGATGCCTCGGCCAACAGGGCCTGGATTCGTAGGCCATTTCGTTGATGTTCGAGGTGCCGATTGATAGTGCGACGTTGCTGGCGGAGAGGTGGGGTATTCTTGTGGCATTTGTCACATGGGCAGAGCTCATAAAGAGCAACTGCGTGTTTTCGACCCGAGGACAGAATTTTGGAAAAGAAAGAATGTCTATTGAAGAGTATAGTAGTACACCACGAGGAAGGGGATGACGGAGTGAGTACGACTTAGAAGAAATTTCGACGTGTCCGACGACGCGCACCCATCACATGGTCATGAAAGCCGATGAGTCATCCGTCAATCTGGATCGACTGAGAGATATTGGGGGGATATTCCCTCAGTAGTATATTCCGGGTATATTCATGGTATATTCGTTATATCCCTTGAATTCTCCCTTGGGATATTTGAGGGTAATGTGCAGTGAACTGCGTGTTTTCGACCCGAGGACAGAATTTTGAAAAAGAAAAAATGTCTATTGAAGAGTATAGTAGTACACCATGAGGAAGGGGATGACGGAGTGATTACGACTTGGAAGAAATTTCGACGTGTCCGACGACGCGCACCCATCACGTCTGAGTTCAAAGTATAGTTCTAAATACAATGATAAGAATATCAAAGGCTGTAGGTACAGAGGAGCACAAAAGAAAGCAGCTTCAAGGTATATGCACGCAAAGCACATGGAACAAGTCGCGCGGACTACATGTATATCTGTACTCTCGAGACTACTGGAACAGTACCAGTGCGTGTTCTGCTGCCTAAGAACACTCGTCTCAAGCGCGCTTGATACCCTCTAGCATACTGTGCTCGACAACGTCCTGCTGAGAAGGCTGTTCGTGATGTCGAATGTTAGCATCAGGAACACTAGAGGGGAGGGGAGGAAGAGGAGGAAGGAAGGAAACGGGGCTGGCGAAGGCGGCGGCCGTGTGCTGTCTGCAGCAGCCAGGCCCCCACAGAGCCCAAATTCACCTTCGGCGAATTTGGGCTGTGGGGAGCCTGACTGCTGCAAATGAAATGATTATACAAAACGCTATCCGCGAGCTTCATGGCTAGTACATAATATTTGCGGAACTGTATACACATGCAGATAGCTTACATTTCCCAGTTCATGATAGGGGTAGCGAGCGGTATTCCCGGCAATGGGTCCCTCGGTCTGTCAGGTACCGCGAAGAAGAAATCGTCCTTCCTGGGACGACGCAGCATGCACGGACTGCCCTCTGGTACACTAAACCTCTCCTCCCCATCTTTGATATCCTCGCGTGGGACGTTCGTAGCCGCTTCCCAAGACACGAGTGGACCGGGAATACTTAGCATGCGACCGACATGGGGAAGAGCATGAATCTCGTATCCTATGGGGGAATTGACAGCTTTCTTTGTTCTGGCGTCGATGAAGTCAAGAAGGAACAGGCCGTCATCTTGCAAACCTCTGTCCCAAAGGCGCAATGCGAGGCGATCATCTGGAATTTTGAAGCTATAACTATGTTCGCCCGGAACTGGTTTTGCCTAATGACCCAACGACATCCAAGTCAGTTCGTCAAGAAAAGATTGTGTGGCAGATTCAACATACACCGATTACAGGAATCTTCCCTCCTGTTAGATCCAACATGGCATCTATCAGCCTATCGTGTTCCGCGCGCTGCACGGCAAGCTCGGACGGTGGGTATCCTACGCTCGTATACAACTCGTCAAGTTGCTCGTCGGTGACAAAAAAAGTGCGCAGGAGTGAGAGGCATGCGCATCACGGCCTCCTCCCAGCGGTTCCTAGGAGTGCGATGCGGTGCGAGCACTTGATCAGAATATGGCGGCGAAGAGGGCGGTGGCGTGTGTAACTAGATTTTATAACAACCAAGTTATATCTAGTATGCGTAATTCACGTTGTCTAAAGTACTCACATAGTTTGTGCTTCGGTGAGCCATGATGGTTGAATATGATGGTAAACAGCAAGTGGGCAGTGGAGGGTACGAGTGTGCGGTACGTGGCTGATAGGATCCCAAGAGTGTAAATCTCTTTTCTAGTTGACCAGCTATTGATCACGTGCCAAGTTCACCCCGGTCTTCTTTTTTTTGGGGGTCAAGTATTTATATTCCGCGCAGCGCAAGCCAGTGGCGGTGTGTAAGTAAGGGGCATAAGGCCGATGGGTTTAGTAATCTAGGCCATGGATGGCTCATTTAAGGCCCGGGTGAATCCCCTCAGTGAGAGGATTAATGCATGTCTGCCAGCGAGCGGGTAGCGAGGTGAGCGCACAGTCTCAAGCGTTTAACAGCATAGCCATTAAGTCCTCCGCATTGAGCAGGGCGTCTGGGAACGTGAAAGCGGACAGATTGTCCTTAAGGAATTTGACTATTAGCGGGACGATCACCCCAGTCTTCAGTTCAGCTTCAGCGCGCTTTCAGCACGCACCTGCTCGCACCTGCTCTTTTGTTCGCTGCTCTTTTGTCCGCTGCTCTTTTGTTTACTGTCCATTGTTTCCATCTCTTTTGTTCGCTGCTCTTTTATCCCGAACAATCATACAAGAGCTATCATGCTGCTCTTTCCTTCACCCCGGTAAACTTTTACTCTCGCTATGGCTGGTATCGCGTCCATATATCGCGGGTGGCTTGGCTCCGATGGCGCTCGCTTCCCTGGTCAAGATATCACAGACCTCCACTTGACTAACTATGGACCTGCTGGACCAGTCATAAACCTCAGACAGCACAACTTGTGTCTCGCGGCAGGCGTTGCTTTTGCTTACCCTGAGAGGGCTGCCGCTGCAGGTGCTCCATGGGTTTATGACTTTGCGCTTGTTCCACGGATGAGGTTTGTGGATCATGGCTTGTCCCCTCCTTTTGTTCCTGTATGTCTCTTTTCTTTCAAGCTTATTACAGCCACTCACATTGAGTCAGGTCCTTGGGCCTAGAGTGCCAGTCCCTGTTTCATTTGCCATCGCAAATGGAGGTGTACACGTCCTTGGCCACAGGATAAGGTGGTTCCATCATGTCCGAGAGACTTATGATCTCGGCCTAATCCATTACTACAAACACTCCAAGCACCGTGGGCATGGCCCAGATCAGACACCCACGATGATTGTTGGTGCAGGGGCGAAGCATAAAGTATGTTCTGCCATTGTATACGGTGCACAGGTGCAGCAGTATTGGCGTTCGCAGTAACTTGTGGTACGATAGTATTATGGTTGGGGCACTTGAATCTCTTGTATAACTATGGATGGGTGGATAGAGGACTTGATAGATAGTTGTGAATTACATGGACATTCTTCATTGTGTCTCGGGTTTCAGATCTATCAAATATTGGTCTCGGTAAACAATTCCAGCTGCAAGAGGGCACGCAAAGGAGTAGCAAGATGGCATGAGTATCATTAGAACAACTAGAGTACATCTGTCCATGCATCGTCCAAAAAGTGTAAAAGGAACTGCCTGAATAAATACTCCGACGGGCATGCGTCTGACTTTGACGTGTCGTACACGTGAATGAGGCGCGACTGGTCCTTGCGCCCCGGGTTCTCCGTCTGGCTGAACGCAAAGCCACGATTGCGCCGCATGCGCTGGACCGCGCGCATCTTCTTGATCGCCTTTTGGAACCTGTCCATGGGGAGGGGTCAGCAGGCGACGCGCGCGCGAGAAAGGGTACGCACTGTTCCTGCCGCGGTCGGTAGTCGGGTATGTTGTACTGTTGGATCTCTTGTGCGATGTGGTACGACGCGGGCATGTACGTACACTTGTAGCTGTGCGCGTTGAGCGTCGGCGCGCACACAAAAAGGAAACGGAAGACGGACTACTTCCATACCAGGTCCTGACCGAGACAAACGCCAGGACGAGCAGGAGCATAAAGTACAACATGGTGTCGGTCCAGAGCCTCGGGACCAGCCCTTGTTACTCGAGGGAAAAGCCGATGGCAGGGGCAACGACGGCGTACAAGGGCAGGAAGAGCATAGTGAACGCGAAGGAGCCAGGGATGGCTGTGGTCAGATGCACTGAGCAAAGAACACGGGGAAACGGAGGTGGACGATGTACCGGCCACGATGTACTTTGTCCATAGGCTGAGAAGAGCACGGTTTTTCAGTTCGTTCCGGTGAAGATGCAAAGGCACTTACTCGGATACCAAAGCCACTTTTCCCAGGACGGTCAGGAGCACCTCGAGATAAAGCATGTACCAGTGGCCAGAGTCGAGCCCAGTCGCCTGCTTGAAGTCGCCCCAAAAGAGAATGACGGAGAATCCAAACAGGACCTGTGAGGGTTACGTGAAGGCGGAGAAGAGACACGCGGGAAACGGAGCCGCTCACCACACTGTGATAGAGCACATCGAGGACCCAGAGCTAGAACGCGGTCTTTGTGAAAAACGCGTTTTGCTGACCGAGCATGTAGAGCTACGGATGGCGATCGAGGATGCGGGCCGAGACGAACTGGTCAAAGATGCCGATGACGAGCGGCGGGAGGACGGTGAAGACGACGGTCCAGGACTCGTACGCGATCTGGCCCGAAACGTTGTTGAAGAACGAGAACTGCGGCGATGGGGTCAGACGGGTATGCGGAACACGAGACGTGACGAACCCAGAACTGGGTCATGTACAGCACGACGTTCTTGTAGAACGAGTCTGCGTGAGGGAACGTGAGCCAAGGGCGCACGCATGCGAGCACGTCACACACAGAGGATGAGCTTGGACAGGTACTGGTAGCTCCGAGCGCCGTGGACCAAGAGCAACTTAGGTTCGACTACAGTCAGCTTAAAGTCGCGAGCGCGTCATGTTCAGTCAGAATCAGTACATTGAAAGTCATCGAAAAGTCAAGTTGTCGTCAAGAAAAGTCAAACTAGAGTAAAAAAAAAGTCATGCGAGCGTCGTCGGATAGTTTGTATGCCCTTACAGGGGTGCTAATATAGAATCTGCTTAGGTTCTCTTCTGAAGACTGCTGCCACCCCTTCCTCAGCTTCGACATCTCCAATAGCCATTGATTCTAAACCTCACGCATCCACGCTTTCAAACGCGCAGTTCAAGTATTGCCTCTCCATCATCCGCACGCTCAAAAAGCAGAACAACGCACCAAGCCAGTCAGATACAAAGCCACGTCAGGTAAACCAATTATCGTCGAGGTCGTAGCGGGTGTCCGAGCAATTCCATGACTACTTAGTTCTAGGGCTGCCCATCTCCTGCCCACCTCTGTTTGCATGAAGAATGAATGAGACGAGTCTTATGGAAAAAAAGAGGCCGCCGAAGTGCGCAAGGCTGCCATGGCTGGCCATGCGCAACCACATGCGCCCAGTGCGCGCTAGCAGCGCTTAGCGCAAGGCAATTGCCTTGCGCTTGAGCTTGCGCTAGGCCGAGACGTTAGCGTACAAGAAAAGATTGACAATGCGTGAAACGTACCTTTGAGGTGATGGGGTAGAAACCATACTCTACCGGCTCGCCGAAAGCATGCCCAAGGCCTGCTTGATTGGTACTTGAGAGTGGCACAGAAATCATCGTGGGATCGGAGGAGGAAGGTTGAATCTGAACAGAGACAGACTGCGTCGTCGGCGGCTCTTCGTGAACTCGCCGTTCAAGACCTGTATATCATCAGATAGTGGTATTTAGTAGATGAATATGCGCGATTAGAGGCACTTACTGGCTGTATCAATCGAACTTGAGCTCGGAGAGCTGGAAGCCTGTGAGGTTGACTCGCCATGCGCAATAGACTCGTCGCATGGTGAGCTCAGATTGTCCGCCAGAGGGAGTGATTGTAGCCGGGTGTCGGTAGCACTGGGGGTGGTGCTCTCGCTTCTGAGAGGGAGAAACTCGAAGGGGTTATCGAGCTGTAGCATGGTGGTGAGAGGAAAGTTCAGTGTCGACGTGTCCAAACGCTGCTGGAACGACAAGGAAAGAAAGTCGTGTGGAAGTCGCGTGGAAGTCGTGTGAAAGTCAAGCCATCAGGAAAAGCGCCTAAATCTGGTGACGCTGGCGAATCCCGACATGGCATGCATGCAGGACCTCTGAAAATAGGGGGGGAGGCCGGGTGGAAATTTCTTAAAAGCTGGCCAAAATGTACGGATAGAAAGTCTCAAAATCGGCGAAACTTGTCCGGAAAAAAACAGGCCTAGCCAAATCTTGAGTCAAAATGTTCGGATTGAACTGCCAGGCCTCCAAAACCACATTTTTTGGCCGGATTGAATCCGGCCCTATAAGCCCTCAAAATTGTCCGGATTGACCAGATCCGGCCTTGTAAGCCCTCAAAATTGTCCGGATCACATAGTTCAGATCTGTTTTGATGCTCAGAAAGGCCAGAAAGTGTTTATTAAGCCGTTGGCCATCAGAATCAAACACATAGAGCACATGCGAGGATGTTGGTTTCAGGAGAATGAGGGCTGAAGATTGTGTGGGCAAGTTGACATTGAGGGGATCCGCAATCAAGAAATGACAATATGGCAGTATCTTGGGGGGTTCCAAAGGAATGAGAATGTGAACATTGTGTAGAGCTTCTAAGTGAGTAGTGTTGAGGTCAATGACTTTGCTGTCTGACATTGTGTGCAGGATTTTTGTTGGATGTGTGCCACTTCAAGAGCACAAATTTCCATTTCAGCTGACAGCTTAGAGATCTAAAACACAAGCACAAAAAAGTAGTAAAGAAGTACATGTGCGGGATTTGAACCCATGAACCCATTACAAATTGCCTTACTACATACTGCACGGCCTGCCACTACACTATCCCAGCTTGAATTGACCGGACCCTGTTCAGGCCTATCACCCCAACACCACAATTAGCAGGACACACAGACACAGGCCTTGCCCACCATGCAGGGCAAATTTTGTATGGATGCACCTGGCCTAAGGGGTCAAAAAGGCCCCAAATTTTCCAGATCAGCCACCAGGCCTCCCCACCTATTTTCAGGGGTCCTATGCATGCCCTGATAAGCACTGGTTAGCCTGGATATGTTTTTTCTGCTCTTGCCATGCAGCTGAAGAGTGTCGCCACCATGAAGCATCTGGAAAACCACTTCCTTGTATTAAGCTCCAATTAGTTCTATTTATGCATAATTAAGAACAATCAGGATTAGACATTTTTAGCTTACCCCCCCTCTAAACCTGTTCTAATTAGACATAATTTTTCTAAATTAGGAATTATTAGGATTAATTATAACTTGAAATCTCGAAAAAATCATAATAAATCAAGCATCACAGTTCTTATAGCCTTCTTATAAAGTCATGTCTATTAGAGCACTAGTTAAATACCTAAACACAGAATATACCTTATAACAAACTTGCATTCTGCCAGAGTTAAACCAACAACCTCATGTATGCAAGCACCCAAGACAGATGCTCTAAGCCACTAAGCCACAAGGTCTAAGATATAAACTTGGTAATCTAAATAAGTAGACATAATATAGGCAACCTCAACATCTCAAATTTGATTTAACATTTATCTTTCCTCTATTTTAGAAATAAATATGTCAATAAATACCTAAAAAGTGAGGTCTTTCAGGATTTAGTTTAAACACCAGCTAAAAAAATAATAAACCAATGGAAAATTGACAATACACTCCATATAGGATAAAAATAAATTATGGCACTTATACAATTTGGACTGAGAATGTGTAAAACTATGATCAAGTATAATATTCAATGGGACTCTACTAGTATAGACAATGCTACCTAAATTTGCAAATTTGATCAAGAACATGATTATGAATAAATAAGATCTAATAAAAGAGAGGGGTTTTCCAAATAGCCACTAGTGAGGTAGAGGGTGGGGACAAGTGTATATGTATGGCATGCCTATATATAAATAAGCACAAGATTGTTGGAGGTGATTTTTATATGCTTAATGCATATATTTTCTATATGGCAGGCAAATATATCATTCTGGCACCACATACCAATATGACTGTCTTTTCCATAGCCTAATAGCTAGAGGAAAACACCAAGTTTGAGCATCTTCTATATAACAAGGCAATAAACAATATAAATAGTGCTAAAAATTATAATATCAATAGTGATGATGATTGTGTGCTGCACAAGACAGTATTAGCCACTATACTAATAGACAAGGTCTATAAGGCTGCATGTAGCATATCCCTAAGTCTAACCCACATGTTATGTCCTATAATGACCAGTAGCAGGCATTGGCTAACAATGACAACTTTAATGATCTTGTGTGCAAGGACAAGGTACCTAGGTCTTCATAGCCTCTTGTGGCAGCTGCCAAGCTGCCAACAAAGTGGCTGGGGGCATCAATGCACATTTCTCTCTTTCTATATCCCTTGTAAAGGCAGCTGGAAAGTCAGCAAAAGAGCTACAAGATAATGGTATAGGCATATATGAAGGAGAGTAATATGCTGAAATAGTATAGAATGTGCCACATTTTTACCTTCTCACTGATAGAGCAGTAGTACTTACTATTTCCTACTCATAATTAAAGACTTTTTAGCATAGAATTAGTGCTAATATCATGAAATTAGAAACCAATCCAATGCTCACAATATGTTGCTCCCAATTAGGAAATTGGACACTTTTAGATACTATTAACACTTTTAGATACCTTTAGACACTATTAGATATAATCCAGAGCTAATACAAGGGGGTGGTTTTTCAGATGTGCATGGTGCTGGTGGGATACACAACGGGCAAGCATTGGCTACAGGCCAGGGTCCACATGGGTGTAGATCCTGCCAAATGTGAGTGCATGGCACTGGTGAGACATGCACAAGTTCAAGCACAGTTTGACAGGAGAGTAAGAGAAAGGGTGTAGCATCAAGCTGGTTGAGCTGGTCGAACAGGTGAGTGGAAGAGTGTGTGAGGCAGAGAGCAGGCATAGTGTTGAGCAGGTTGAGCAGGTGTTGTTTTGAGAAAGGGCCTGAGGATTGAAGGAAGACAAACAGAGCAGAGGGGAAAGGAAAGATGTGCACTGTGCTCTGGAAAGCAGGTAGATGTGCTTGGTGGGTTTGCTGAGGAGGTTTGTGCACAGCTTTATCTTGTACCTATACAATATCTGCACCAGTGACATGCACATATTCCGAAAGGGCTCGTACCTGTGCATCTGGCAGTGAGTAGCAGGGGGTTGTCACTGGGTTATGATGATGCAGCAAGGATGGAGACATCTGTAGTAGACAGACCAACACCCGTATAGATGAGAGCACAAGAAACAAGAGCGTGGGCTACACTGGAGCCAACCCACAAGCACACATCACGTATCCACAACTCGATAGAACAGGAACATAGTGTCCTTGTGATCTGACAAGACCTATACACATGGTGCACAGGGCATCATTGGCAGCAGCATAGCATGCCCAGCCACCAGGCAAGCAAAGTGCTTAGGCCATCATCAGTGATGGCTTGTTCTGCATTGTCCACATGTCAGGCAGAAGTGTGCCATGGTCGACTTGTCAATATGTCTCCAATTGGGGTCAATCTACAACAGAGCTATGAGCACGGGTCAGAGAGACAGCCCTGCCATACCCCTGTCCTACCCTAAACCTTCTAGCTTTTTAGGTTAGAATTGGGCTATATATTTCTTATTAATAATATACTATAAACCTATATATTATACCTAATATTATCTTCCTATTGCCTCCATATCATTTTATATTGTATTTGGCTCATATTTCACTACTTTACTTTAAACTCTTATAAACTGGCATAACCTACCACAAATTAGAAATCTTATTTTACGAATCTCTTCTATTCCACAAATTCTGCAAATTCTATAAACATCTATCTTAGACCATCTATTAACCAGTTATTATTACACAATTATAGCAGCTTCCACTATCCTTAATTTATATACCATAGTCACAGTTCAGGCTTGAATAGTTGCCTAAACACTTTTACAACACAATACTTTCACTTTAGAGAAATTAATGTCTCTTCTATTAGTCTCTTGCTTTATATATTTATTCCACATTCTTTAGCCTATAATCCCAATACACATAATAACTTATTCTGGTAGTCTTAGTTTAGGCCTTTATGGGTCCGTGACAATTACTTGAATATACCCTAATTGGTTTCCTAAGTTAAATGTCCTTATCATACTCCATTAGGCCATCCATAATCTACATATCGCCAAAGGCTTTGGTTATATATGTACAATATACAACTATAACAGAGACATCTTGGAAATCACAACAAATCCCAAGCTGTCATTCTCACACCATCCATTGAGCCCACTCTCTGCCATAGCTAATACAACCTGGTGCTCTCACAGTCATTGTCAATGTAGCAATCCTATTGTCTACAGGCCCCTGTCCTTATGTAGTATTCTACATCCAACGCAAAAAAGAGGAGAACACACACTACAACTCGTAATTCTATAGCTCTCAATCCCCCCGCCCGACGTGTTCCACTATCACGGCAACATCACTTAGCTATGTCTGTAGCCAAACAGAACCCCACTAGTGGAGCCGCCCACAGATAATGATTCCGTGTCCATCTACCCTTCCATCCGAGCATCACCTTGAGCTAGCAAGAACATGCCCATGGGCCCATCTAGCTCCCAGGTGAAGACATGTCCGTGCACTTATACCCAGCTTCGTCACCTCAAGGGGACGTGCATCCATGTATCGGCTTGAGAGCAGGACACACTCGAGAGAGAGCTAACTGAGCAAGTCTGTGTACCATCGAGGGAATCGAGGCAGTTGTGGGAACCCGCTCCATCAACCCCCGCCCGGAGACCACCTACCGACCTTCCTAACACCTCCCCTTTCTCTTCCTACCTTATCTCCCCGCCACCAGCTGCTCCAAACCCTCCTATTCCACACCCTCAACCCCGAGCGTCCTGACCTTCGCAATTCTCTATGCCCGACCATGTAGTCTAAGTCCAACACAATCTTCCCTTCATCGAACGACAACAACGACAGAGGCTCCTCGGAATCTTAGTGGTCCTTGCTTTCCGTCGAGAACACCCATGGGCTCCAAGCAGAATTTCATCCTTGACCTCGTTGATGACACAGGGTGGTGGTGGTCCAGACCCTCGATGGAGCGAGCAAGCAAACATCCGTGAATCCTTGCCGTTGAGGCGCTTGATCCAGCTCGATCCGAGGACCTACATAGTGGATGAGTCTGCCCCGAGGAAACGAACGCTACGTGTCAACGCGGTTGTGGCTATGGTCGTCAACGAGAACCAGGGTGTAGTGTCAGAGCCCATCGAGCAGCCTGCCTACCGTGCCGGAGAACGGATCAGCGGGTGTGCCAGATTCACAAGACGAGGGCAGGGGATACCCATGTCCGGGAGAGGGCAAAATTCCCCTCACAGACGACACAGCAAGGAAGAGATCGACCTTCATATCACGACATACCAGCTTGCTCAATGAGTTCCCATCCATTGTGGATGTCCTTGTTGTCCCTTTCAACCTTCTTCACAGCCGAGCAGACCTGGTGGAGAACGAGGAGAATGCGAGAGCAGGCAAGCGAAATGACGCTGACTGGAGACCAGGAAGACCCTCCTCCAGCTGGCCGACCCAATCATCCAGGCCTCCAGGCGCTACGCCTCGCTGTGGGTGAGGTACGACCACACCTAGCATCACACCGAGGTAGCCACGCCCCCCACCCCCACTGTGCCGCTCTTCTTGATTTGCCGACTGCGCAGCCGGCATTGACTCAATCACACTAAACATATTGGGCTCTCACCCACACCACCCCTCAATCCCGCTGGTCTTGGCCTCCACAGTGTGTTTGGACACCAGGTCCATAAGGCTGCTCGTGGCCAAGTGCGAGATGGCAAATAACTGGCCGTAACCGAAAGTGGGCGTGAGGGAAAGCGGCTGAACGGGTGTGCTGTCGACCGAGGTGAGCAGGTGGGCGAGGAGAGCGCGCGAGCGGATGACTGTGCGAGAGGAGAAGCGAATGGGTGGACATCGCATCAAAGGCTGGGATCTCAAGGGAGGGACTGAAAGACATGACGACGTTCGACGTCTGCGTGCGCGGGGGAGGGACTGGTGCAAGATGGAGAGGGATGGCACAAGAGACAACATACCTGAAACCTGCTCATCCGTCCCCACCCAAGTTTCTCTGCCACCTCCATTCGTCCTCACCCAGCCCCTTTCTCTCCCGCCATCTCAATCTCATCCTCTTCATCGACCTCCAAATGGCCGCAATGCTTGCACATCCTGAGCTAGCGCCCACCCAAAGGCATTGATGAAGCAACCTCAGTGTTCAACCCTTGACATTTGACCTTCTTGACGGCACTGTGTTGCAGGAATGTCGAGAGCCTGGGGATGAGTGCCCATGGGATCGCAGAGACCGGCTGTCGAGGCATTAAGAGGACGAGCTTCAGGGACAGTGAGCGTGAGTGGGGTCAATAAGACAAGTAGGAGGGCGCTGAGTGGAGGCTGTGTGTGTGTCCGAGGGACCGAGTCTGTGCGGACGTGGGTCGCAGGCAAGGATGAATGCATGGGCTCGAGGGTGAGTGGGCTCGAGGGTGAGTGGGCTCGAGGGTGAGTGGGCTCGAGGGTGAGTGGGCTCGAGGGTGAGTGGGCTTGAGGGGGCGACATTCAATGCGATCAATGCGATCGGCAGCCCTGGGTGGCGAGCGTGTGTGACGTCGAGAGTGGTAACATTGACAGCGGAAGGGAAGACTACGAGGGTAAGCGTGCATGGGCTGAGCCTGCACGGGGTCTTGGCAGCTACGCAGCATAAGGAAAGGATGGAATCATGAATCGTCGAGGGGATGAGCATGAAGGCGCTGGGTGGCGGGGTTGCTTGGTCTGAGCGGACAGCCGGGCGTGGTGTTGAGGGCGGCAAGGTCACTGTTGGGGGGTCAAGGGGAAGCAGGTTGAAGGAGGGGCTCGAATGAATAAAGCGGGGCAAGCAGGTAACAGGCTGCGGCGTCGAGTGGGAGATTCGGGCGTGTCGAGTGGGGATCCGTGCAACGCAGACGACGCACAAGGGGACATGGACGATGTGGGCAAGTGGCCGTGGTATCAAGCGGGTTGAGCACAAGAGTGAGTGTGCGAGTGAGCTAGTGAGCATGCAAGTGAGCTAGTGAGCATGTGAGTGAGCTAGCGAGCGAGTCGAGAGCAAAAGTGGATCAGAGGGGGGCAGACGAGTGGGTATAGCATCGGGCTAGGGTGTTCAGGGAGGCGGGCAGGCAGGTCGAATACAAGAGGTACGGGTGCGAGGGAAGGACTTCAGTGAGAGACGACGACGTACCTTCATCTCTCATGGATAGCCTTGCCATCTGTGCCCATTCCCTTCTTAGCCCGTCTCTCCGCCGCACTCGTTCCTCGTCTTCTGCCACCAGCTGGGTCTCATCCTCCTCGTCTACACTCGAACGGCTGTGATGCTTTGCGCGTCGTCAGGCAGCGTACGCTCTGGGGGTGCAGACGGCAGTGAACGTGGGCATAGGTGTGGATGAGGACAGGGGTCGCCATCAGTGGAGGGGCAGTGTGTGGCGGCCGTGCATGAGGTCGAAGTAGGGGACATCGGCCTTGAGACAGTGAAGCAGGGTGGTCCAAGGGCGTATAGGGTTCAAGGCTGTTGAGAGAGAGAGGATGCATGTGCATGAGTTGAGGGGGTGTGTGCGTGCAGCACAATGTTAAGGGAGGGGCAAGAAGAAACACGAGAGGAGGGACGTACCCTCATAACAATCAGCCCTCCCTTTCCCGTCTTGTCTCTTTGCCACCAGCTTGCCCTTGCCCTCCTTGTTGACACATTCAAGCACATGTAGTGCGTCTGACCAGAGCGCAGGGTGCATTTTGAGTCGTCGCGCTTGGGTTCATCTAGCAACGGTAACGGCGAGTCGGTGGAGGAGGGGTCGTGTGAGGGTGAGGAGCCGCTCTCCTGCATGGACCCAAGTCGGGGTGCAGGGGCAGGATGAACTTGCTGAGTGCGGGCGCAAAGGCAGGGGATGTTGCCGCTCAAGAACGGGCTCAGGACGTGGATCCTGGGCCCGTACATGTCGGCGGCAGAGTCGGGCAGGCAAGGCCATCCTTGATGCGCTTTGCGAGGGAGATGCGCACGCAGAAGGCCTCGGCGACGTGGGAGAGGAGTGCAGGGTAGACGATGGGGGTGCATCAAATGCTGTGTCTCCTCCTCACTGATCTTCTGCATCGCGCACCACACCAGGAGCTTCTCTGTTCTGTACCGCTCATACAGCAGCCAGGGGTGGAGGGGGGCATGACACCGGGAGAAGAGAAGGCCGGCCAGTGTGCGAGGATGCAGATGCGGATGCGGATGCGGCAGCGGCGGCCTGGTCAAGGAGGGCGGAGTGTATGTGAGTGGTGCTCACGTGGACATGGACTTGGAGCGGTCCTGCAGGGTGCAGTCGCGGTCGCGGTCGCTGGTGCTGGGCCTGGTGCACAAGGACTTGGAGGAGCGGCGTGAGGAGGTGGAGGAGGCGTTGGTTATGGTGGTTGTGGTGGTAATGTGGGTGGCAATGGTGGTGACGGTGGACGAGGCGTCCCTCTTCTGAGCTCCTTTTTGTCCTCCTCCTCGTTGTCGCGGTTTTCTGTGTCGTCGAGTAGTGTTGGTTCGTGGGTATTGGTGGAGTGGGACGATGCTGCCGTGGATACTGTGGATCATGTCGAATGAGATGAGACAGCTGCGGGCGCGGGCACGAGGTCAAAGGGACACATGTGCATCGGCCGAGGGAACAAGTGAGGGGTTGAGGCAGACAAGCGGGAGCTAGAGAGTCATGAGGCGGATCGAGTGGCCACATGCACACGACACAAAGCTGAGTCCTTCACACCTGTCTCTGTCTCAACTCTGTCCTTGCACAACCCTTAATTAACCTTCGTCCCCTCGCCCTCACCTCCACACTATGCATGCCCACCAACAACTTCCTTTGCCTTCGCACTCCCATCCACTCTGCCCCATGCACACGCGTCTACTCGACCACAACAAATCCTTCGACCGTTCCCTCACGTGCCCCTGCCACTGCTGCACCTGGTAGGTGTTCAGTTACCCGGATATTACCATGATGTGTACACACATCAGCCGGAGATGGCCGGTCACAGCCGGAGATATCCGGTTGTCTCAGTACTTTACTTAATCAATTACAAATATAAACTGAATATTCCTGTGGGACACTGCTCTGAGATGTCTAACACCAGATATCACCATCCAGAGACAGGCTCAGATAATTGGTCATAGTCATACTCTAAAAGATTTACACTTGGTCAGGATCGAACCCAGCACACCCAAAGTGAGCCCACTTTACTAAATCAACCCTAGCCACTCAGCTACTCTGCCTTGTACAATGTTGCAGTAAATGTTAGATGACCTACCCATACTACCTCTATGACCAATAACATGACACCTATTTGTAGGTTAAATGGCCAGATACCTCTTGCACAACATCCGGTTATATCGTACACCTGCATATGTAAGTTGTTCCATGAATATGATAATTTAAAATATTGTTTACTATACGGGATCAAACCCCAGCCTTGCAGACTAACCCCTCTCATGCACAGCGCGCTAACCATTCCACTATTTCAACATAACATATTATTCTACATTATTGCTGTTATACCTTTCTGGTTACACTAGTAATGAAAAAAAAAAAAAAACATTTCATTCACTATTCCCATGTGAGATCATAAATCTCTTTTCCATCTTCTATAATCAAATGCAGTGTCACAAGTTCATCAGCGACTAGGGCATCTGATATAGCACAATAGACATTGATTGCACACTTGCCCTTTGCAGCCGCATGTGCCTTCCATCCCATGACCACTTCCTTCTCGTCAATCGACAATCCAGACGACCCTTCCATAACCTCCACTTTCTCAATCCCCCGTTTTTTTCTAGCCCGCTTGTTACCCACCTCTCCTGCCTATACACCGACACTTTTGTACTCCACAACCAGACTGTCTTCACCCACCTTTGCACCCTCGATCCCATCCGCCAATCACTGGATCTCTGCACCCAACCCTACGCACCCCGGAGTCCTAGCTAGATGGCCCAAAATAGAATGTTCCCGCTCACTCACCCAAATCTCCTTGTCAATGTTCAAATAGATCTCCCACCGACATTCCTCTCCATTTCATTGGTCCCACTGTTGATCCCAACGCAAACCCATTTCTGCCATGATGCACCTGTGCTCCATGAATTTGAAGAATGAATATGGAGCCTTGCATAATACTATTTCTGGCATAGCATTAGCCTGAAACAATGTCAGCAAACCACTATTGCCCCGATAGCAAGTGAGACTCATAGCTGTCCACATAATGACCCAAACCCAGCGGTCGAGACCATTGTTTGTGTGCAAGACCCCCCCTCCCTCGCCCTGTGAATCCTCCACTCCCTTTCCGAAGAAGTCATCTATTGACGGCACCGGACTTGTCAATATGTGACCATCCCGCTGCAAGCAATGAGCGCATGCCCACCTCAGACAATGTCCATCACTTACCACCGGGCTACTTCCTCCCTCAGTACCTTTGCTCACCATATTACCTTGCGACTGGCTGAATTGCACTACGGTCTTTTCTCGAGTGCCTCCATGTCCTGAAATTTTTGCCTCCAAGTCATACCATTGGTCAATAAAATATATGCATGTGAAACTCCATGTGCACTTACTTCTTTATTGAATGTCCTCTAGAGGACTTTTGCCAGCTTGCCATCACCGCGAATCCTTTCATCATCTGCACGAATTTCTTCAATACGCAAAACCTGCTCGGCAGGCGGTAGATCTTGAGGCGGGTACCATAGATTGTCGCAAATATGACACTATATATTTGATTGTGGAAAACACACAAAAAATGATGTCGAACATACTCACTATGGAGATCCACTCTCCCACATGACCTTGTTTGAAGACGAGTCGCAGAAACACACAGTGTTCCTCCCGACACCTGCGACACTCAACAGGGTTGTTGGGACAACGGGACATTGATCTTTTCTGGCATGTATGTTTGAGACGAGCAGAGTATCGGCTGTGAGAGATGGAGGGAATAGCATGACTGTGCCTAGGAGTCGCCTGAACACCGGGGGACCGTGTGCACACCATGCTGCATAGAAAAAAACATCTGCACATGCCTTTTATACTCGAGAATCAGCGCGCGGACCATGTCTTTGCAGGACCTCAGGCAGGTTCCTCTTTTTACAGGCACATTTCACTCTCTTTCTAAAAATGCACATTGACTTTGCACCAGCTCGCTCTCCAATCCATCCAGGCTCCTTAATCCACCTCACACCTCCGAATACCTACCCCACTGCTTCCTCAACCTGTCGCAGATGTTAGCTCTTGTTTCAACCCCTTGCCATTGCCCACTTACGGATCTTCGCCCAACAGCCTGCTAGATGGTTGACAATCTCTGCATGGTCGTCCTTCAACTCCCTGTGGAATCACCAGCGGTTGTGTGCTCCCCACTACACTCTCAACCAGGCCAACAAGCCGCACATAAGGTGTGCCCGCATGACTCTCTACACCCCTGCCTTCGTTCTCGTCCAATGTGTCTATCCCCATACTGCTGACATCCGCCCTAGCAGCATTGATCATCCCTACATGCCTGCTAATCTGACCATACCCATGCCCATGCCCACACCCACACCCACACCCATGCCAATGCCCATGCCCGCGCCCATGCCCACAACCCACATCTCCATAGACCCGTAGCACCGGCTCGTGCATGCTTGTGTCTTGTCCTCGAGTGACTGCTGATCCCAACTCACCGATGACACTGCATCTGGAAAAACACCCCCTTGTATTAGCTCTGGATTATATTTAATAGTGTCTAAAGGTATCTAAAAGTGTTAATAGTATCTAAAAGTGTCCAATTTCCTAATTGGGAGCAACACATTGTGAGCATTGGATTGGTTTCTAATTTCATGATATTAGCACTAATTCTATGCTAAAAAGTCTTTAATTATGAGTAGGAAATAGTAAGTACTACTGCTCTATCAGTGAGAAGGTAAAAATGTGGCACATTCTATACTATTTCAGCATATTACTCTCCTTCATATATGCCTACACTATTATCTTGTAGCTCTTTTGCTGACTTTCCAGCTGCTTTTATAAGGGATATGGAAAGAGAGAAATGTGCATTGATGCCCCCAGCCACTTTGTTGGCAGCTTGGCAGCTGCCACAAGAGGCTATGAAGACCTAGGTACCTTGGCCTTGCACACAAGATCATTAAAGTTGTCATTGTTAGCCAATGCCTGCTATTGGCCATTATAGGACACAACATGTATGTTGGACTTAGGGATATGCTACATGCAGCCTTATAGACCTTGTCTATTAGTATAGTGGCTAATACTGTCTTGTGCAGCACACAATCATCATCACTATTGATATTACAATTTTTAGCACTATTTATATTGTTCATTGCCTTGTTATATAGAAGATGCTCAAACTTGGTATTTTCCTCTAGCTATTAGGCTATGGAAAAGACAGTCATGTTGGTATGTGGTGCCAGAATGATATATTTGCCTGCCATATAGGAAATATATGCATTAAGCATATTAAGATTGCCTTCAACAATCTTGTGCTTATTTATATATAAGCATGCCATACATATACTCTTGTCCCCACCCTCTACCTCACTAGTGGCTGTTTGGGAGACCCCTCTCTCTTATTGGATCTTGATTATTCATAATCATGTTCTTGATCAAATTTGCAAATTTAGGTAGCATTGTCTATACTAGTAGAGTCCCATTGAATATTACACTCAATCATAGTTTTACACATTCTCAGTCCAAATTGTATAAGTGCCATAATTTATTTTTATCCTATATAAAGTGTATTATTGATTTTCCATTGGTTTATTATCTTCTTAGCTGGTGTTTAAACTAAATCCTGAAAGACCTGACTTTTTAGGTATTTATTGGCCTATTTATTTATAAGATAGAGGAAAGATAAATGTTAAATCAAATTTGAGATGTTGAGGTTGCCTATATTATGTCTACTTATTTAGATTACCAAGTTCATATCTTAGACCTTGTGGCTTAGTGGCTTAGAGCATCTGTCCCAGGTGCTTGCATATATGAGGTTGTTGGTTCAACTCTGGCAGAATGCAAGTTTGTTATAAGGTATATTCTGTGTTTAGGTATTTAACTAGTGCTCTAATAGACATGACTCTATAAGAAGGCTATGAAAACACTGATGCTTGATTTATTATGATTTTTCCAAAATTTCAGGTTATAATCCATCCTAATAATTCCTAATTTAGGAGAATTATGTCTAATTAGAACAGGTTTAGAGGGGGGTTAAGCTAAAAATGTCTAATCCTAATCGTTCTTAATTATGCATAAATAGAACTAATTAGAGCTTAATACAAAGGGGTGGTTTTCCAGATGACTGGGGTTGTGCAACCCTCCAGACAACTCTGATGCCATATCATTGCCTTGCACGTTCTCATCAGCAGCATGGACCTTGGGAAGTGTGTGTGGTAAACTAGAGTGGGTGACCAAGCCAGGCCCATCTTCACTTTGAGCAGCCACACAGCGTTGTGCCAAAATCTTTAATCCCGTCTCAGAGATTACTTGGCCATGGGGCTCTGGTAGGGAACCCATCCCAACCGTCTTCACGCCGTCTATTAAGTCGCTCGTCTGTGCAGGGCCAGGCTCCATCCAAGGGCTCACTTCAGCAGCACTGCCATCCACCTTGCCTGGCCAAAAATCTCCCGACTCCCCTTCCGGTGATGCTGCGGCAATTGAGCTGTTGACCACCGATAGTGCGCGATTCGTGGAGTCCACCTCAGGTGATGCTGTGGCAATCGACGTGTCTGCCGCAGATGAGCCTGCCGCAATAGAAGAGCACACACCTTCGCTTGGAAGCCCTATCAAAGGTTGTCAGTCATTATCAGCCCAAGACAACCAGCTACTCACAATCATAAATGCTTTCCAGGAATGCCCAAAACAAACTATGCAAACGCTGCCTTGAAACTCCCGATTTGCTCGTGAACACTCACTCAAAGTTTTTTGAACCGGCATCCTCACCAGTGCATTTGCTGCATCCTTATTAATGACATTGTATGGTCCATTGGGCATAACGGACTCACACATGCACATTGATATCACCATTGATGCCGATGCCCTCTAGCATCATCATCCCCACCCATCTAGTTTCCTCATACTAATATTCCATCATCTTTTTAATTGTCATAGGCATGTTCTTGGCTTTCCTGAGGTGCACAATTCCACAAATTGCATGTACTGAGTGACGATCCCAATCCACATAAAAAGTCTCACTCACTTGCCACGTAAGTATTCACTGTGTGGCGCAGAAGTGGCCTCCTTGCGTGTTGAGTTAAGCAGCAATGCCTGTTCCTCCAGCTCCACGGCTTCCTCACCTGTAAGAGTGTCAAATGCTGCGGTGATGTGCGTCAACCACTGTCCCACAGATTCTTCAGCCATTGCCTCCGGGCGTTTGGGGTGATCAGCCTTGAACAACGAGCGCACAGTGTAGTTCCTCATGATGCCTGTGATTACTGGCTGCACCACTACAACAGGGGCGGACTTGCAATTCTTGCTGTGCGCTTTGCACCAGTTGTAAATGTGCTTGAATAGACATCAGTCAAGCGTGGACACTCGCCCTCTTCATAAGAACTCACGGTGGAAACCCCTTCCAAATGGCTATCACACTCAGCCTCCGACTCAGCCACTCATTTGACAAGCAGATGTCAACAATGGGGCCGCTTTTTGGCAGCTTGTCATACTGCAAACTCCGCGGTGGTTTTGGCCGTGAAAGGTCTGTTAAAAGCCTCCTTGTAACGTGTGGTGATAAGGCCTGCAACATGCTTCAATGCCCCTTTGCTGGAGTCCTGGAGTATCTCGTGGGCCATGGGGCTGATGAATACGGTGCAGATGAGTTCCTCTTCGCAGGACAGCTATTTCCTGATAGCCATGGTGGAGAATGAGAGGAAGGTCCTGTTTGCGAGTTGCACACCCAGATTTTATAGGCGTGACTCAGACGACTACAGAAAATTTTGTCAGCATCGCTGCCCGGTAGGACGACTCTCCCACATTTCCGTATCACTCTTGGGAAATGTTTTGCAATACTCTCTTGTGATCTAATCTACGCAGCATGTTTCATGGCAAACGAATGCGAAACAGAACTATACAATTTAAGTCCTTGATACACTGTAAAGAAGCAGACATGAAATCTTGTGGAGAAGGTAGAAATGCTAATATAGGACGGTTTTGGTGGGGGGAAGCCAATAAGGTCGCATGAGTGGAAATGTTGGGGATCGACCTCGAAGGGAATAGAAACGTCGGCAGTAGTACAATACTACCTCTTTCTCAAGTTCTGCAAACGTCTCCTGCCGCTCTTTGTGCTCATCTCACTGTGGGAGATGGGGCTCCTCAATTGGCCAAGCCTCTAGTGCGAACAGCATTTGACCAACGGCTGCCTGCCGCACTCTCCACTCTGGTGAGGTAAGCCAGTCCTGTGAATCCTTCCCTGGTTCTTCCCACACTCTGCACTCGTTGTTCCATATGCTCATGATGTCGAAGTGGTGCAGATGGGGGAGCTTGGTCTTGGCCAGATTGTACAAGTCTGGTACCACCTCCTGGTCGAGTGCCAATAGCTCAAGGCGGAACATTGTGACTGATATCTCCCATGTCAATGTTGCCCACAGGCGATTGTCCACCAAGGCCTGATGAAAATTGATGGGCTTCTTCTCCCACTTGGGCAGAGGGGTGTCATCAGGCACATATGGGCTAAATCCACCATGCACGCCAAATCGAACATGTATGTCCACCCGCTCTATAAGTCGCTAGAGCCGATGCCTATCCGCCGTGTTCAATTGTGCCCCGTCACTCAACCGCACATCTGCCCGCCTGTGCTTCCCCAAACTGGTGGTACCCTCTAGGGCTTCATGCAAACATGTGATATCCTTGCAAGATGATTGGGGTTGAATTGCCGCATCCTTAGGATAATGTACAGCAAAGTACTATCCCTCCAGCGCAATATGCTATTGCGTGGCTGTCATCAACACTGGTGCCTGGTCCACATTGGCATAAGCCTTAAACAGGCACCATTCCCGTATGCGCAGCCAGTTCTGGACCTTCTGGGCATGCACATCACCTTTGGCAAAGAACAGATGCAAGGAAGGGAGTATATACATAAGGGCTTGCTTTGAATCCGGTTTGGCCAGTGCGGGTGCCGCATCCTGAATGATGTTCTATAGACTTGCTACTTCACACATCCAATGTGGGCAGTTGTCTGGCGGACATGTGGCTTGAGGGGCTTGCCGGTGCTCTTTTCAGGGGCCCTCTCTCTTCTTTTGGGAGTCTACATCGGGCTGTCAGATCAGGCCATCGGAAAATCCATATGAGGGCATATGACGCACTACTTGGAGAGCCCCCGGCCACATGGTCATCTGGTAGGCACATGGTCAGTCTTGATTGTTATCACCAACAAATGACCCACAGACCTCGCTGGATCTCAGCCATCCTAGCCTCCGTATTTTCTTCTATCATGTGATCCTCTAGTCCTTAATGATCGACCTCGAGAACAGGAACAGTGCGTCAAATGGTTGGCTTGCCTGTGAGGCTGTATTAGCAAAGCATGTCCCCGAAACCCTGTAAACTCTCATTGAGAATCTTTGCCTCAATGAAGTCCGGTGCAACCAACTGGCAACCATGATGGGACATTACTGTCTCTGAGCTGAAATAGATGATCAGCAAGATCGGCTCATGAACACAAATAATGGTCATCCGTGTCGTGAGGGTGTGCAAAGGGCACACCCATCACACTGGCACTCCACACCGGTGCATGGTGTGCACGATTGATTCTTTTTTTGTGAACACCCCTCGGAGCGGCAGTACATTGTCATAGTCTGCAAACTCCAGGTTGTCCAGGCAGGGCTTGATAATTGTCATGTAGATTAACCACGCGCGCAATCCAAGAATGAGGCATTGGGCGTCTCAATACCACAACACCACGTTGAAGTAAGACATGGGGGTCTCTTGAAGACAAGAGCAAGTGCGTCGAAGGTAGTCAATTTCCTGTAGAACATAATGTTTGCGGCACTCTGTGTACTGCTCTCGATCACTTTGGTGTGCAAACATGCTGTCCAGCTCCGTATCCACCACCTTGAGCACCATCACAATGATTTTGTTGGCTGCTGACCACAAGCGTCCATATAGGGGTGGAGCCAGGAAACCAACATCTTTGTGGGGCAGGTAAAGAGACACAACAAAGTCAGAGTCCTCGAGGCCTTCCCAGGCAATGGCCGGATGCTGGAAATCCAGTAGCGTGCACTTCAAGTCGAGCAATGGATTTTCCCAGAATTTGAGATTGAACATCAGGTCCGGGTTCCCCGGAACCACCAGGGTGTGCAGCTCCTGCTTATCAAAGACTTGCAGCCACTTGACATGTTCAAAGGCACCCAGCATTCCATTAGCGTAGAACCAAAGGGGTTGGCCTCGAAATCCACATGCCCCCATTGCTATTGGAAAAGGGCACCAAAGTCAGGCAGTCATTGTGTGCCAGCACGATGCCCTCCATCAAAGGCTGGCGATGGGCGAGCACCTGTGCCATAGAGGTGAAGGGCGTCGGGTTGTAATCACTATACAATACCGGTGAGTCCTCGTTTACTACGTTATTCACCACGCACTTACGTAGAATTGGGATCTGCCATCATAGGACACAGGGTATACTCCCTCATGAGAGAGCGTTCTGCAGTTGATCATGAATCAATGCAGGTTAGAACTCGCATCATAAGTGGGCCTACCTTATTTTGCAAAAGGTTAGTTGTGTGATGTACGAGGGCTTCCTTGGAATTCCTGACCGGGTTAGGTAAGGACGTTGTTGAAGGCTTCCTAAGGCCACCAGGAGGATAATCCACCTCCAGAGCTTGCGGAGGGTGCACGTGGGTGCATGGGTTGGTGAGTTAGTGCCTGTCAGGCTACCTCATGTCCGAAAGACGGAGGTGGTGTCTCGTGCCCGAAAGGCAGAGACTTGCAATGATGGGTCCAAGGGAGTCCAGGGAGAGTCGGCACAGGTCAGCTTTGAAGGGAGGCCAAGGCTTGAGGTGTTCGCTTATATATTGCATAAACTGGTTAAGTCATGGGTGAAGACGACAAACACTATTTGCTTACCATCTGGGGGAGCAGTTGAGGTCAAAATGCTGAGGGATTGGCTGACCGTCCCTAGGTTAGCTTCTAAGATAAATGTCACAGAGTGAGGAAATATAGGTGGCAAGGGTGCCAATAGAGGACTTACCTGAGATTAGGTTACACAGCATGGTGGTTGTACCCAAGGGACTTGGGAATGCTTGGATGGTGGAGGTCGATACCGGGAAAGACAAGTGAGTGGCCATGGTTGAGGTGAGGAAGACGATGGTGAGCGAGATCAGGGGCACTCTAGTGTGGGGAATGGAAGCAAATTGATTGTTGAATCACCATGTGTGAGGGAGTGGTTAGGGTTGGCCCCCAGAGCACCACAATGATGACAAATACCTTGCACATGCTATATGGCACGAGAAAAATTTTGTTGAAGTCCAACGTCCACCATTTCAGACTGACAGGTATGCTATTGCTTCTGTCAGGTCAGCACCTCTCTCCTTCCCCCTTATTCGTTGTATCGCTGCCAACCCCAATGCTGACATTCTGCCAGTTTGGATCCAGGATGATCTTTCGTTGATCCTCAGCGCTCTAAACTTACTTCCTTACAGACCTCACAAAGATTTAACAAGGCTCTCTCCTCAACACTGTCTATGCGGATGATCACCTCCTCTTCCTCTGCTTTATCGCAATGGCTTTCCACCTTTTGGGCTCAAAATCCTGCTTCCATCTCATGGACATAGAGGTTCTGTTGTCGATGAGTTAAGCAAAACTCGTCTCACCAGCACGGGCGAGCCCCTGCACGTAATTGATTCCTCAAACATTTTTTGCAAGTACTAGGACGCCTTATTGATGGCACAACCGCTAGCGAGCCCCGTTGACAGGACATCCTTGGGTTCTCCTGCTTTGCTTATATGCAATCTCGTACCACAGTACGTATCTTCATGACATTGAGATGACAACTGAGTGGCTTATTTGAGGGCCAGACAACACTGCGATGCCATCACGTTCCTCTACTCAATGATCGCCTTCCAAAAGGATCTGATTTACATCGGATTGTGGTGCTCAACATTCCTTGACCCAGATGTCCACGGGCCTCTCCTCGGATGCCAAGTGTGACCCATGGGCTGCCATGAGAGGCATCCATCTGCTCCCTGTAGCTCCTGGCACGCCCACCTGGGAATCTCTGCCCAAGCCCGGGGCTCTCCATGGACCTCACAACACAGAATACAATATGATGGAGGCGAGCATCAACACGCCGCCAAGACGCCAGAGCAACACAATTGTAAGGGTAATGCACATTTCATGCAATCACACACTGACAGGATTTGTCGCAGGCACCCTCTGTGAGGATGACTCAATTCATGGACGAATGGGCTCCCTTGGCATTCTGTGAGCTATTGGCCATCAAGGCACCCCCACTTGACATGCAATGTTTGCAGTGTCCTCAAGGATCTGGGCACGCAAGGAGCCCTCTTGTCATTTATCGATGTGTGGAATGCTTGCGTATGCATCAATACTGCCAGTCATGCATGATTTCCACTTATGAGTCCATGCCTTTCCATCGCATCGAGCAGTAGACGGATGAGAAAGGCTTCTGGGAAAAAAAGTGTCTGGCAGACCTTGGATTGTGGTTGCACCTAGGACATGGCAGCCAGAAGTGCCCCATAGCAATCAATGGTCCTCAAGAAATGATGATCGTCCATGAACATGGCATCTCCATCATCCTAATTCACTTTTGCGAATGCCTTCATCATCATACCAGTCTCACAACACCGGATTCTCTCCAGCTCCTCCATTGTGGCTTATTTTTGGGGTTGTGGGAGAAGCCGAGGATGGCATTCACCATCCAGGTTCTGAAGAGTTTTTACCTGCTGGCATTGTAATTGCAGATCACAGCCCACGACTTCATGAGGTACCTTAGGTGCAAAACAGATAATGTATTTCCTGACTCTACACCGGTGAGCAATATCTCTTTATCTGGAGCTCCTGAAAATTGACGCATCAGGCCAGGATTGCTACCGGGAATTATTGATCATAATTCGAGAGTGGATGTACCTAGTCACAATGAAACACGCCAGCCAGGCTCCAGCTTGCAACATGACCATTGGCAGTTTGGCAGTGCTTTATCCCACTTGCCCGCAGCCTGACACCAACATGGCGCCCAATTGGCATGAGCAACCTTACTCGCAGAGGTATCTGTGTTTGCAATTCTATATGTCATGTCGCTGAGAGTTGACGGTCAAAACAGCTTCTTGGATGCACTTTTTCATACGATTGATGGCAATTTTCACCAAAACCAAAAGATCAAGCCCTTGGATCCCAATGACTTCCCTCTGACCTTGGGCGTGGGCTATTTCGCGCATGAGGGAGACTTTGAGGCATATCAGAAACTACTGGGACTAATAGAACATGAGGTACAGCACTGATTTATCATGGCGGTCTCACTCTGTCTGATTTTGTGCTCTAGCCGTCTATGTGCCATCAGTTTGGAGCCATGGGTTATGGAGGGTATTGGGATAAGGTATCTGGAACAGTTGGTCTTTCCTGTGCCCAACACATGTTTGTGTTGCCGGGGGGAGGGGTAGACCTACAAAAGGGGGAAAGGTATGCCTTAAAGTGCGCTTAGCAATTATGCCCTAGATTGATGTCACCACTCTCCAGATTTGCCAATGTTGATTTCGCGATGGCATCTGGCTTAAAGCATTGGATGGAACTGCGCTTGCACATCTTAGGCTATGACATCAATTATCAGTATCGGATCCACTTCAACAAACAAATGTCATGGATGGGCGATCACACAGGGCACCTTCTAGCTGTATCTGGCGCTCAATTCCCTACCATAGTGGCAGCTGTCAGGAATATTCATCTCCCAGCATGCAAAGTGTCATGTCAGTATATGTTCTCATACCATTGGTTGCCCAGCGTGGGGATGACGGATGGTGAAGCCCCTGAACAAATCTGGGTGATCTTGAATGACATCGGAGACAGCACTTATGAGATAACCTCGGGACATCATCACAATGTCATTAATGATCACCACTCAGACATGAATGTGTGACGAACCCACAGCATCGGTAGGTGTGGACCTGTGCATCTATCTATCCTCAGTCTAACCCTCATGTGCCCACACTAGTGAAGGCCACATAGAAGAAGTATGACCAAGCGCGGACGGAGTACGTCAGGGCAAAGGATGCACTGCAGCGCTTGGAAACTCAAATTGAGCCTGGGACTCTGGCTCAATGGAAGGTCGAAGAACAGAATTGGCTAGAGAAGGTGGTGAACATGAAACAGCACGATACCTTGCACAACCCGTATGAGCCGCGGAACGACAAAGGTCCATCACTGAAGTGGGCTGCATTAAACCACTCGCTGACCCCTCTGCAGGGCTCACTCAGAGACAAGCATTAAACTTGCTGCAGAAGCATGGAGACGGTGTAGATGCCATGGGTGTAAGGATGGTGGGAGCAGTTGCAGAGGGTATGGAGTTGCAAAAGCTCAGGTGAGTCACATCCTTGTCATCTGGGTGTCCTGGTCTGAGTCATTGAATGCAGGTAGGATCTTCTGAACGAGTGGGAGTTGGCTGACGAGAAGTTGCTAGACAACTTGGAGCTGGGACACCGCTTTATGACACAACATCAGACATGGCGTGCGCTACATGAACAATATGTTCAGCCTGCGATTTATAAAGCCATGAAGGATAGTGGTGCAGTGAACTGCTCGTCCATCAAATTTAATTTTTGTGGGCCGCCGATTGAACAAGAAAAGCACACAGCACATGACAATGCAGGCACTCGTCCATACTCGGCAAAACATAATGCTGCTTTGTTACACACAGAGCGGCCTGGTACCATAGCGAGCCAATCGTTGAGGAGTGCAGCGTGGCACAAGGTCCAAGCCATGGCTGTCAACCTGCCGTCCAATTATGCTTTAGCGATCACTACCCATAGTGCTATGTCCCAGGCTGCAGAGGTCAAGAGGTGATTACAACAAGGGCAAGCCAACAATGCCCTCGATGATTTAAGGGCTCATGTTATTATGTCCTATGCGATAAAGCAGGAGAAATGGGCAGGGTCTGGTCAGATCCACAACATGCGCATGAACCTCAAGATAAAAAATCACAAGCTGGCCATTGATGCTGCAGCATTGAGGTATAGGCTTGCGCGTAGCAAACTTGTGAGTCTCGGTCTCTTGCCAGAAGACCCTACATATAGGGAACTCCAAGTCTCCGACATTGTCCCCTTTACTATGTGTACCGTGGATCAACAACTGGGAGATAGCAAGAGACAGCCGTCCTAGATCTGGTCAGACTTCCGCTTTGTCAAGGGCCAGAATAAAGAAATCCGGCAATACTGTGAGGAGAGTGAGTGCATTCTATCCCTATATCACGTTAGCCTCATCACTTATGGTCTTTTAGTGCTGAAGGTGCATTGGTTCCGTCGAAGTGCACTAAAAACACGGTGGCAAGAGCAGCTTATGTTGGTCAAAGAAGAGATGTGTTGGATCTTATGCTTTTTCGACTACCACAAAGAGTTATGGAGGAGTTGAGTAACGTCGGAAAGGGGGGGGGGAACAGCTGGGCTCTCAACCTATGCACACAAGTAAGTGCTACATTCAGCATTTGGAGTTGAAATTAAGCTTTGCATCAGACAGGCAGCCCAGTATTTGTGGCTTTGACACAACGGCTTTGTGGAGTTTTCAAAAAGGATTCATGTGATTTAGATGATTGCGGCGCCAATATAAATGTCAGAGCGGCCATTCCCATCACATACTTAATCAGAAGCTGTGCCCCCTCCTTGTGACGTCTCCCTCACAAGCAGTGAAAAGGCAATCTCTTGAGACTCGTGGGCGCCCAACCCATTGTTCGCTCCCTACTCATCATGAGCTGGAGTGGGGGGTGTATGAGCGTATTTGTCGCGGAGTTGCCTTGTTTCTCAGCCCCCCCTTGCTTTGTCTAACCTGCTGCGCCTCAGATGAATGGGACTGTGATGGGGTGAGGACAGTGCTATGAGGCGCTCTTAGAATATTGCCCCCTCCTGCGAAGATGGCTGCAATTTCCCCCATGGAGCGAGGCCTATTCACCCACGGCGTATGCGGCACTGTTAGAGTCAGCTCGGCAGGTGAGATGGGTTCTGGACGTGCTGGAGAGCTTGTGGGGCGTTGATCCTCAGATCCTGCTTTGTGGGACGTGCGTGTTCTGTGCAAACGACGAGCGCATCTGGAAAAACACCCCCTTGTATTAGCTCTGGATTATATCTAATAGTGTCTAAAAGTGTCCAATTTCCCAATTGGGAGCAACACATTGTGAGCATTGGATTGGTTTCTAATTTCATGATATTAGCACTAATTCTATACTAAGAAGTCTTTAATTATTAGTAGGAAATAGTAAGTACTACTGCTCTATCAGTGAGAAGGTAAAGATGTGGCACATTCTATACTATTTCAGCATATTACTCTCCTTCATATATGCCTATATCATTATCTTGTAGCTCTTTTGCTGACTTTCCAGCTGCTTTTATAAGGGATATGGAAAGAGAGAAATGTGCATTGATGCCCCCAGCCACTTTGTTGGCAGCTTGGCAGCTGCCACAAGAGGCTATGAAGACCTAGGTACCTTGGCCTTGCACACAAGATCATTAAAGTTGTCATTGTTAGCCAATGCCTGCTATTGGCCATTATAGGACACAACATGTATGTTGGACTTAGGGATATGCTACATGCAGCCTTATAGACCTTGTCTATTAGTATAGTGGCTAATACTGTCTTGTGCAGCACACAATCATCATCACTATTGATATTACAATTTTTAGCACTATTTATATTGTTCATTGCCTTGTTATATAGAAGATGCTCAAACTTGGTATTTTCCTCTAGCTATTAGGCTATGGAAAAGACAGTCATGTTGGTATGTGGTGCCAGAATGATATATTTGCCTGCCATATAGGAAATATATGCATTAAGCATATTAAGATTGCCTTCAACAATCTTGTGCTTATTTATATATAAGCATGCCATACATATACTCTTGTCCCCACCCTCTACCTCACTAGTGGCTGTTTGGGAGACCCCTCTCTCTTATTGGATCTTGATTATTCATAATCATGTTCTTGATCAAATTTGCAAATTTAGGTAGCATTGTCTATACTAGTAGAGTCCCATTGAATATTACACTCAATCATAGTTTTACACATCCTCAGTCCAAATTGTATAAGTGCCATAATTTATTTTTATCCTATATAAAATATATTATCGATTTTCCATTGGTTTATTATTTTTTTAGCTGGTGTTTAAACTAAATCCTGAAAGACCTCACTTTTTAGGTATTTATTGACCTATTTATTTATAAGATAGAGGAAAGATAAATGTTGAATAAAATTTGAGATGTTGAGGTTGCCTATATTATGTCTACTTATTTAGATTACCAAGTTCATATCTTAGACCTTGTGGCTTAGTGGCTTAGAGCATCTGTCTTGGGTGCTTGCATACATGAGGTTGTTGGTTCAACTCTGGCAGAATGCAAGTTTGTTATAAGGTATATTTTGTGTTTAGGTATTGAACTAGTACTCTCATAGATATGACTCTATAAAAAGGCTATGAGAACTGTGATGCTTGATTTATTATGATTTTTCCGAAATTTCAAGCTATAATCAATTATAATGATTCTTGATTTAGGAGAATTATGTCTAATTAGAACAGGTTTAGAAGGGGGGTAAGCTAAAAATGTCTAATCCTAATCTTTCATAATTTAGTATAGTAGGGCATCAATTATAGCTAATTAGAGCTTAATACAAGGGAGTGGTTTTCCAGATAGCTTTACATGTTGGCAGAACGGAAGGTCAGGTGTCTCTTTAGACTTGAACCTTTACAACTAGGACTATGACTTGACATGTGTCTAAGCATATGACTCAGGACATGGTCATGAGCTACGCACATGACTCAGGCTTGGACTGTTTACCATTTACATGCTGACACATGAACACTTATACCATTATGACTCATCCTTCTCCCTCTTCTATGTGGCTTACTGATGTCAATCATGATCGAGTTCCCTTTAATATTGCTGTAGACAGACATTTGATATACTTACTATATATGGTTACATCAAGGAGCTGCAGAGTTTGAACTATGACTATGGATTACAGATCCTGATTGTTTAGCTTACTTAGTGTTTAGAAGCACAGACCATACATCTACCCAGCCCCTTCAATCTGTGTAGCACCTCAGTAGCTTGAATCACAAAGTTCTTAACCCTCTCCTTATTATTCTCAACATTTACAGAGTATTGTCCAGAAAGTATTATTGAGAATAGCAATCAAATGAACACTAGGTACATCTGGAAAAACAGGAAACCCCAATTATATCTAGGTGTGAAACCATTCCTCACCATGACAACAGTCGGTCAGGTAGGGACTGACCATGTTTGGTGTGAGTCAGTGTCTTCATTACTTGTCTAGCACTGTTTGGTATCTTCTCAAAGCTTCCCAAATACCTCCCTCAGACCCTAGCATAGGTGCATGCTCATCAACATAATATATCATATTATATGCAAGATACACAAAAATGATATATGACAAAAACAAAACAATTTTGGGAAACAGATATTTCACACATGCAAGTATCACAATTCAAACTTGATCATATCTCAAACACAAATACCACCATTTGTATAACACTATAGCATATTCATGATATTAATGTTATACTAAGGGGTAGTATTTACAAGTGAATTGGTCAGTGTTACTTAATGTTGACTAACATATCTGTCATTTTGAACATCTGCAGCTCTCAACCATTAACTATAACTTGGATGTCACAATCAATATGCAAAATCATGCTCTTTATGGAGGTAAGTGTTCAATGATTTTGATGGAATGATTAACTCATATAGCAACACTACAAACTTAGTTGAAAGGTGACACAGGAACCTCATTATGATCCATGGCTTTGATGGGCATATACATTATAATATAGTATGTATCTAGACCACAAAAGAGTAATAGAAGAGATAGAGCTAGAGTACTTTTACTGCCTAGCACATAAAGGAGTGTCATATATTGAGCCTATGCAGATATGACATCTGCTGATAGTCTTGTGTGCCAATTGGGTGCTCTGTCCTATTAGCATGCTTGAAACCATGTATGCCATATTTCAGCATAGGAGGTGCTTATTATTCCTCCACTATCACTATTGACTAGGCTTCACTTACACAAGGCATGCCCTCATATAGCACATGAGTATAAAGATATATGCTATGGCTCTGTATAATTAAGTGGCTATCATAGTGGTACACAATAGGTGTTCTCACTCTTTCTTACTCATGGTTTTTGCTATCCTTTTTACCCGAGACCATCCCAAGTGTTGCTAACCACTAGAGAAAAGCTCTAGTGTGCCTTATACTAGATTGCAAGGATAATGACTAGCACCTGCTAATTTTTTTCTCATATGCCAATAGTGTATAGACCACTCATTTCTTTTATATAAGAATTACTAGTTGCCTACTTTCTACCACTACAAGCTTGTCCTCTTTCACCTCTCCCTCTTGTTTTTGGATCTTTTGCTGGATCTTTAGCTGGGTCTTTTGCTATGACTGCTTTTTACTATTGGCTGGTCCTTGTATCTATGTTCCTTGGTCAATGATAGCTGGTGTTAGTGCTTGTTTAATCAGGTCTTGAGTGTTCTGGTTATCCTTTATGTTATGTCTTTGATTGTTATTGTGAGGTGATGTTCTGATTCTTTGTGTATTTCTCTTGTATGGCATGGTATATATAATACAATAAGGGTGTTATCTATGCAATTCTCATTATGAAAATATTTTACTATCAATATTGTGATATAAATATAAATATAACTAAGAACTGATAAGAATAATAACTAAATGTGTTTGGGGTTTAAGCCTAGAGTCTCTTATAGCCACAAATATTTCTAGGCTAGGCAAATCCTGCCAATATGCCTTCTTATAAATTGTATTTTCATATCATTCTGTTAGACATTCTGATATCTGTCAAGCCTAGAGTCCTTTATTGCCACAGATATTTCTAGGCCAGATAAATTCTACTGATATGCCTTCCTATAAATTGTATTTTCATATCAGTCTATTAGACATTCTAATATCTATCAAGCCTAGAGTCCCTTATTGCCACAGATATTTCTGGGCCAGGTAAATCCTGCTAATATGCCTTTTTATAAATTGTATTTTCATATCAGTCTGTTAGACATCCTAATATTCATCAAGCCTAGAGTCTTTTATTAACCATTATAGTATCTAATATCAAAATGATAGATTCATTGTATCATATAGTGCATATTTTCCTTTGTATAGCCTTATCAATCAATCATTTTTTCTATGATGTAAGAAAGACCTGCAGCTAGACACATGGCCTAAGGATCACAATATGGGCATGGAGGGTGGCCTGCTAGTTGACAAGGAGCACAACCTACTATTGCATCATGAGAATATGACTGCACTAAAGCAGGTGGAGATCACAATGAAGCAGGTGCATGGCCCTAAGGCAGACAACATAGTGTTTACAAACAGACAGGATACAATACAGAAGCTTAGGTAGCCTGGGCATGAGAGCAGCCTGATACAGAAGCAACAGAATAACCTTATGCAACAGGTCTAGGCTCCCCTAAAAGTGGGGTCAGTGTATAAAGTGGACCATCTTTCTCAGCTTGATGACCATGCATCATTGGCAGTCTTGCAGCTCTTTGAGCCAATTAGTGATGCTGACTGTAGGGTCACCATGGTAACAAGCATTGTGGGGTTATCACTTACTAGGAAGCATTAGTGGTGCACTCCATTAGATTTGTGCAGCAACTCAGCAGTCAATGGCATCCTGTTCATCATAGATGCTGGGTACTTCAAATTGGAGGTATACAACTTAATGGCCTGCATAGATGCACTGAAAATCATGTCCCTTAGCTAGGCAAACACTAGCCCAGGTAGCCTTATAAATATGTAGAGCTTGTGAGATATTTAGTAGTGATTCAGCAGGCTTGATCAAAATTATCATGAAGAGGATTGGATACAAGTGTGGGCCAGCTGCACCCGTTAATTGAGAGAAACACACAGCACGACCATGGGGGCGTCTATGATGGTACAAGTTGGCAACAATGAAGATAGACCTTCCGCGGCCCTGCGTGCCTGATGTCGCTCGCTTCATCAACAACAGTTGGGTATCACTTAGACTAGAGTACTAGCAACGCCCAACAATTAAGAAACGCATAGAGGCACGAGTACATACTATGATTGAAATCAGGTCTAATAGTACACATATTGCAATAACAGCATGGATGGCGAGCCCGACGGTACGTGTGGTGGACGATGGTGATGATGATGTATGGTGATGATGACGATGCAAGGTAGCTGTGGAGGAGGAGAAAGATAGGAGGAAGGACTAACGAAAGGAGGATACGGAGATCAAGAAACATAAAATGAGTACGAATGCACGAGACAGGGATATGCGGGGCGACAATGCCGACCCTGGAGAGCACTGTAGACACTCTACCAGCGGGGAATAAGCTATGATGAGGATAAACAGCGTCATACTTCGAGCGAAACCAGAAACACAGAAAGGAGAAAAAAGAGGAAGAAAAAAAAGAAACCGACGCGCATTACCGGACGCGCTTACCACCCCGAGTAGTGGTACTCGTCCGCCCATGTGCGATTGCGTGCCATCGCGCGTCGCTTGCGCTCTTCTCTGTCGTCGTTGCGTCCACCTTGCCTTTCCCCGAGATCCTTATCTTGTTGTTGATACTGCTGCTGCTGCGACGTCTGCCCGGTCCCGTTAGTCGTCGTTGCAGTCGTCGTCGCTGCTGCAGTGAATGGTCTCAGCCCATTGCCAAGCATGCCCCCCCTCCGTGCACCCCCCAGCGCTGCGCGGCCCAGCTGCCTCTCCCGCAATAAGTTCCGGCGCAAGCTCTCGCTCAATTCTGTCGCCAGCATCTGGCGGCGAGTCGTGCGCGGCGTCGACGGTGCGGCCGCCGGCGGAAGGTTCCACGGATGGTCGAGCGGTATCGGCGCCGTCGCGACGGTGTGCAACACCGGGCGCACCTGCTGCGCCGACGGCGCTCCCCTGTGATCCGAGTTGCGCCGCCCCGTCAGCGCGGCGAGCTTCTGCTGTGCGATGCTCCGCGAGAGCTGAATGGTGTCATCCGGGTTCTCCTCATCGCTGTCGCTGTCCTCCTCCATCTCTTGGCCCTGCGGCCGCCCTTTGGGACGGTAGCCGCGCGCGTTGGTACCATCGTTCAGCACAGGCGCTTGCGCGGTGATCTGCGCGGCGAGCGGGACGGCAGCGGTAGATTTGGACGTCGATAGCGGCAGGGGCACTGACGTGCGGGGATGCCCGACGTCAGCCGAAGAGTTGCTACGATAGGGATGGCCGGGAGGAAGGCGAGAGGGGTCTGGGTTTAAGAGGACAGAGAGTAGCCCAGACTGCGTGCGGTTCAGGTTGGAATACGAGCGCTTCGGGACCTTCGCAAACAGCTCACGCTGCCGCTGCGCCTCGAGCGCTGCCTCGCGCAAACGTATCTCTTCTTTCTTCTTACTCTCTTCGTTGCTCACATCTTCGGGCGCCCGCGAGTCATCGTCGTCCGAGTCCGTCTCGTACTCTGACGAGCTGTTGGTGACGATGATGCCTCGGCGTTGCGGATCGACCGGGGCTACGACCTTCTGCGGACTCGAAACGCGGGACTTGGGGTTTGAGTCCGCACGCGCCGAGGGGGCTTGTGTTGGTGGACCTGGCGGGACTTTTGTTCCGTTCATCGGTCCCGAACCGACGGTGGGCGTTGAGCGCGGTTTGCTCTCCCCAGATGTGGTTGCCCTGCGCTGAGACGCAGCATGGCGCTGAGACGCAGCATGGCGCTGAGACGCAGCATGGCGCTGAGACGCAGCATGGCGCTGGGCCTGGAAACGGTGTATCACCGTGCGTCCGGTTGTAGTGCAACCTGGTTCCTTGGTCTTGTGGCCCCTCGTCTGCCGCTTGTGTGATGAGGTGCTTGCCTTGGTCTGATTTGAGATGAGGCTGCTGAGCTCCACCTCGTTCGCGTCCGAGGGCGTCTTATCAGTGCCCACAGAGCCGCGGTCAATGGAGTCACGTTCTGAGGAAGGAGATTCCTCTTGCTGGAGAAAGAACCGACGGTCAGAAGGTTTGAGCGCATCGTCGTCGATAAGTTTAGGAAAGGAGAGGCTATCACGTGATGGCATGTCCAAATTGGCCAATCGCGCGCACCCGTTCGCCGACGCCGAGGTGCGCACTGTCAGCAGTCCTATCCACGATGGAATTGCAAGATGTGTTTGCTTAGGGGACAGGGTGGAGAGTGTTAATGACGGCAGAACGGGGACCGGCGTAGCGGGGGGCGTAGGATGCGGAGTGGGATTAACAACGATGACTCGGGGAAACAAGGTGCCGGAAGGTGGATTAGGCGGAGGTAGGCGCATGGTAGGTATCGGAGCTACGACGATGCAAGCATCGGCGCTGGCCTTTGAAACCGAGTACGCATCAAAGGAGGTAGGGATCGGCTTGATATCATCGAAGGGATGCTTGGCAAACGATGAAGAGACAACGAGCTTGTCGGGGATCATATCAGCAATGATCTTACCCACGGACGAGCCCGGCTTTGTGCGGATGTGCATTGGGTGCACGCTAGAAAACGATGACACAGAGTGCTTGTCAGTAGCAGACGACGCTTCTGTGCGTCCGTTGGGAAAGGACAGCGAGGCTTTATGATGGCTGAGCGGAACCGCATGATTACCTGATACAGAGGGTTTAAGTTGAGATCTGAGCTGTGACGAGCAGAATGGGAACACGAGACTCACGCGTGACGTCGTGCGGCTCCCTTCCGTCTTGAGAGATGGGAAATAGCGGAGGCTTCTCGTTGAAATGGGCGAGTATGTCTGGAGTGGAAGCTTGAGAGGCGTGGTAACGAGCAACCTCGCGATACCATAGTCGCCAGGATATATTTTCGAGACGGCGACCGTCCTGAAGAGACTCCTTGCATTTTGTGAACACTACAGTGCGTGCAAATCTCCGTGAGCGTGCAAGTTTAAGAGGGTGAAAGACGAAGGAGTACGCACGCGTCCACAGACCAGAGAGAGCGTCTCCGCCATCGAGCTCCTTAATTACGTCAGCAGTGACGGAGAGGACGGAGGAGGGAAAAGCAGTAATCATATCGAAGATATTGATGGCACGGGGAATGAAAATAAAAGTAAAAGAGAGTCGGAAGAGAATACAGGAAAATCGGGGCGAGACCACCAGTCAACCAGCTGTCCTGGAGTTTGCCAAGATGGGGAGCGACTAGGTCACTTGAAGCCGATTTAATCGATAGGATCAGTCAAAGGGCGGGGCGGAAAGGAAGAAAGGAGGAGAAAACACGGACAGGACGCGGCCTGATGAATGTGCGGAGGAGAGGCACGGCAGACGGAGAACCATTTGTAGGTGTTACATTGTCGTTTGTATTCATTTACGTTTTACATAGACGCGACGCGTGCTTGAAGTGTGCTTGATCATGAGACGTCAGGACAGCCTGCAAAGCAGCGGGATAGTCTCCCAAAGGCAGTAACGTATATATGCGATCCTCCTTCAACCTCCGACGTGGTCTCCGGATACCCTCGCCCCCTCGATGTCACGCACCACCGCCACCCAGTGCCGTGTACCCCCTCGACTCTCGAGCCCGCTCTCGTCTACTTGATATAAGGTGTGTCATTTCCTGCGTGTCGTTTCCTGTTTCTCCGTGAACTCGAACATCTCCCGTTCTCAACCTTTCTGCTTGCCCCTCCCTTGATCTGCTACTCTCCGACCCCCTCGACCGTCCCATTCCCGTCATTAACCCGCTCGTCCCTTCGACCGCTGGCGCTCTCGCTCTGAACCCTACGCGCGCCCAGGAACACACTTGATAGGCTCCGCCCCCTCTCCCGTCAACATCCTTGCTGTCGACGGCACGCACGCACCCTTTATCCCCTGGACGGCAGGCATCACCTCCACTCTGTGTCCTCGACTCTCTCGAGTATTGATTCGCCCTCGAGTCCATGCCCACATGCGCATCTCTTCAACCCGACGCATTCGCTCTCCAGTTGGGCCCACGGACGCACGCTCCACTGCGAACCACATCAACGCCTGCGCATCTCCTCGAGAACGAGCTCGAGCTCTCAAGCCCTCGTCGACTCGTCCCTTTGCACCCTGGTTCCCTCGTTGTCCGCTGATCCCCCTCCCCTCGTCCTGCATCATCACTAGAACGCACGCGCGCTCAACCTCTCGTCCTCACGTCACCTTCTCCCCTCGTCCTCTTTCCTCTTTCCTCATTGTCCTCTCGTACCTGCGACCCCTCAACCCTTGACCCCGGGGACAAGATGGATGAGGACCTGGCGCAGGACTTTGTTGTGAAGTTTGGGGGCATGCATTATTCGTTGTCAGGCCAAACTTCTACGCAGGGAGCTGCTTGTAAGACACGTCCAGGTTTGATATCTCAGGTTCAGCCTTCACGATGATCTTACGCAACTCGACCGACTCGTTCGTGTTGAAGCCGTTTTAAGGCCATAGAATGCCATTGTTCAGGCTCAGGTATCTTCAAGACCGTTGCGGCACCGCATGCCTCTGTTCGCGCCGGCCGGCGACGTGCAACCTCAGCTGGATCCTTGGAAACCTACCCGATCACCGCCCAACTCAACGATGCCCTTTCCGAGATCGTGGCCAGCCTTGGTCGCGCCCGACTGTGGACGGTATCATGCATCCGACCGACTCTGGCTGTCCAACTTGTTCAACAAATGCTGGGTAAAAGCCCAGATCCGGTCGCTGTTACTTCCACACATGGTCGCGCGGAGGGGGACAGATCCCAAGATGGACTTCGAACACTTGCAGTTTTGCGACCGCTAGGTGAGAAGGACATTTACCTACTTTCGAAGCTGATTCAGCGGACGGCTGTCACAAGATAACAAAAGCGAGGCTATTGCCACCTGTGCCAAGTTCTCATCAGCATGACGCCTTGCTCTCTTTCTCCAAACCTCTGCTCTCGGCAGACGCGCTGATAGAATGTATGTCATTTGGATCCAGCAGAAGTAAGCATAATCTAACATTAGGGTGCTGCAGGAATCAACGGCAAATGTCAACTTCTGGCAGATCAAGAAGAGAAGGGGCAAAGTAGTCCACGAGTGTGACCATGTTGACCAGTGCAGACGACCAAAACACGCAGTCTTTTTATATGCCGTCCTCTGACGACCCGACACTTCCTCGTGACATTGTGTCTTCTCCTTTCTCAAGTTGCTTCTTCGTCTGGAGCCAATAACAACAGCTTGATATCTCCGCCGCATACCAACCACTATCATGACCTTTGGCTACAACTTGTACATGTACCTAATGCCTTTCCACATGCACTCTCCATCCCAGTTCTGTCATGATCCTTCACTTCCGCCCAGTCAGGCAGACCTGGAAATGTTTTAGCAATATGAAAGCAATGTAAATCAATGAGCACGAGATATACTGCACCGATCCTCAACCTGGAGTTCTCGCCAGCCTCTACAAAGGTCTCATCGATTCTGTTTAGTTTCATGTGTCTCCTCATCGTGAGCATGTGCCGCCTCTGAGTGTCTCCAGCTTGAAGCCGGGCTTCGATGCTGTGCCCGAACAGCTCAGCAAGGTTTCTTTCAACATCCCTCCTAGATTAATGGCCCCCGACAGCTTTCCAAGTGTAAGCCATGCTCATAATGGCCCGACCTCTTGGGATTTGTCCAGCAATGATTGGAACATGAGTGTGCAGTGTTGTCTGCAGTGGTTGGGTCGCAAGCAAACAGTGATACTGTATTGTCATCTGATTAAATAGAAAGTATTAACAACTAAATATTCTGTGTTTTTTGTTTCATAGACATGCTCTTCTGTAACAGCGGCCCACTACGATGGGTTTTCCAATGGGTATAGACTTCAGAAGGGTCCAATGTATTCCTATATAGAAGGTGAGAAAGTATATGTAGACAAGCAGGTTTGTAACAACTATCTAGTTAACATTCATAGCTGTGCTACTATGACTGCTACTATTACTGCTACTATTACTGCTACCACTACTGCTACTATTGTCATCATTGATATACTCATCATTGTTATCATGATTATTGTCATGATTATCAGTGCCCATATCTGAGTCAACTATATCAATGTCCATCTGTGAGTCTGCTACCTGGCTGCTTTCACTGTCATTGTCCACCTCAGAAATATCTTGTACCATCAAGGTGCCTGTATGAATGTCTGCCCACCGACCCGACACTACATATTCTCTCAGCGCTTTAGTCATAATATGCCCTTTGAGATCTTTGAGTGATTTGACGCTTTCTGTATTCAAGGCCTCAAGACAAGCTACTTGATGCTCTTTTGGCTCTGGGATTTGAGGATCTGTCTTGCGGAGCTCTGATTGAAATGCTTCTGTGACCAATAGAGTTTGTAAAAGTCTAGAAATTTGGTGAAGGCGTCTTGCATCCTTAAATTGGTTTAGAAGATCAAGACAATCCTTGTGTGCAATATTTGCCTCTGGTGCTTCAGCTCTTATCAGTGGCTGATTAGATTGGACCCTTCCATACCCACTAAAATATTTATAAGTCACAAGTCACCTTAATAAGAAAAAACTCACAATTCATAAGGGGAGTCCTTTACAACTATCCCTTCAGGTGGATCTATAAAAACAAGGTCTGTTTTTTGGATTTTCTCCACCCATTGCTTTGTAATCTTGTTCTTTATGCTTTTGATACTCCCCTTGCCTACTCCCTTGCCCTTTCCTATTCCTTTTCCCTTTCCCATTCCTACTCCTTTATCCTTTCCCACACTCTTGCCTTTTCCTAATTCCTTGTCCTTGTTCTTTTCCACCATCTTGCCTTTGCCTTTGTTGATTTTTTTATTCTGCCCTTGATCTGTATTGGCTCTTTTTCGCTTTTTAGATTGATCATCCTCTATGAATTCATCATCATCATCATCATCAAGATGGTGGCTACTAGAACTAGCTTCTTGAGAATGTGGTGTTTCAGAAGAGAATGTAGGAGGTGTGAGAGGAATGATCATTGCCGGATTACAAGTCAATGGTTTTCCAAGATCAAACTTCAATAGTAACAAGAGATGGTACCACACCAGTGAATTTGTTGCCAAGTTCTTAGTATAAGATCTCCAGGTTGACTCCTCTTCAGGAAATTGAGAAAGTGTATTACTGTTTAGATAAACAGTAGTGTCTCTGAAATGAAAATTGCTAGGATTCTTGAGATATTGATTAGGCAGACCAAGGATGTTAAGGGTGGCATCTTCAACAAGCTTGCTAGAGTAACGAGAAAAATAGAGATAAATCTGCACATGATTAATATCAATAGTTGCTTTTAATTAAATATAATGAAATCTTACTTGATTCAGCCTCTCAGTGTATTCAGGCTTATTTAGACTTGAATGATAGATTTCCAAATCTGCAGTGCCTTCATAATTTGGAAATTGTCCATGTTCACGTGCAATTGCAATCCTCAAGAAGCCCTCAGCTGTTTGGCTCCATAATAAATGGAAAAATGAAATCTTCCCAGTAGCTTCTAACTGAACTTTGGGCAGTGTCCGTCCCTCATTGTGGAGTTCAGCAAAGTTAGGTGTCAGCAAATAAGCAAGCTAATTTCTTTTAGTTAAAAATAATCTAAATCTAGATAAAAATCTCAACTTACAATGTAAGAGCATTTATGTACATTTGACATCAAATTTCCTAATCCTCCCCTAAGAAAAGAACGCCACAGAAGCTAAATACATATAATTAGCTTATATATTATCAAATGGTTATTTAATAAATACTTACACTTCCTGGTTGAAAGTAGGTATTGATTCGTCCATAATTTTCCAAATATTGGTATTCACAATTGTCACTAGGTGTTGTTAAGGTAATTAACCTTTCAAGTGCTTCTTCTCGGCTTGTTTGATCAAGCCAATAGCAATTGACAGGCATATCCTCAAACCATGTATCGATAGAAACAACTGTAGATTTCATGAACTTCTTTGTCTTGCCATTGGTGATGGTATTGACTAAGCCAACTTTAGCTTTACGAAACTCCCGAAATTGATCTGAAGCATGAGCTAAAATCATCATTGGAAACTACAAAATTAGATTAGATATAAATCTTATATATAACAATCCTTTAACTCACATAATACCCATTCTTTGCAAAGGTCTGAAATATAATAGGCAAAACACCTTCACGAGCCCAAGGATTTTCTGACAAGAAATCCACCAGTTTATGCAATACCAAAGCATGCCGAGTAATGGAAAACTGCTTGGGAGTACGATAAATTGGATCAAGTATGAAGCTTGCAAACACCAGAAGTAGTTTTTCTGAGGCCATTTTGTGATTGTCCAAAGACACAGCAATACTGTGTCCAAGTTGTGTAGCCTGAGCAGTTTTGTCAACTTTGTAAGAATCTAGAAAATAGATACAATGCAAGGAATATGCATGGCATAATATTGAGAGAAGTTTGTCGGGCTTTGAAGATGGTGCATAGACTTCTGCTACACCATTGAGAAGAACCGACCATGGAATAAGAAAGCTGTGCTCAATGCCATATTGCCATAAGTCTATAATCATAGTTAATATTTGTACTTGTAAAAATTCAAATCATATTCATACCTCTGTTTATAATACGAGCATACCAGCCTTTTTTGTTTGCCTTTATACCAGCTAAGTGACGATGTTGGCCATCGGCACAAATCAATGGTTCATCCAACATTCCATCTATACCCCAGTTTAAAACCTCTTTTTGATTTTGTTTTCCTAGTTGACGCAATCTTTCATCTGCCAAGAGTGATCCACCAATAATAAATATGGGATTTAACCAGCTCTCATCAATATCATTTGCAATGTTGTTCAGCAAGGCATTTGTCAATTTGAGCAAAAAGGCTTGATTTATAGCTCTTTGACCCTTGAAGTGAGCTATTTTGGAAGTAAAAGGAATATAAACTAGGCCATTTTTGTTCAAAGAGTTTTGAACTTGAGTATTCCAGTCTTCATATGTAGCAAATGGTCCTAAGGCTGCTGTAGTTCCTGAAATGCTATCAAAGGCAGTAGATGTCATAGTAGGCTCAGAATTGACAGAAGCAGGAGTGGAATCAAGAGGAGACAAGGTTAAACCGCTGTCAATAGAAATATGGCCATTGGTTTCATTGTTGAAAGAAGCTAGTTATGATTTTTTAGTCTCAGAGTCTTGAAGAAAAGGTAAAAATAATGTACTCATTGTGATTGAAAGAGTATAGTGTCTCAAAGATTGGACCAGTAGTTCTTGATCTATAAAAATCCAGTAATTAGTTGGAAACTTTAAATTAAGTTCAAACAAATAGTCAAAAGAAAAATAGCAAGTTATATATGCATTAAATATAAATATAAAGAGCACCATAATGTTCACATTAGAAAATAGAGTCCTTTAGACCCCTTAACAAAAGGAAACAATCAAGAAATGAATATTTTAATCAAATTTGAATGAATTTTATCGAGGGGGGTCCTAGGACCCCTCTGAAATATTCAATTTTAGCGCTTTTTCGCAGAAATTGGGCCAAAAACCCTGAAATAATTGATTTGACTCTAGGGGGGTCCTAGGACCCCTCTGAAATATTCAATTCTAGCGCTTTTTCGCAAAAACAAGGCCGAAGACCATTAAATAATCGATTTGATTCCAGGGGGGTCCTAGGACCCCTCTGGAATATTCAATTTAAGCGCAAAAAATGGGTCAAAAACCCCTAAACAATCGATCTTCTAGCAGGGGGGTCCTAGGACCCCTCTGACTCAGGCTAGTTTTGCTTACCGTGATAGTGGTTGAGGATAGCGAAGAGACGTCACGCTTGTCACATTTTCGGTTGTATATATAGGTATTGGCCTGTTTGTGTATATTTGGCTAGAATGTGACCAGTCACTCAGTGGTAGGTCATTTTTGCCGTGATTCCAATGAAACTTCGATTTTTTTGTCATCGAGTGTACATCCCCATCCCCACCCCTGATCCCACTCTCAATGGGCTCCTCCACCAATGCACCCGCTCTCATGCAACTCCACCAGAGCCTCCACTACCCTCGCGCAGCCCTCTCTCTCTCCCGCAGGCGCTCCGGCTTCGACGTGCACACATCTGCCGCGCCTGCCTCGCCGACCACGCCGACCACGCCGCTCTCCGACTTTGCCCGCGACTTCCACGCTGGGCGCCGGGGCGCCCACGGCTGACGCAGAGAGCTCGTCAACAAATGGCGCGAGCGCCAGTGGCCCTCGCTGTGCGCCTCCGCCTGGAGACCCGCCTGCACGGCAGCCGACCATTGCAAGTTCGTGCGCGGGTAGGAGCGAGATCGCACAGGAGAACGACGGGCGGCCAGTGCAAACGCCAGCTCTGGGCATCTACTGCTCAATATGGGGCAGGTGCTCGTGTATTCCGCGGGCCACGAATGCGCTTAATGTGAGCGCGCCTCCTTCATACTCCCTTCGTTTGCGCTGGTAAAGTCAAAGCGAGCTGAACTGCCTATTCGATCGAGGCCGCTTTGCTCCCGCGCGCAATTCCGTCTTTTGTAGGCAAGAACACGGGGTTCAGGAACTTCGACCACTCGCACCCCTGCTGCAAGTGCTGGGAAAAGCACGCCAAGCCCTTCACCGGTGCGCTCTTCTACATGCCCTAGGACCCCACCTCCGCCTCCGCCTCCACCTCCGCGTCTTCGAACAAGCGGTAGACGTACCAACGACCCTTTCCCGTGTTCAGGCCGCCGCAGTTCTCCTCCCCTTACGCCGATCATCACCGGCGCATCGCGTCTCAGCCATCTCCCACTGCTGGCCTAATTTCGATGTCCTTTCCCTCGTCGACTGCCTCAGCCTCAACCCGCTCGACCTCGCATGTCTCGGAGCCCCCACCCCCGAGTCCCGTCAACATCGCAGATCAGGGCCTCCTCCACCCTACACACGTCGCCATCCTGCTCATTGTCCGGCTTCTAAACTGCACCACTATATCTGCAAAGCTCGCATCTGGTGCGATCCTCCCCGATCTCACACACAGCGTCGACTGACAACCTACAGACTGTGCTGCAGCTGTATGACGCAGAAGAGGACTAGCTCGTCCTCAAGGATCTCTTCGCTGCTGACCCCGCCCGCTTCTCGCGTTTCTCCAAGAAATACATTGCCGCCTCCGACTCTAATCTCGGCCCCGTCATGGTCACTGAGGCCCTCTGCTACTACGCCAAGTGCAATCTCGCTGCCCACTTCGTCTTCAGCATCGACGGTACCCACCTCGCGGGACTCCGCGCGACCCCGAGCTTTTCATCATTGCCAGCAAGACCAAGATTTTCACCACCCAGGAGACCATCACGAACACGGGGAGTACCCGGGCCTGGTTCCTTGACGCTGTTGATGGTCCAGCGTCACCACTTACGTTGCGAAGCACTTCGTCGCGGTCAGCATGAACGAGAAGGCGATCGCCGCGTTCGGCATTGCAAAGGAGAGCATGTTCGGCTTCTGGGACTGGGTCGACGGCCGCTACAGCCTCTAGAGCACGTTCGGCTTCTCGATCGCGCTCATGATCTGCTTCTCTCGCGGCTGAACCGTGTGTGTGCTTGCAGGCTCCCAAACGTACGCGCTGCTCTCGTACGACCAGTACATGTACAAGTTTGCGGACTACTTCCAGCAGGGTGACACGGAGTCTACCAGCAAGTTCATTACCAAGGGCGGCAAACGCGTCGACTATCAGACTAGTGTGCGTCTCTGCTCTCTCTACCCTCTCTCCAATGTCGAAGCTGACTGTACTGCGCGTCCTGCAACCGATTATCTGGGGTGCGACAGGCACGAACGAGCAGCACTTGTTCTATTAATTGCTGCACCAGGGCACAAAGCTCGTTCCGACGGACTTCCTCGCCCCCGTGACGTCGCACAACCCGCTCCGCGGCTCTCTGCACCACTGCATCCTGCTCAGCTACTACTTCGCGCGGCCCGAGGCGCTTGCGTTCAGCAAGACCGAGGAGCAGGTGCGCCAGGTGCGCCTCCCTTTTGTTTCCTTTTGGGGGGTTTTCATGTGTTTTTTCGGCGGTGCTGACGAACGCTGAGTGTCGTATGAGGTGGGCCCAAGAGCGAGCGAGGCGCTCGTGAAGGGCAAGGTTTTCGAGGGCAACCGGCCAAGCAACAGCATCCTCTTCCCGCTACTCACGCCCGCGACGCTCGGCTCACTCATCGCGCTCTACGAGCACAAGATCTTCACGCAGGGCGTCATCCGGGGTATCAACATGGTCGGTGCGTGCCTCCTTGGGTGGGTGGGTGTATATATGCGCGTTTGCTGAACTGGTGCAACAGACCAGATGGGTGTTGAGCTCGGCAAGGTGCTCGCGATGAACATTTTGGCGCAGCTAGGTAAGCCTGCGGACGTCAAGGGCCACGACAGCTTGGTGCGTGATTTTCCTTGCGGCTCTGCATCCGTTGTCGGAACCTTCTGTCTGCTGCCCGCTAACAACTGTCGCATACAGACGACCGATCTCATCTACTTTACTAGAAGCACTGAAAGGGAGAGAAGGATTACGCGCACTTGCGAAGTTGTAAATTGCACTCATTTTGATCACGGTGAGCATGCTTGTCAAACTTTGAATTTACTGGAAAGGACGTGGGAGCTCTTGAAAGGCAGCAATTTCGCCCAGACCTTCCGGATGCACGATGGCGTGGACCATCGGCCTCGTCGCCTTGTGGGTGCGCGGGCATAAAGATCATGCTCAACGGCGGCGACATGCCGTCTAAGCGATTCCAGATCGAGCGTGAGACCAACTTCAACGTGATCATCACCTCTATCGTGCTCACCCCGAAGTGCACCATCACTGCCGTTGCGAACTGTACCGTTGACTCGAGGACGGGCACGAGCGCTGCCGTCTTCGAGGCAGGCTCCGAGACGAGCGACTCGGACGTCGTCAACGTTCTCGTCAGTGTGCGCGCCGGAATCTCTTTGCTTGCCTACGCGTCATTTTGGCTTAACCTTTCGTATGTGTGCAGCTCGTGTCCCACCTCGTTCCAAAGCATCATGCCCATCCTGCTATACATCTCGATCCATCAAGATGATCCAGACGGTTTCATCTCAGAACATCAGTAGACCTCCGTCGAGCAGCAGAGCAAGCCCATGCCAATCGCGGTCGCTCTTGCCCCCAGCGCACTCGCCAGCGCAGTCCTCTTCAACCTCGCAGCACCGAAAGAGCCCACTGCACGCAGACGGCAAACAACTACGCGATTGCGATCTCTTCGACATCCCAGCCCCAAGGACATAGTCGATGTTGAGCCAATAGACGAGGCTGATTTTGAGGCTCGGATACGTCCACAGCACGCCCCGCTACGCCCCTTCATGCTCACTCCTCGCGCAGACGCGCCTCGGAAACGCCCTGCTCTCTCTCTTTTGCGTCGCCGCCCTCACCATCCTGGCTGTATTCCTCGGCTGTCCCTTCTCTTTCGACGGCCGCCAAAGCACCATCGTCTATGCCCTGCATACCCTCTTCGCCGCCTGTCTCCTCTGCTCCGGTGGCGTCCTGGCTGAGGGCGGAGACGACCCCTACACCGAACCCATATGCGCCTGGCGTTTTCTTCTCCGTCGTCGTGCTGTGTTGACGCGCATACTCAGACAGCAAGAGCCTGGCGTACGTGCTCGAAAAGGGGCTGTCCAAGACGTTCCTCGAACTCGCCATCATGTGCAAGGCCGTCATTTGCTGTCCGTTGCTCGCTGTCCACCCGCACCGGCGCTGACAGATTGTTTCTAGGCCGCGTGTCCCCGCTCCAAAAGGCGCTCGTCGTCAAGCTCATCAAGAAGAACCAAAAGTCGATTCTCTTGGCCATCGGCGACGGCGCCAACGACGTCAGCATGATCCAGGCCGCCCACATTGGCATCGGCATCTCCGGCGTCAAGGCAAGTCTTTCGCTGCCCTCGCTGTGCACGAGCCTGACCGACGCCGTGCAGGGCCTGCAAGCCGCGCGCTCCGCCGACATTGACATCTTGCAGTTTCGCTTCCTCAAGAAGCTACTCTTGGTTCTCGGGGCCTGGAGCTACCAGTGCCTCTCAAAGCCCATCCTCTGTGCGTGACGTGCCCACACGCGTGCGCCCGTGGCTCACGTCCCTCGCACAGACTCGTTCTACAAGAACATCGTGCTGTACATGCAGTTCTAGGTCAGTCCCGTCTCATGTTCCGTGTAATCGTCTGACGCTCTCGCCACAGTTCTCATTCTTCAACAACTTTTCGGGCCAGATCGCGTACAAGTCCGAGACCCTGTCCTTGTACAACGTCTTCACCGTCCTCCCGCCACTTGTCATCGACGTCTTTGACCAGTTCGTCTCAGCCCGCATCCTCGATCACCATCCTCAGCTGTGCATGCTCGGGCAGCAAAACGCGTTCATCATAAAAACCGCGTTTTGGCTCTGGGTCCTCAACACCCTCTATCGCAGAGAAGCGCACGAAGTCCGAGCAATGGCTAGAAGAAGCATAAAGAAGTGTCTCGTCTTAGTGAAGGTGAGATTGTCATCTGAGACTTTCCTGTGGCTGCAACACCGACATGAGCAGCTGACGATGCTAATATCGGCGCCCTCGTGCCGCCTACACCGACATCAGATTGCAAGGAGCCTGCAAGGCTGATGTCAGTACTGCCCCGACGCACTCTCGACGCCCTCGCGCCGCCTTCAACCTACGTGACTCGGACACTGCACGAAAGATTCACTTGTGCGTACGTTCTACATGCGCTTCCCTCATCAAAGACTACTCTTACAATTCTTTCTCGCCTTGCATTACATGCCGCTTCCTATTTTCTCATCCATTCACGGACTTAACTCTAGTTACTTTTGCTCCGCTGAGTCCTCCCCGCTTTCCAGGTTCTTATAGCGCGGTATTCCCACTTGGTCGGCTGGCTGGGCAAGGTTCGACGCCCTCGCCTCATTGCTCTCCCTACGCACACCGGGCAGAGCACCCGCCCTCGCATCGTCTCCGTCGTCTCCGTCGTCCTCATCCTCGTCGTCCTCTGGCGTGAGCGACACGGGTCGCGTGCCGATCGTGAGCGCGAGCTCGAGTACGACCAGGTTGAGGACTAGGCCCGTCCCCGTGCCGCAGTAGCGAGACAGCACCTCGCGGTGCGTGGTGCGTTCCTCGCGCGTCTGCCCGTCCCGGAGGAACAGCCAGAAGCGGTTGACTAACGGGTAGATGAACGATTTAACGGTGGCGTCTGTGAACATCGTCGTCTGTGGCGGTTGGGCGTAGGAATCGTGTGCGTGTGCGGTTGGGTCAAAGGGTGAGCGGCGGCGGGCGTACCTCGCGCAGGATACCGATCCGCGCCTACAGCATGCCCTCCCAACGTGGGACACAGCCTGCAGAATCGCGGCCATGGACGGGGACGGGGCGAGCGAGGCATAGAGCACGCGCTCTGTGTCGGTCAGGCAAGGCTGTGAAGCCGTAGTCATGGTAGTCGTTGTGGTCATAGCGGTGGTTGTAGCAGCTGCGGTTGGGTTTGAAGGGTTTGAGGTAACCTAACCCCCCGACTTTGCACGACGCAGAGCGCGCAGCCCACCTCGACGTCGACGCCCGCCTCCTCAGCCTCACAGACGCTTGGACCGACCTCAATCGCTTCCTGCAACACTTAGAGCTCCGCAAGACAGACGCTGGCGCCAGCTTCGCCCGTGCTGTCCATGATGGTGCCGCAAAGCTCGCCCTTAACGGCACCGCTTCCAGCCCCCGCCTCGCTGCCTGCCCCTAAGCCCACCCTCCAACACCAGCAACATCACCAGCAGAACCACCCCTCGGCCTCGGCCGCTCGTCGCCCGCAGCAGCAGTACACCAACTTCGCGGCATGCGGCCCCACTCTACGCAGCACCTTTCAGCTCCCCTTTTCACCACATTGCTTCTCCTCCCCTCCGCCGAACCCCCACCCCGCCCGTGTCCGCCCACGTGACGACGCCGCAGACCACTTTGGGCCACCCACCAAGCGGATTGCAGCGCTCCCGTTCCTCCTCGCTCTCGCTCGACGAGATGCTTCTCCAAGTCGCCACTGACGACCGCTCCCACGCTGGCTCCCCCACCGGCGCCCTCCTCGCGCTCTCGGCCTCTGCCGGCGCAGTACTTACCGAGCCTAAGAAGATCATGGATCTCAGAGGACATTCTCGATGATCTCGACAAGCACCTCATATCCTCGGCTGCCTTAGGTTTGTCTATCGCAAGATGTGGGTGCGTCGCTGCCGTCTCTTTCCTCGTTGACGCCGTTCTCCTTTCTTGCCAAGTTTGCCCTTGGCAGCAAGCGGAACGACAGTGCCGATAAGTCGCTTGAGGCTTACGAGTCCGCTACTGAATTGGCGGTATCCGTGCTCCACCGCCGCACCCTAATCGTCTCGGGTTCGAGATAAATTCCTCTCTCCTTCTATACTATGAGATTATTAACAGCCTCGACAGGCGTTCAACGACCCCGTTGCCGAGCTCGACACACTTTCTGAAAGGAGTTACAAGGACTCGACCCTCATCACGCAGCTTCACCGCGACAGCCTGACCCTTTAGACATCGGACGGGGTTGATTCTGGTACATCGTACGTGTTGCCTGATAGTGGGCCGTTTGACAATGTTATTTGATCGGCAGCCGACACGTCTTTGGAGATGGTCGCTGCTGAGGATGTTCTTCACAGCGTCGTCCCAGGCCAGCGTTGCAGCTGCGCTCGCAAACGACCGACCTGAAAAGACGGTAGCGTGGAGGCGGTCGACAGGTTACTCTCTAGACAGGCGAGCAAGCCAGTCGATGGCGTACGTGGTCAGAGGCAGCGAGAGAAGCGCCGTGTACGCGTGCAGGAAGACCCCTCACCGCCGAGATGGCGTAGAAGAACGCGTCCGGAACGAAGTACTGCTCGATCAGGGGCTCCAACTCGGTCTCTTTGAGCGTCGGCCCCAGGTCGGGATGCTATGCTCGATAAGGGCACGCTGGAGCAAGGAGAGATGTCGAGCGACCACGAAGGAGCCGGGAGGGAGGGGGGAAGTATTGCAGAGTCTATGATGCAGAGGCAAGAGGCCTACTTGACATCAAGTGGGTCGGAGAAGAGGCCGTGTCTTGATCTTATTAGAATAAGCAATTAGCACATGCAGGACTTCGCAGGGAAACACTCTGACATCGAAACCACTACCGCTTTTACTGTAATCGGTTCCCACGCGCATCGCATTCGAAGCAGCGCTCACTGCACAACAAATCTCCTCGAAAACACTCTTGATCTCCACCCACAGTCGCGTCTCTAGAATCTCCACCATCGAACGATTATCGACCTCGAGCCTCGGCGTTTCCGCCATCCGTCGCATCCAATATTGTCTCTAACACTATCATCTACTCAAGGGGTTGGAGGGTAGGCTGAGATTGTTGGGGTAGCAAGGAGGAGCGGCCAGGGAATGCTAAGGTAGTGGAATTGGGAAATTATCAGTGAGTTCTCAAAGCCGTTCGTATTTTTTGGGGACCCAATGTTATATAGAGGGCCGACGAAGTTTAATCCCCCATCTCCACGCTGTTCTCAAAGCAAGGTGTGTATTTCCGTCTACTCTTACACTAACCGACTCGTGAACCTCCCGCGCGCACAGTCGACACCTTCAGCTTTCTTGAGCGCGAAGACGCTGCCAACCTCAACGCCTCCATCTAAACCTAACTGCGCAGCACGATTGCCGTCTCCCCCATCTTCTTCCTCACCCAACACGACGGCACGCGTGCTCGTCCCTTCGAACGCATTAGACGGCCTCCGCCCAGTGCACTCCCGCTTATTTCTTCGACCCGACGCACCAGCCTCTTCTCAACCCCCTCGGCCATCAATATTTGGACGCTCGACCCCCCGCAAATTTGTCTCTGCGACGCCACGCGCGCTCATCCCCTCGATTACTCCCGCCTTGGGCCCGCATATTCATCTTCGTCTGCGACCTACATCTGTGCCCGCAAGCCTCCTCCAGCCCCGCACGCACGCACGACCTCTCGACCCCTCCTCTCGTCGACGCCTCATTCACTCCTCCATCGTCCTGCCTCATCGCTGAGACCTCACCCACGTTCCACCTCGCGCACGCTCCACTCCCCCATTCTCATACCCTCTCTTCTCCTCGTCCTCTCGTCCCCACGCACGCTATACCTTTCGCCCGCTCAACTTCAAACATCCTCGACTTGTCTTCCCTTCGCCCTCCCAACTCTCCTCGATCCTCGCTCTTCACTCCCTCGACCTCTCATGCATCGACTGTTCCGCCCTCGACCTAATATAACTGGCTGTCGGCGGAGGAAGGGTAATGGCGGCGGCGGCAGCAAAGAGATAGGTTGGGAAGGGAGTTGAGCGCGGACAATAGGGACGTCCACGACGGACGCGCCTTCGATGAGCACCCGAGTGGTACACAGGTGCGTAGCTCTCGTTCCCCTCCCTGCTACACCCTCTCTCGATGTCTTTGCCCTCGACTCTACTCATGCATGTTCCTTCCCCTGACACGCAGCCTCTCTTCTTCTTCCTTCCTCCAACTCCGCTGACTCTTGATCACTCTGTCCTCAATCAATAGTCCTCTCCGGCTCTCTGACACTCTTTCCATCCACAGCCCGATCTTAGCCCCGCCATGGTCACCGAGGCCCTGTACCACTAGGTCAAGCACGACCTCGCTGCCAATTTCGTCTTCAAGATCGATGGCACTCACCTCACGGAGACTCCGCGCGTGCGACCCCAAGTGCACGCTTTTCATCATTGTCAGCAAGACCTTCGCTAACCGCGAGTCCCTCATCGAAGCGGACCAGATCGAAGAGCAGTACCAGTGTAAGGTCCGTAATGCATTCTGCCATCCCCCGCCCTGCGCGTGCAACAAGAGTATCGTGTGCGTGGAACACACGAGGATGCTCTGCTCGTGCGCGATGAAGCGACACGTCCTGCGCGCACGGTTCTCCGACACCCAACTTCTCGAGAGGCAGGCGTTCGCTCGAGGAGAACCTGCCCGTACTTCTTGCCGTCATTGAGCTTTGGTACAACGACTTTTATGGTGCGCGCACTCTGTCTTTTATCTGCTTCTCTCGCGGCTGAACCGTGTGTGTGCTTGCAGGCTCCCAAACGTACATGACTTGTTCGACGCCACAGCCGCTCATCAACAACCCCGCTCTTTCCACTCGATCCTCTTGAGCCGTTCGACGCCCCGCCTGCTTGCCTACTCAAAGCCCCACCTGCTTGCCCACTCAAACAGCTCTCCGCTCTCGACACCACACCGGCTCAACCCCTCTCAAACCTTTGAATATCGACCCTCAACCTTGCACGTTCCCGCTGTCGATACGAGGTACACCCGCTTGATGCCACGCCCGCTCTTCCGCTCTCCCTACTCGATGCCATGTCCTCATTCTCCTCGACAGCCAGACTCAAAACCCTCTTGATCCTCGACCTTCGATGCCACGCACACACCACACCATTGAGACCCCTCCACGCCAATCCCGCCCTCAAGCCCACACGCGCGTTCATCATCCCGAGCTCACGCAGCCGCCATTGGCGGTGCACACTTCCCAGCTATCTCACAGCCGCTCCCTCAACCGCCAACACCTTTGCCCCCTCAATGTCATGCACCACCGCCACCCAGTTCCCTGTACCCCCTTGACCTCGATTTCGACCTCGATCTCGCTCTCGTCCCCTTGATATTAGGTGCATTGTTTCCAGTCTCTCTAAGCATACGAGTACCTTGTTCTCAACCTCTCCACTCTCTGACCCCTCGACCCGCCACCCCCCAACTGTCCCTGCACCCCTCCCTACCCTGACTGCCCCATCTGCTTCAACGCGATCGTCCCTGCCCAGCCGACCTGGTCCTGCTCCCCCGCCTTCGTCCCACACGACCCCGACGTCGCACCCCCTGCCGGCCACGAGCACGAGCAGGAGCGCGTGAAGTGCTGCTGGACAACCTTCCACCTCAAGTGTGTCCGCTTGTGGGCCGCAAAGAGCATCAAGGACATCGAGGATGCCTGGTGCAGGCGTGGCGAGAGCGGCAGGAAGGACGACTGGTGCTGCCATGGGACCCAGTTCAAGCGCAAGTTCGTCCCACATTGCTACCGGTGCGCCCCGTTCCTTCTCTGAACCTGCTTCCATAGCCCTGACCCGCGCCCAGCAGGTGCTTCTGCGGCTCCACCCAGGACCCAAAGCCCCCGTGCCTCTCGATGCCCCACTCGTGCGCGAGCCCCTGCTCGCGCTCGCGCGTGTGCGGGCACCCCTGCGCGCTCGCGTGCCACCCGGGCCTGTGCCCACCCTGTCAGGTGACGACGCAGCGCCCATGCTGCTGCGGCAAGCAGACAGTCTCCCTCTGGCGCTCCCACACATCTCCCGCCCCTGCGCACCTGTCCTCGACCGCCGACGCCACGCACACGGACCTCTCCTGCGGCTGCACTTGTGAAAAGCGGCTCGCATGTGGGAACCACGTCTGTGCAGAGCCGTGCCATCCCGGCGTGTGTCTGCCGTGTGCGGTGACCAAGGCGGCGCGGTGCTGGTGCGGGAAAGTGGAGAAGCGGCTTGCGTGCGGGGAGGGAGAGAAGGAGGCATGCGCTGTGGTGTGTGGAGATGGTGAGGAGGAGGCTGTGTTTTTAGACCCTTCGCCTGCGCCATTCATCAGTGCACCCAGCCCTGCCACCCGCCCTCCCGCACCCCTCCACCCTACCCACTCTCCCCAGCCTTCACAACCCACTGCCCCTGTGGCAAACACCCCCTCTACCCCCACACCTGCCCCTCCTCCCTGATCAGACATCGCCCCCACCATTTGCGTCCCCGCTCACTCCACTCGCCTCGCTCAACACGTCCCTGGCATCCACGCACGCTCCCGTCCCCGTCACCCCTCCCTGCTGCCGCTCCCGCCGCCTCTGCTGCCTCACACGCCGTATCTTCGCCTATGTCGACGGCGATCCGCAAGCTGCAGCGGCGGCTGGAGAGCCAGCGCATGAGCCACAAGGTGGCAGTGCAGGCGTACACAAAGGAGCGCGACACCTTGAAGAGCATGCTTGTGCGCACTGGGGGCGGCGCCAGTGCAGAACCATATGTCAACGGAACTGGGAGCTGGACTGGGAGCGGGGGCGTGAATGGCGCAGCAGAGAGCGTCGCGTCGGAGCTGCAGGAGGTCGTACCAGAGTCGGAGCTGGTGGAGATCTAGAGCTAGTTCGATACGTATAAGATGCAGATGGGGGTCGACAGCGTGCGGGTGCGCAACAAGCTCGTGAAGTTGCAGTGGGAGAACGGGCAGCTCAGGGTGTTGTTTGCCAAGGCTAACGCGAAGATCGAGTACACGGCGGGTGCGTTGCGTCTCATCCGTGTGTGTGTCATCGACCGTGCTCATCGTTTTATTCATACATGGTCGCTGTAGAGCGTCACAAGATGACGCTGGAGCAGTACACGAACCAGGCGGAGGACTTGCGGGATATGAGTGTCTAGCTGCACGATAAGTACACGCGAGCGGATATCGAGTGCGATCGCGGGATTGCAGACGTTATCAGTGCGAACGGAAAGGTTGAGTAGCTTTTCAATGAGCGCACGAACTTGCACGCGGAGAAGCGGATTTGGGAGATGTGCGTTGTGCCTTTTACTGTTTATTCCTCTGTGTTCTTCTTAATTGGATGGACATCGATCAACCGTCGGGGTGGGAGCGTATATGTATATGCTGACTGCATCTATGTCAATAGGGCATGCAGAACCGCTTACTGGAAGAGAACAAGGTGCTTTTGATTGAGTGGTCACGTCTGTCGGATCGGATGGGCAACGTGCAGAAGATACATATGGATCTCGAGTGCTCGGGCGAGAATGATAAAAGGTGGCTGGAGAGTCAAATCCAGATGTTGGAGAATCAGACGTGAGCGCCAAGTTTTACTCGACCGCGCCGACTACCGTCTGAGTTTGTTGCTTCAGCCAGGATCTTAGGAGCCAACTTAGCCAGGAACATGATAGTGTTAGGCATCTGACACTGAAGAAAGAGATTGAGGTCAAAGAACTGCAGCCGCGCGTCGATTAGCAGGTGCATGTCACTATCACTTGGTTCCCGTCCCATTTCCCTGTGTCCTCACTCATCGGTGCACACCAAATTGTAGGCGCAGGAATTATTGCATACCCGCGAGTTGCTGATCGGCGCTCAAATGAGCAAAATGTATCTCAAGGAATGCGTCGCAGAGCTTTCATGCCAGCTCCAGGGCAACGAGGAGAAGCTGACCGTGTACGAACGGCGTGGGTCTACTAGCGCTCTGGCGAACGGTGGCGCGCAGCCAGAGGTCTCTGGCGCTGATCATCTGTGCAAGGAGCAGCACCTCAAGGCTGAGGTGGCGGAACTTCGGTGTGTTTTGTGCCCTTTAATATCCAATGCGAGGCTTATGGTGCTAACTGACTCATGAACGCCGCGCTGCATTGAAGGTTGCCGAACTCGACCTGGCGAATGCGCAAGGCCATGTGCAGCAGTTCCAAGAGATCAGCCAGGCAACTGAAGTGGTGCTAGCGGGCTTGAATGCGACCTACGATGACTGCAAGTCATCCACGGAGTCACAGCTCGCGAAGCACGAGGTACGTTTTGCTGGATGCTGGACATTTGCGCCGATGGCTGACTTGGGTTGTAGTCTGACTATAACGCTCTGTCGGAGAACTTGCACGTCGTCCAGCAGGAGCTGACGGCATCTCGGGAGGTGATGACGGAGACGAAGCGCACGTTTGACAAGGAGTGGGAGTCGTAGGCGAATAATAAGCGGACCCTTGAGGATACCCTCGTTGAGCTGATCATGTTGGAGAAGCATATCGCGGAAGATCGGACCACCATCGTTTTTTCTTCTCTCTTGTTGGGGCAAGCCACGCCGCGCATCGCTCGCAACAAACATTCATCAACACATCTTCTGCAACCATGTTTCACCTCCAATCCTTAATTCATGCCAACTACCGCAAGTCGCTCTTCACGTCGCGATCCGCTCTTGTCGAGGACACTAATGCTTTGCTCAATGTGTCTGACCTCCCGTCCAGCCTCTCGTCTTGGAATAGCAAGGCATCGCCCACCGTCGCACTCTCCAGCGCATGTGAGCGCCCCCATTGCAAACCTAGCACCAATATCATTCCTTTCCCTACCAATAGCCATCCCGATCCTTCCATCTCGTCTGCTCTACTGCTAGACTATGAGTCTTTATCGTGACCGAAATGGGCGCTCCCGCTTGACGGGCCCAGGCAACGATGCCAGACGCCATCGTCCCACTCGCACGGCGCCACAAACCTCTGCCTCTTCCTAGTGTCATATGCCAACACAGCGCCAGCCAGTCGAGCGTGACCGGAGTTGCTTCAGGATGCACAGACACGGCTGTTTTTCAAAGCGCAGGCGGTCATCCAGAGCAAGATCAGATACTATGTGCCCAAGACAGAAGACTTGGCATATCCCAATAAAATTGTTGGTAAGCGGCTCTATCTCTCTCCTCTGAGGGTTCCATCAACATGGTGCAATCCCTTCCCTCCATTATTTCCATCTATATTCTCAAGAAAGGAGGCTGATATGTCCTTTTTCACGTTGTCAGCCACGTGTACGCCCATGACGGGGTTGCGGGAGAAAGAGCGCGAGAGCGTGCACCAGCTGTTTGGTGCTCAGAATCAAACCTCACTTGCCAGCCTCGAGCGTCGCGACACGTGGTTCCTGATGCTCGATACGATGGCACGCGTGCTTGCACAGCTGCACGACTTTGTTTGGGTAGGTCTTAAAGTTTCAACCTCTCTTGTCATTGTCACATTCTGCTTATATACTTATGGATGTATCATATCATTCATGTATGTGTGTGTGCTGCACCCCGATTCAACGCACCCATGAAAGCCTGCAATCCTTGATGATCTCGTGCCAGAAGCCATTACACTTTGCCAACATTTGCTTTGCGCTGCCGCTGAGATGCCAGAGCCACAGGTACTGCGCTGGATGCGTATCTGTTCCTTATACGCCACTTCCTCATTCTCAAGGAGATGACACAAAACCTCGCATTTGGTGAGACAAGCCGAGATGAGGCGAGTGTCAGCAGACACAGTATTATGATGGGGAGTTATGGTATGACAGACACACTTGTGGCAATGGTCTCGCGCACGACGTTGATGCCACCTGATTCACTCGTCACATCGCTCAGTATGCTGAAAGGAGATGCAGACATCCTGGTTGCTAAGCATGTGAGTATGGCAATTCTACTGTATGAGATCATTGGCTGACCTGCTATTTGTCGTGCATTGCAGGGCATCGATATGGAACTTAAGTGCACGTGCGAAGGAGTCATTGACAACCTTGCTGAGCCCCTCTGTATGCCACTACGAGAGTTTGTCGCACAGGTCGACGCACATCATAATGCGGCCCTGGGCTCTACAAACACAAAGACTGGACCGGTGACTGCACATTCTTGGGCACAGCAGGAGGTCGCAGAGAAACTTGATGCAGACTTCCACTTGCTCTGTGCATGTGAGCTCCGTGCAGGTGCAGCCTGCGTCGGGCTGTACCTTGAGGATCGGTGCATGGCTGATGTCCTGTTGTCGCATATGTAGGAACGCACTGCGGAGGTATATTGTGATTTTGCAGATCTTGTTGGAAGCATGTATGTGGGCACACTGAAGGGACACGTGCTCGATGCAGCGAGGGTAAACAAGGTACTGAGAGGCAACAGACGAGAGGGAGGAGTAAGCAAAGTTGAAAGTTGGCACTTGCAATGTTTTTTAAATAGGTCTCAACATGAATTCATGTGGCCCATAACAATCACTTGTAAACAGGTTTTACGTTGGCGTCCCATTTTTTGTCAAACATGAGGAGTGTGCCAACTTGATTTGTGCACGTAGCATAGACACTTGCCTCCTGCCCTCAGGTGCAGAACACAAACACCCCCTTCTCTCCTCTCCTTCTTTTGAGTTGAAACGGCTGATTGTCTTGTCAGCCCCAGGCTCGGCGAGTGCACATGACACTGACAGGGATGACATCAATTGGGTGGAACATCATAATTGTGAGCGCACGCTTGTCTCTTGTATCAGCAAAAGTGACAAAACATGGGATGGCCTTGGATGGATTGGGGGGTTATATAATCTCGAGAGCCTGCAGGCAAGGTCATATATGGCATTGCATTTGCCGCACTCTCCTTGGTGGTTTGGTGCAATTGTTGTATTAGATTGCAATCTGGAGGCCCCGATGCCAATGTAATATATTCCTGGCCTTCATGATATATTCTTATACTTGCACACCGACCTCAAAATATATTGTTAAACATGCACACCGGCTCAGAATATAATGTTATACATACACCCAGCCTCAAGATATAATGCGATACATACACACCGGCCTCAAAACTTGCCATAACCCTCCTCCGCAAGCACTCGCTCGTCCCGCTCCCTTCCGTCACCTTTAGGCAACGGGTCGAGATCATCGTCAGAGTCCTCCTCCTCCTCCATTAAAGGGCCTTCTTCTCCCTTCTCTTCTTCATATTCCTCTTCCGAATCGTTGTCCTCAGCGCCACCTTGCTCATCGACTGCCTCGTCGGAGGGCTCCTCCGGCACTTGTGCAGCTTGCCCATCTCAGAGAAGGCTGGCATTGAGGTGCCATGTGCCCTTGTGACCGATGCCGCCACTGTGGAAGTGCATGAACATGTCGCGGTCCACGAACCTAGAAGGAATTGAGAGATATAAGTAGGAAATGATGTGAAACTTACATGTTAATATAATACCCCTCCTAATCTTCATCATTTTCTGCTGGCTGTCAAGCGATAGACGGTGTCGTGCTTGCACATTGTTAGGCATCAAATAATGATGGTAGAATGGAGGGCAGAATATCTGACTAGAAGGAAGAGAAGGGAAATGACCTAGAAGGGAAAGGACATTTAATTCCGATTTTCTACATATTTTTCGAGTATTTTACCACTTAAACTTGATTCCCTATCCCTTTTCATACTTATAATTCGTTTTTGGGACAGATTCCAGAGCCTAGGGTCTATTTCAGAAAGGGCTAGACCATGGCAAGACAATAAGGAATGAAAAGATAGCAGTGGAATCTGGTAGAATAAAGAGGAACTTTAGTAGAAGGATGGAGAATGTTTAGGAAAGGGGCAAGGTCTAGGCCATTCTAAGCTGAAAGGAGGGGAAGGTTCTGAGCAGTTCTGAAGGAAGCTGAAGGAACATTCTACCACATTCTGAGCCTTTCTTTTACTTTCCTTTCTGTTCCTCTGTTTTCTTCCCTATTCTTTTTATTTCTACAGCATTCTTTGTGACTCACAATGACTCTACTCAGCCTGTATATACTAGGAAGGAGATTCCTACTTGAAATAGTATATAAGGAGGCTGATTGTCCTGCTTCAGGCAGAGACCATCTCTCCCTCTTACTTTTACACAGTCAGTCAGTGCCAGTCAATAAGTTCTTTGAGTGATATCAGTTGGAGATAAGCTGCAAGACTTGTGGGGATACTAGATAAACTAGTAGCTCGCCTTCAATCTGTGTAGCACCTCAGCAACTTGAATCACAAAGTTCTTAAGCCTCTCCTCATTATTCTCAACATTTACGGAGTATTGTCTTTGTTAGTGGTCCAGCACCACTTCAGAAATTTGCTAAATAGCTCAGGATATTCTCATCGTTGCTTATAACTGTGACCAACATCTGTGTATCATGCCAATACCAGAAGGTATTATCTAGAACAGCAATCAAACGAACACTAGGTACATCCAGAAAAACAGGAAACCCTGATCATATCTAGGGGTGAAACTATTCCTCACCGCGACAATGGCCCAAGTCGCTTGGAGGTGTGTTCCTGTGCAAATGCAGGGATGAGGTGTACACCGCGGATGATTTGCTCAGGGTCTAAGAAGCTGAACATGGCGGGATCATCTTCAGGGATGAAGGCAACACTGTGCTGGTGCTGGTTTCTCTGCAGGTGCCGGATCTGTCTTCAGGAATGCGGCTGAATCACAGACCTTGTCCAGTGAGTTTTCAGGTTCTGGATCGTGCATCAGGCGTCGTTTATACCGACAGAATAACCCAAATTTGTTGGGTTTCGTATCAAAGACAGGGTCCGGCACTGGCACTGGCACTGGCACCGGCTCAGGCGGAGCAGGAGGTGGTGGTACAGACTTCATGTTGGGTTGGGTAGGAAGGGGATGCTGTTTCAAGGGGATGTAAGAGAGAGGAGTGGTGGAGCCAGGCAGGAAGTTGTCAAAGCGCTTGGGAAACCGTATTCCATGTCCAGATCATGCAGAGCACGTGATAGGAGGCTCAGGCAAGGGTGAGAGTTCTGAAGATGAAGATTCTGGGATGGGGACCGAGTCCAAAATATTGTGCTGATAGGCAAAAAAATGTGAAGATTGTTCAGTATGTAGTGAGTGCGCACGAAGGTTGATGACACTCACCTCTGCTGTCAACTCTTCAGGTTCTACCGGCACCTGAGCTCTCTTCCTTGACCATGTCTCCGCCTCCTCTGCTGCCTTCTCCTCTCAAGCGTGCTTTTGCTGAAAGGTAACATCATGAATCTCTTGATAGCCTTTGCAGTTCCGTTGATGTGTCTTAAAAGCGCGCTGGTCGTGGAAATTTTGGGGACATGTGAGGCATTCGAAAGCCATTAAAAGGAGGAAAAACAAGAATGATATTAAGGTTTTCATGCTCATCGAGGGTGCGCGAGCCTCATTGAGCTGTGAAAATGACAAGACAAGTCCGACTCTGCAAAAAGTCTGCTGACGCAATCATGTGACTGCTCAACGTGTCACGACTTGATCATTTGGTCATCACTTTTGCTTTCACTCTCACTCTCACCATGCCTTATCGACCCCCTCCCTCCAACAATTCTGACTCAGACATGGAACATTCAAGGTATGTCTCGAACCCAGAGAGAGCGGTGTCAAAATGTGCCACAGAAGACGCACACCGCACACCGAAAAGCACAGCACAACACAAGTAAGCTTATCTTCTTCTATTCTTGTCAACTAACTCCCTCTATTCTCAACAGGTATGATGATTAAGACATCTACAAGAGCACCGCATGCTGAATCCCACGTGGAATTGATCTCTATGAAGATCTCCATGACGTCTTCCGTGTCGGCATGCGCATACAATATGGGCGCCAGGCAAGATTGGACAAGGAATCGGGCAGCGATGATAATTCCAGACACTTTACTGATGATCTTCATCTGTGAGTACATTGTTAACAATTTCACTGACCGTCTCTCACTTATAAGATAGGCAAAAGGATCAAAAGACATACCTCAAGATTTTCAAACAGGCCCTTAACCTCATCCCTGGCTTACGTGCTAAGGCCAAGTTTGAAGGTAATAAAGACTCTTTTCATGCATTGCTTGATATGGTGAGTGCATACAGGTGCATATATGCACACTTATCACATCTAGTCAGATGATCAAAAGCAGCTCCAATGCTCATGCGGTAGACATGATGCACATGAAGAAGTTTGTTGCTGAGTATGCAGCACTTGATCTGGTCATGCAGCCATTGAAACTGGCACTTGTGCTGGCCAACAAATGTGATTGTGGGTTTTCGCATCTAATGCTTGCATGTCTTCTGTGCCCCAACAAGTATCTTGCAAGCTTTGACAAGAATTTCACTGGGTACCAATGTCAATGCCTCACTTGATGGCAACTCACTCTTGCTCTCTCTCTGCAGCACCTGGAACAAGCTCAAGAGCAATGAGATTAAGGTCTTGGTCAAGCATTGGCCCACCTTCGTATACAAGGACTACCAGTATAACCCAAGCAACCACAAGAAGGGATTATTCTGTGGTCACCTCCTTATCTGTGTAAGTCTCTACCTGGCCCATTCTCAAATTGCTGACATCTTCTCTCCTTGCAAAGGCATGGTGCGCTATATACATAGGCCCGTCAGCAGCAAGGCTAGGCCCTAACAGCATGATAGCTCGCACAAAGAGCGGCAACGCGAAACTGCATGGCACTAACATTGTAACCCTGCAGACTATTGTGTATGCCACTTGCCAGGTAAGCTGGTGTCTACAGGTTCTTGCAAGATCTAACATTGAGTCTGCAGGCATGCTTTGCTATCAGCTCCATTGAGATGTGGAGCCCAGATGACAGCACATTCAACTATCCAATCTTTTACAGGTGGATTGTGGAGCTTTTTGAAAGGTACCAAGCTGATAAGTGGACAAAGGACACCCTTGCATGGTGGAACAAGTACCTTCCATCTTGCTCTTTGGGTTGCTTGCACTAACAAAATTCTTTGCAGGACGGTCTTTGGGGATGAATCAGGATGTGCAATACCCAATTCAGGAGGTGAAAGCGACACAGATAGGTCCAACAGCGAATGGGAAGACCTGCACACATTGTGCTGTGAACGCCGTGCAATAGAAGAAGAAAAATCTGGTATTCAGGTTTCATTACATATCCACATGCTACTGATGTGCTACATACTTTACAGCACAGGCCGCCAGTCTGGACACCGGCGCACAAATTTCTGCTACACCTTTGTTGGGCCCGGCACTTGAAGCTAGCAACCTAACAACAGCGGCCCTGAACATGCTCACAACAATGGCTTCTTGCATGAATGCCCCCGGTGCCGACAACACAGACCACACAATGATGACCAGCTCATCAAGTCCACCGCCTCTCAGACAACTTGCCACCCAGTCCTCTCGTCATGGTCAAAGTAACCAGCGCATGTTATTGCGCATCCTAGATGAAGATGAGGACAAAGATGAAGACATGTACCTGGATGGTAGGCCCCGTGGCATCTTGTCCAAGAGTCCCATGCACTACAAGGAAGATGGCACTGTATGCCAATCGCGCAAGCACAAGACCCTCATGGACAACAACTCTGACACTGCTAACAACAACACCAGCAGTGTTGCCCATCGCTCATGCAAGCCCAGATGTCTTGTTGAGGAGGATGACAAGCACGAGCATGACAACCACAACCATGACAACCATGACAACCATGACAACATGGTGCCGCAATCGCACAAGTGCACGGCTGCACACGCTCAGTACGATGATGATAGTAGCCACACCCCAAAAGCACGCAAGGCCAAGATGAACGCTAGCACTACGTCGACTTCCAAGGGCAAGGGGAGGTCTTAGATGGTCATCCTTGCCATTCAATCCTGGGGGGTTATACTGTTCTCTCATGCTCTGCTTCAATCTCTTGTGCTCTGTGCTCTACATGGCTCTGCGGTGTGCTCTCATTTTGGCTTTTCATGGTTTATCTTCCACATTACTGACTCATGTATATTTCTTTTTGCCACTGAATGTATTCTTATTGTTTGATTGCCGTGTATACTTACTCTTGCTGCTCTAAATCTTGTGCGCGGCCGGTCTTCTGTGGCTGATGCTGGTGAATCTTCCAGGTGGCACATGTTTGTATATGTTTTGTGCCAGCCGCCATGGGATTGCTCGAGGAACAAGGCCCAAAATATTGCTTCATTACGCCATTTATTTGTCATATGTTTTCTCATATGTTTTTTGTTATTTCCTCATAGTAATAGACCCTTGCCCTCGACATGGTGGCGGGTAGGAGCCTGCATTGATCCATGACATGGTGATACTGAAGCATTATGTTGGCTTAGGAGGTACCACCACAAATGGCTTACAATCATGAGCAAAAAAACCCGGAAACTGCCAGTTGGACAATGTAACGGCAAGTTCGCGAGAGTGCCTGTTGTCAAAAATACCCAATTCCCACCGCCTGTCTCCCTCAAGCCTTAGTGCATGCAAAACAGACACTATCGCTATCTGATCAGGCTTGAATCCAATTCAAAGATGATCAAGCGTTTTCAGTCGGTGTGTACACCCTTTGCAATCGCCCACCACTTGCTCTCGTTTGCAGGATGCTGCCACCTGCCAATGAGCCCATATACTTATATCACAATCGCATTCAATGAACACGAGCTGATACTGAGATTAAATACTCTCTTGCAGTGATATCCGCCTTGTATCAAACCCCAGGCCCTGTCTTTAAGAAGATGGCCAAAGACGATGTCCAAGACAACTTCTGGACTATCGAGACTGACACCTTTCTGGACCACATCCTTATCTGGAAGACCGCTGACAACAACGTCCGCAATGTCCTCCACACACTAAACTCGTCTTCAGCCCAGTGGCTTTCCCTACTGAAGGTTCCGAAGCTAGAGAAGGAGCTCTACTCTTCGTTCGCAGATACTGCCAATGCAATCATCGCTGCCTGCAGCGCCACTAATCCCATAGTTGAACTCGCGCTTGACATCTTCTGGCAAGCGAGTCCTAATAAAAGCCCGAAGTCTCCCAACCGGTGGTTGCCACAGATTCGCCCTGACTTGCTGGCCGTTATCGGACTAAAGGACGCCCTAGATGAGTTCAAGAGACTCAACACACGGATTCAAGATCTTGAGCACCAACTGGGCTCTGGGCCGGAGGAAGAAGCTGAAAAGGAGGATTTGAAGCTTCAGGTGCGTCTGTTCTTCGATTTAAATACAGCTAATTTGGTCTCATCGCTTTGTCTCAGCGAAAGGAGGTGCTGAAGAAATGCGAGTTATGGTGGTTGCGTGTTCATGTTCCTGTTGAGATGAAACTGAAGGACAGTGAGGAGGAGATGTTGGAAGGGATACTCCAGCTCTGCAGCTACATGTGGATGGTGCTTGCCGAGCAACTGGACCGGCGCTTTGCTATAGGACTTCTGTTGTGCAAGTCAAAGCTCATAGTATGGATGTGCGACCGCTCTGGTTTGGTCAGAACATGCACCACGATCGATATCCACGCCGTACATTTGTGTTCTTATTTGTTCTTACCCGCTCTAACGGGACATCTGTTCATTTTTTCCTTTTTGCACAGAAGCCTAAAAAGTTCATCAAGGTCATCATATCTCTGTCTCGTCTCAATCCCTCTAGGCTCGGTTGGGACACGACGATGCGTATCTATCGCATGGAGATGGCTACATATCACTTCTCCACAGATAAGGATGTGACCGTCGACTACTATGGTGTGAGCCCACATGGGACGACTTGGGCTATACAAGGTCCAAGATCTGACGGAAACGAGGGCGAAGACAGGTACTTGACGGTCAAAGCTCTCAGTACCGTGTGAGCGTAGGTGATGGAAGGTCAAGCGACGATTGTGTGGCTTGTTGTGAACGAGACAACCATGAAGGTGAGGTCTCTTGGGGTACATATAATTGACTGATCATATGTACTGACCTGATATGCTAGCGGTTTGTGCTCAAACAGTCGTGGCATCTGGAGATGTCGCAGATTGAAGCAATGTTCCATAAATTCCTGTCCAAGCCACCCTTTATTCACATCTGCGATATCGTCAACTCGGTCGACATCAGAGTCATGGACGACGAGCAGGGAGGCATGGTGGTCAACAACACGGTCAATCACATTCGTTGCAGCGTGGAGGTCCAAGCCTCTTCACTCAAGAGAAGTAAGTTGCCTAAAGATCCCGGAGCTTCCGAATTACGCTCGACCAAGTGCAAGAAGCCAGAGCTCGATGAGTCCCAGCCCCATGAAAGCTTTCTTCACGTTACATCGACTTCTTCTGAGGTCTTGGAATTCCCTGTCATTGCCGACGGACGATCGGTGACAAATCGTGTCTTGACGTGCACTTTGATGCAGACGTATGGGTGGCCCATCAAGTTCTTCAAAGACATTCCCAAGCTTGTCAAATCCATATTCCATGCTGTGAAAGGTGAGCATCCTTTCAAGCTGTCCGAATCTTATGAGCATTCTGCTGGCACCGTATTGACCGCTGTTCTCCAGCACACTGCGATTACTGGTTTAGTCTTATACTTCATCGAGACGTCAGCACCGGCAACATGCTTATCTGTCCCAGGTCTGATGTCAATGTCGAAGATACTTGTGGTAAACTCATCGACCTTGACTATTCGAAAAAATCGGACATGCATGTAGAATACCCAGCACCAGGGCCTCCCAAGCAACACATAGCTATAGTCCTTCGACTCAAGAAGCAGGTGTCCATAACCAACGAGGTTGCCGGCATCCTCATCGCTCGTTACCCATCACATTTCTTGGTATATATAGACATGGTTCTTAGCATGAATCCGGACCTCAGAACTGCTAACAAAGAGGTGATTGATGTTGTTTACCCGATCATACTCCAGAAACTGACCCTATGACTTAGCTGACAGTAGAAGATCTCTTTTTGGAGATACCTTTCGTGAGCTTTTATGCTGAAAATCCGACCGGCGTCTCTACTCACTGCTGTCCATCAGGATCACCCTCCAGCTTGGGATGGGCATCTTCCACATATAAGGCATAGGATGGCAAGCAGACACCTTCATCTATCTCTCAACTTCATCTGACACCAGATATTGTGCTCCAGGGCACCAGGGCTTTCATGAGCGCCAAGATTATACATCCTTCAAATGTGCATTACGAAGGTACCGAGGCGCTGAGGTTGGCAGGCCGGGTTGCCTACAGTGCCATTTATGATCTCGAGTCTTTCTTCTGTGTCCTTCTTTATCTCTGCCTCACACGTGATGGTCCTGGCAGAGGACGTCGAATTGAGCTTTCCATCAATGAACCTTTGACCGAAGAGACCAAGCCGATATATGCCACTATTTACTGTCTATTCGACTCCAAGGATGATTGCACTCTATGGAACAACAAACGGCTGCTCTTCAACAACCCTGACGACCTCGACGAAATCATCCTCAAGTGCATATGCCCGTACTTTGATTCTTTGAAGCCTCTTATCTCCAGATGATGGAAGATCCTTTGCTTTGGATACATCACCTACAACGAGTCCATCAGTAAGTTGGGAAGTCCCCTGAAACGCCCTGAAACGCCCTGAAATAGGGTATTTCAGGGTTTCAGGTGGGTTTCAGACACCCAGTCTACAGGTATCCTAATTTGGGGTTTGCAGGTCATTCAGGTACTTCAATTTCAGCTGTCTCGGTGCAACCAGTTACTTTCAGCATCACTAGTCATTTTCAGCGCGGCAAGTCACTTCAGACTGCCAGTAGCTAAGATGTTCAGCTGTTTCGTCACATTCAGAGGTTGTCAGAATATCAGAGTATCTTTCTGTCAGACTGTTTGATCACATCAGACCATCAAAGTATCAGACCCTCAGATCACAAGTTATCGGAAAGCACATCAGAGCAGACAGACCATATAGGGGGCAGAGTTGTCAGGTTAGCTTTCAAACGGATGCGAAGCACGAGAAATAAGTGCGAGAAATGCACGTATTATAAGTTGAAGAATTGAGATACAGCAGAGGGAAAACCACCGGCGTCTTGCTGCACCTCCTTTGCTCCAGCAAACAATCAAGAACCTAGCTATTGAGATATCAATGAATGCAATGACGTATATACAGGAGAATCACTCACCAAATCTCGAAAGATGTGGGTAGAACATCAAGCGTCATTGTAATCATCCTCATCAGTCTCACCACACTGAGTGCGATTGAGACAATCCTCATTGTCCTCATAATCATTATTCATACCATCATCTTCGGCATACTGATCGTTGTTGTCATTAAGTCTGTCGTCATCCAATAGATCGTGCTCATCGTTACTTGGAGGGGGGCTGCTATGGTCAACAATCGCGTTTTTGTCATCGTCAAAGCCCCGATCCTCAATGTCATTGCCATTTGCCAAATAACGGCTGATTCGTTCAGCCAGCTTGTCCTGTCAGTGTGGTTTCTTAAGGAAGGTCCAAATCGTGAGTCCCTGCCGCAAGTCCTGTGTCTTTGTTCCACAGTGTTCCTCTGAGAAGCTCGTGTTTAAAGGCTTGAAGGAACCAGTGGAATATGCTAAAAACACATGTTTAACCTGAAAAGCTATGAATATAAACCAATTGACAAGAACAGCACACTCATGGCCAGTACGGCAAGGCAGAGCGACCCGACGGGGTAATACTTCTGTGTGAAAATAGACCCCTGCGTCGATTTGACGTGCATTGCTAGAACCTTCACAATACATATTGATTGCATTGCACCCTCGGGGCGCTGTGCAGAGCATGAGCAGGACTCAAATAGAGAAAAATTACACGCACCTCGGGATCTGGCATAGCCCAGTATGCAGCCCTGTATTTGGGCTGTAAAGCCTTCTGGACAAAAGCCTTCACAGTGTTCTTATTGCCCAAAGAAGCGACAGTAGACTTCACTGCCTGGATGGCCTTCGTTTGAAACCTGCGATGCCAATCATAGACAGCCTGGCGTGCCTAACGGTAGTTCTGGAGATCATTGTGCATCAAAAGGGAGAGAAAGTGGTGACTTACAATGAGATAAACTTTATCGCGGACCAGCATTGGTGTGTACTTGATACCAGGACAAACTAAGTTGATGGTTTGCTGAAGGGCTGTATGGAAAAGCGTCACGCCATTGTCGCCGTCAAGATTCCAGGGGTTGTCTTGGATGCCGTAGAAGTCAAGAAGAGTTGGAATGATTTTGGAGCCCCAGTGTTTCTTCGCCCACTTAGGAAGCTGTGATTTCGAGAGCGACTTTGCTGGACCGACTTGAGATCATGGCCGATGCAAGGCATTCATGTCTACGGGTGTTTTGTCCTCATTCAGTGCGACAATGACCATGTTCTATTTTAGAGAAGGTGCAGAAGAAGGGGGATTACATCATACAATGTGAATCAAAGTGTTGGTGGAACGTACCAGCTTACGAGTAGACGCTTTGCCTTCACGGCGTCCTCCTTAGGTATAGCAACATTGACATCCATAAATCCCCCTTCTATGTCTGAATCCAGACTCCTCTCCTCAGAGTCGATATTTCTCTCTTCTAAACGAGGGATTCGAGGCTTGATGCGGCAAATTGTAGCCTGGGGAACGGACGGAGTTCTGTTACGAAACACCTTGCTTATGCTTACCTACTTTTCTCACCTTCTTGATAAGGACTCATAGGATCTTTCTCCCGACCACACCTCACATTCCCGCTCCATTGATACTTGGTCCATGCTCCTGTTTGTACATATTTATAGATACTGCGGTGCAGGGTGGAAGCCTTAGGCTATCCACTTCTGTCCAATCTAAGGACTGCTGTTTACACAGTCTCCTCTGATTCTAAGGCATTAGTCTGATCAGTCCCTTGACCCCTTTTAACCTCTTTTGGTATTGTTTGTGGCTTGGGATCTCCTCATCTCGAACAGCCGTTTGTGACATCTGGATAGCCTCTCCTTCACAAATCCTACCCCATACATGTCTATATCCTCTTTTTGCAGCAGAACACTGACTAGTTTCATATGGCGCTAGGCAGTCCCAAAAGACAAGCGTCCGTCAACCGTAATAGTTACTATACACTTCGAGCGAACGATTGGACGATTCCACTTCAGTGTGGGTTGTTTCAGGTTGTAGAATACTTCTATCTGGTAATCAACCCAGTGGAGGTACAACCGAAACAATTGCACTTGACGTTACATACGGTACTATACCAGAAGCAGAAATACTATACCCAGCTAAGAAGAGCTGCTGTTGCCTTGACCCTCAAACCTTGATTAGGTCGAGACTAGCGCGGGCTCTTTGATCTAACAAGATGACTTCCCAAGGTTTAGGAAGACACGTAGGGCGAGTTCCACATGGAACTGACTACTTGAAACACGCGGATACATTTGTCCACTTTGGACAACCCATCAGAAGAACTTCCAAGGGAAACTGGGTCTACGTAGGAGGACAGAATAGCGGAAAAACAGTTGACGCCCCACTAGTACCCTGGGAAGATAGAAAAGCACCCCTCAGAACCGTCAATTCCCCTACCCGAACAAGACCCGTTTTATCACCAATCGATATCCCTAAGGAAGACATCGAAGAAACCCCAATCCCTGCAGGTGTACTAACTCCAGTTGACAAAGAAGACCCGGAACCGGTAGCAGGCCCGAGCAACCCGAAACAGCCAGACCCGAACCCCAATCCGAATCCACCACCCGACATAAACATATCAGACGATGAAGACAAAATGTCCAACAAAGGAAACAAGCCGAGGGACTTCGATGGAACAAGGTCAAAATACAGAGAATGGATCTACGAATGCCATATGTACATTCTAGCCAACCCGACCAAGTACGACACGGACATGAACAAAACACTTATGGTCCTGTCATATATGAGGAAAGGAACAGCTTCGCTATTTGCACAAAAATACTACTTCGACAGAGAACTCCGGGAGTACAAAGCAATGGAAACCAAAAAGACATGGGGAACGTTCAAAGACTTCCTGCAAGAATTAGCCGCCATATTCAAGAATGAAAGTCTCGAACAGAAGGCAAGATAGAAATTATTCACAATGAGAATGGGAAAGCGATCAGCAGATGAGTTCATCACTGACTACCTCATGACAGCAGGAGAAAGTGGATTTGATCTCAAATCTACCGTCGATTATTTCCACCAAGCCATACACCCAGAAATTCTCAAACAAATTTACAGACTCCCTGACATGCCGACAACCATGGATGATTGGGTAAAATACACCCGCAGGTTCGATAACCAATGGAGGGAGCTGCAGAGCATAAAAAGCTCCGTGCCCTCTACCGTCATTCGACCAAACAATTCCTTCCACTACAACTCTTCTAACGCTCCATCATCCATGAATAACTCTGTCGTCCCCATGGCCGTAGATACGGTCTGAACGACCCTTACAAATGAAGAGCACAACCGCTTAAGGATGGAGGGTAGGTGCTTTTACTGCTGTCAGAAAGGGCACATGGCAAATCAATGCCCTGCCAGGGGTTCATCTAGGGTATATGAAGGGTCAACTAGACATGTTCAACAGGGTAGTAGAATGGTGGGGAACCGCTTGGCTCAGGCCAGCAGTAGGATGGGAGGAGGAAGAAGCGGCTATGGCCAAGCGCTCTCGATAGGAGCTCCAGGCAGTGCTCAGGGAGGTACTATGGCGCAAGGTAGAAGCATGGCGACGACTAACCCATTCTGGGCCAGACTCGCAGCTTGCCAGGCCTATGCACCCGGACCGGATGCGCCTGTACGTGAGGAGGAGCCTGAGATTAGCCGAGAAGAGATCCAAAGGGTTATAGGAAAGATGAGATGGGACAAACAGGAAGCGCTCCTTCAGGAATTGAGTGAAGGAAGCAAGCGAAAGGAATCAGATTTTTAAATAGGCCTACAGTTCTGGTGTACCGTAGTCCTGCCCCAATACCTCCTGTAAAAACAATTGTACGGCTTACCAAATCCAATCGGAGATCATCTATGAGAATAAACATGCAACTGAAATATAAAGGAGGAACCACCAAAGCTAGGGTATTGATCAATTTAGGAGCAGAAGGGCTTCTTATCGACAAACAATTTTGCTTGGACAAGAAAATACCAATGCAAAAAATCAATAAACCTATTCCTGTGTTCAATGTGGATGGAACAGCTAACGAAGGAGGGAAAATCACCGATCAAGCTTGCCTGCTCATGAGGATGACAAATGAAGAAGGCGACTACCATGACAAACAATGTGAGCTGCTATCTGCTAACCTAGGAGGAGAAAATATAATCCTAGGAACAGATTGGCTACATGAGCATAATCCACAGATCAATTGGGTAAAAAATGCTCTCACGTTTTCAACATGCGCTACCACATGTCTAGTCAGCCGACCTAAATTCACCATCCAAGCACTAATGCCCACACGGCGCAAAAAAAGCAAGGCAGTCGGATACTCCCAAATAGAAGACGACCTGGAAGACAAAGAAGCCAACGATACTTTCTTTTCCAAATTCTACGAAGAATGGTATTACCAGAATCCGTTTGAAATACACCCCCTAGAAGCAATTCATATTGGTTCCGTCGGAAACAAATCACAACAACTGGTAGAAAAAGCGAACAAAACAAAACCAGAATGACCTATCGAAGAAATAGTTCCAGCATACGTCCTTAAACGATTCGCCAAAATCTTCAGCCAGGAAGCTTCACAAAGATTGCCGAAACACTCACAATAGGACCACAAAATTAATATGAAACCAGGATGGGAACTAACGGGATGCAAGTTGTACCCTTTAACCAAAGAAGAAGAAGACCAGCTACACGAGATGCTCCAAGAATACTTGAAGCATGGAACCATCAGAATATCCAAATCTCCACAGGCATCACCCTTCTTCTTCGTAAAAAAGAAGGAAGGAAGCTTACGACCGGTACAGGATTATCGAAGACTAAATGAATGGACAATAAAGAACAAATACCCACTACCCTTGATTGACAACGTGATAAAGACCATTGCGAAATCAAAAGCAAGGATCTTTTCCAAATTTGATGTCAAATGGGGATATAACAACATCCGTATAGCAGAAGGCAATGAATGGGAGACAGCCTTCATGACCAAATTCGGCCTATTCAAATGCCTTGTAATGTTCTTTGGCCTTTGCAACTCGCCAGCTACGTTCCAAACGATGATGAATATAATCTTCCATGATCTTATCGTAGCTCAAGTACTAGCGGTCTACATGGACGACATCCTAGTATTTACCAAGACTATTGAGGAACATTGACGGGTAATGACACAAGTCATGCAAATACTTTTGGACAATGATCTCTTCTTGAAACCTTCTAAATGCTCCTTTGAGGTGGACACAGTCAAGTACCTCGGATTTATCATCTCCACGGACAGTATATCTATGTATCCAGTCAAGGTCGAAGGCATCGCGGCATGGCCAATACCAAAGAACCTGAAGGAAGTTCAGTTGTTCCTTGTCTTTGGAAACTTCTACAGGAGGTTTATTGGAAACTTCGCTTCCATTGCACAACCCTTAAACGACCTTACTAAGAAGGACGTGCCATTCGAATGGACCAATGAATGCCACATCGCCTTCGAGACCCTGAAAAATTGCTTCACCTCAACCCCTATCCTCATTTACCCCGACAGAAACTGCCCATTCCGTGTCAAAACTGATGCCTCCGATTTTGCCTCTGGTGCCATCCTATCACAAGAAATCCCCCAGGATGGATGGCATCCCATTGCTTACCTCTCTAAGTCCTTCAACGCCACTGAACGCAACTATGACATATTCAACAAGGAACTACTTGCCGTCATCCACACCCTCGATCACTGGCATGTATACCTGGAAGGTGCGCGACATCCATTCGAAATCTGGTTGGACCACAAAAACATTCTATACTTCTCCACCACGCGAACTCTATCCCGACAACAGGCACGTTGGTCACTCTTCCTTTCTCGTTTTGACTTCACACTCGTACACAAACCTGGTGTCACCCATTGCCCCGATGCTCTGTTCAGGCATCCAGACCTAAAGGAGGGGGTAAAATCAGATAACAAAGACCGGGTGTTGCTATAACCCCAAATGTTCGTCAAAAGTGCAACAGGAAGAGGTACAATTGAAATGCTCGACAGTCAGCTGAGACAAAAGTTAAAAAAAGTCACAGCTAGAGACAAAGAAGTAATGGAAGCAATGGAGCTCATCAAGGCATCAGGACCTAGAGCACTTTCAAAAGGACTACAAGAATGGAACTATGAAGACGACCTCATCTGGCACAAGGGAAAAATATACGTTCCACCTGATGATGAACTTAAAAGGAAAATAACAAAAATGTACCACGATTCGCCTGCAACCGGACACCCAGGACGATGAAAGACCTATGTTCTGGTATCAGACAACTTCTGGTGGCCAGGAATGTCCAGCTTCATAAAAGAATATGTAATAGGATGTGCAACATGTCAAAATACAAAAAACATCACACATCCCACACGTACTCCGCTTATCCCTAATGAAATACCAGAAGGACCCTGGCAAACAGTCACAATGGACTTCATCACGGATCTTCCCCAAGTCGGACCGTACAACGCCATTCACGTAACCGTGGATAGAAGCACCAAGGGCATTGTTTACACCCCATGCGATAAAACCATAGACGCCGAAGGAACTGCTAACCTCTATATGAAAAATATCTGGAAACGATATGGGCTTCCAAGGAAGATCATATCTAACAGAGGTCCACAGTTCACAGCTAGATTCACAAAGGAACTATGGAAAAAGCTAGGAGTAACAACAGCACTATCAACTGCTTACCATCCAGAAACAGATGGAGAAACGGAAAGAGTCAATCAGGAGCTTGAACAGTACCTACAAGCATTTTGCAACTACAAGCAAACGAATTGGCCCAAACTATTGCCGTATGCAGAATTCGCACACAATGTCAGGGAACATTCAGCAACTCACCAGTCACTATTTGAACTCATGTATGGCTACAATCCAACCTTCGTACCTCTGATCACACCGAGATCCGACATCCTGGGCTTAGAACAAAGGCTGGAAAGGCTAGAACAATTATGACAAGAAATGAAGGCCAGCCTAGAAGTTGCAGCTGAACTAATAAAAAGAAAAACAGCCAAAAACAAAGTCAAATTAGAAGTAGGACAGAAGGTTTGGCTATCGGGAAAAAATATCACCACCACGCATCCAAAGGACGAACTAGCCCTGAAACTGCATGGACCATTTGAAATAGAAAGCAAACTAGGACCGGTAACATACAAATTAAAGCTTCTGCCAACGTGGAGAATACACCCCATATTCCACGCCTTGTTAATCGTACCTTATCAAGAAACAGCTGCACATGGCCCCAACTTCGAACAACCACCACCTGATCTCATAGACGGACAGGAGGAATACGAAGTCGAAGAAATTCTTGACAAGAGGAAACGAGGACACGGGTATCAATACCTAGTACACTGGAAAGGATACCCAAGCTCCATGGATGAATGGGTCACAAGGGCAAACCTAGGGAATGCCAAAGAACTTTTGGAAGCATACGACATGTGACATCATAACTTACCACTACGAGCAGCTCTCGCAAACATCGAACAAACAAAATCCAAAACATATAAAAACCCAAACTCAATCATCGCAATCCCCTCATCCCTTCAATCACTCATCCACTCCCCCAGCAAATATGTCTTCCAGCGAATCCATCTACCTCTCCTCTGAAGACACTCTCGTCGAACAACCTTACAAAGAAACACCCTCCACTGAACCCTCTATCCCCTCAACCCCTGAGATGTCTATAGTAGAAGAACAATCCGTACTATGGGACACAGAAGAAGAACAAGCAGCGCGGGAAGCGAAAGAAGGATTCGATGAGTATCTTGGGAGATTGGACGAGAACAAACGATGAGAAGACAAGATGATCAGATGACTCACAGAGGACTTCGATAGACCTTCACCTTCCCGCTCCCCCTCTCCACCACCCCTCATCCGCACACAAGGCGATGGGATCATATTTCCCGACAGAGAGACATACCTGACGACCCCCATCACCTACATGATGGGACTCATTGAAGGAACACCGAACACTGAATTTGTGTCAGGACCCACGCAACTGGAGATACAAAGGGCGTTGGAGATTTTGGAAGAAGAAAGGAGCTTTGTCCGACACGCGCAGAGGGCTTTGCAGATTCGGGAAGGAACGCTCATTGCCCGTATCAATGCGGGCGAAAGAAGACTTATAGGCTTGAATCAAACTACACACCTCCAAGACTCCTTTCATCCCGCTGACGACATCACCCCCATCACTGAATATCACATGCCTACCATGGCTATGGTATCTCATGCCTCGTCTTTGGCCTCAAATGGAGCACCGCTTTGCCCAATGCCGGGGGCTTATCCCACGGAACACGGCAGGGGAAGGGATATCTATAGATTCACACAGATTTCGCCCCACTACCATGTCATACCTGTGTGACTGGGAGTAATCCGCTCTTCTACCCGAACTCAACCTCCCCTCCCTTTTGTCGAATATGACTCCAGTGAGTCCAACACCCAACCTGTCGTCCTCCACCCTCGAGGTGCTTGAAGAACGAGATGCTGACGTCTGGGACGACGTAAAACTGCTGGGGCAAACGACGGTTCGAATCCGTTGGGCCGGTACCCACTTCCATGATGAGATGAGGGACTCGGCTCTAGAATGCAGTCCTCGCATGGTTGGTAACGAGGTGGGGTATCATGACGTCCGTACTTAAGGGCTATCGCGTCATGACTCGACTGTGGGCAGTGAGAATCTGTGCCCTAAGTATTATTTTGTATAACTTGGTTTGCGCGCATTGCTTATGTTTTTCCTGGACTATTACTTACCGTCTCTGGCACTGACGGCCTAGAGGGGGGAGGTAATGTTACAAAATACCTTGCTTATGCTTACATAATTTTCTCACCTTCTTGATAAGGACTCGTAGGACCTTTCTCCTGACCACACCTCACATTCCCGCTCCATTGATACTTGGTCCATGCTCCTGTTTGTACATATTTATAGATACTGCGGTACAGGGTAGAAGCCTTAGGCTATCCACTTCTGTCCAATCTAAGGACTGCTGTTTACACAGTCTCCTCTGATTCTAAGGCATTAGTCTGATCAGTCCCTTGACCCCTCTTAATCTCTTTTGGTATTGTTTGTGGCTTAGGATCTCCTCGTCTCGAACAGCCATTCGTGACAAGTTCGGCGAGCTTGTTGGATGAGGGTAGAGGGAAGCAGCATGCAAGAGGGTGTCTTCGAATGAAGTGAAGGGGACGTAGCGGTATGACCCTTCAGCTTAGAAGACACCTTCTCGCGCCAGTCTGCCTCGAGAGCAGAATGTTGTGCTCCCTTACTCTTCTTTCTTGCTGGTGCGGACAAATTGGACAATTCCACAGTCCTAGTAGACGATAGATGAGTTGAGACTTGGAGAGATCACAGATAGATACTTACAATAAGGTTCATTTCGGGGCTCATGCTACTTCTCGTGCAGCAGATACTGATAGGCGGACCTCTGCTGCCCTTGCCTTGCGCTTTTCTGCTTGAGTACGGTGCTGATGAGTGGGAAGAAGATAAGCTGTGATCGGATAAGATCATCAGGCACTTACCTTTTTTGAACTGGCAGGTGACTTGGTCGAGCCATCCATCACATCCATATCGTCGCTGACGATGCCACTGTCCTCTTCATCTTTGTGAATGTGCCTCTGGTATGAGATCTTCCTGTCATGAATACTACCATCAACATCTATAGCTGTCAAGTTATTAGCTTCAACCAATCCATCTGTCGCCAGTATGTCTTCGTTCCTGTCTCTCTCGTCTACTGAAGCATTGAGATAAGCTTCTTCAGCGCAATCCTCTTGATGTCTCTGATCCTCAAGCTGAGCCAACTTCTTTATCCCTTCGGCCTCAGACTTCTTTGCTGCCTCTGTAGACTGGGACTTAGCTTGCACAACGCTGGCCTTTGCAGAGTGCTTGGCCTGTGCACTCTTTGCAACCTCAGCTCGGGTACATTTGAACAACCCAGCACTATTTGCGGGGTGTGGGTTGATTGACCATTGACTATGGCGCATTGGTTTGTCCACATAATGCCCCTCCTTTGCTTGGAAGTTGCCTGATTGCCGATCTGCAGGGACCTGCCGTCTGCTCAGTGTCTCCTTGTTCACTTGGGGGTTGCCTGATTGCCGATTTTCAGAGACCTGCCGTCTGTTCAGTGCCGGTGAGTACAGCATTAGACTCTAGGGCATATGAGTCATAGGCCTCACGCTGACACTGACTCCTTTCTGATGACAGGCGAAGCGCTCGGTTCTTTCTTCTTCAATGAGGAAGAACTTGAGTTCGGATGTCAGCCAACAGTATTTGTTCAAGGTGATGTATATTTAACGTACTGCCCAGTCAAGCTGATTGCATTATCCTCGTCGATTATGGTATGCAAAGCTCTCTCTTGGGATTGATTGGTCGAAGCCGACATCCATGTTTGTTTTGCTGTAGCCAAAACCATGAGGAAAATCGCAGTGCTGCCTGGAGAAGAGGATGAGATGACTTGGAAGAGGTGAGCTGCTCAGTGCAACGTAGACGTGCATATGCGCTAATTGGTGACAGAATTAATGTTTACCTCTACACTAGCGACTGTTTGCTGAACCCCAACCCTAGTCTATCGTTGCACCTTTCACGGTCAAATCCGTCATCCCTATTCCCCCCTCCCTCTCCTCTTCAAAGTAAACCTTGTATCATCTTCATCAATATGAACTTTTTTTGTGACCCTGCAACCGTTCCTTCCGTAAACACACTGGTCTCAAAAAGCATCTCGTTGCACACCACTGGCATTTCAAGGGCCCGGAAGTCCCTCGCTCAACATTCTGCTATCACAGCAAGCTTGATGGTACATCTTTTATTAATATATGAAGCTCATTCTGATACCCTTTCTGCCTGTCAGCAAGGCCCTGCAACAGTGGCAGCAATTTTGTGCCACATAATGCATTCCCTGAACCTCCAGATCATGAATCTGTTGACTGGACACCCTTCCCTGACCGACCAATGTTTGAATGCACAAGCCTCCTATTTGAGAAGATGCATGCGTCTATCGGCAGCATCAACGAACTCTTCAACATTTTCATGGCTAAGAATGTGCTGGATAATGCTGGTGAGAATATATTTGCGAGTGCATGGGATATGTATAATACTATCGACAGCATCCCATTTGGCAACTTACCGTGGCACTTGTTCGGAATCAAATATGCAGGCCTAGTCGACAAACACTCTCTTTCATGGAAGGCAGAAACATATGTAATTCACACTTGAAATGCAAGCGATGTTGTCGCTCATATTGTGGATAACCCAACATTGGATGGAAAATTCGACTATACCGCATTTGAGGAGTTTGTCAGTCCTCATGAGCAGAGGTTTTCGAACCTAATATCTGGTCGATGGGCCTGGAAGAAATCAGTCAGTACATTCCTTTCTCTTGAGTACATTTCCTGATATTCTTTGCTAGGATGTGATTGCAGAAGATCTGGGAACCCACGGTGCGATGCTGGTGCCCATTATACTCGGTACAGACAAAACGACAGTATCCGTCGGCACGGGCAACACAGAATTTCACCCGCTCTATATCTCAGTTGGGAATCTAGACAACTCTGCGCGGTGTGCTCACGGATGTGGCTTGATTCCTTTATCATTTTTGTCAATCCCCAAGAGTATGTATCTCCTTTCACTATCTCACTTTTGCTGACATACAAAAGCTTGTCGACAATTCACAGAAGATAATGAATACCGCCTTTTTCGCAAGCAGCTCTACCATGCATTGATTGCACACATACTCAGCCCATTGCGGGATGGAATGACAAGCCCAGTTGTCTTGCGCTGCTCAGATGGGCACTTTTGGCATGCAATCTATGAAATTGGGTCATTCATTGCCGACTATCCCGAGCCAGTTGTGTTGGCTGGAATTGTGCAAGGATGGTGTCCGTGGTGAGTTTATAATCTCTATGTGCTTTTATCTCGAACTAAGCATTTCACAATCAGATGTCTTGCGCAACTGCATAGGGGCGCTTTTGATGATGCCGGAGACCCACGCTTTCATGCACATACCCATCAGCTCCGAGAGACTTTTGATTCTGAAACCCTATGGTACACTTATGGCGCTGTTGAGAATGTCATCATGAGTATTAAGAATCTATTATTTCATTTGTCACTTAACATTCCTGCACTAGCCATTCACAGATTTTTTCCCTCATGCCGATATCTATGAACTGATCACTCCGAATTTACTTCATCAACTCATCAAAGGAACTTTCAAAGATCATCTCATGACGTGGATCCAGGACTACTTCGAGTTGACACATGGATTGACAGAGGCAAAGAAGATCCTCGACAATATTGATCGCAGGTATGTTTCTATATATGGATATAACACCAGCCCAGACTGATAATTGCTGCGTAGGATTGCCGTAGTCCCTGCCTTCCCTGGCCTTCAACAATTCCCTGAAGGATGCAATTTCAAACAATGGACTGGCGACAATTCGAAGGCGCTCATGAAGGTATGCTTTGATAAGATGGCTGACTTAGAAATTTGATAACATAAGTTACAGGTCTTTCTTCCTGCAATTGTCAGATATGTGCCTGATGCCATGGTTCAATCAGTCGCGGCATTTCTTGACTTCTGTTACCATGCACGGCATTCCACGTACACAACAACCACCCTCAATGCTATGGACCATGCGCTTACCCGGTTTCATCACTACTGTGTCATATTTCAGGAGTCTGGCATCCAGCCGGATGGGTTTTTCCCCCCGTGTCAGCATTCACTCGTACATTATGTTATAAGGATCAAACAGTATGGCTCCCCTAATGGACTTTCATCCTCAATCACCGAGTCAAAACATATTGAAGCCGTCAAGAAACCGTGGCGCCGGACAAATAAGCATATGCCCCTCGGCCAGATCCTCTGTATCAACACCCAAAATAGTCAGCTAGCAGCGGCACGAACAGAATTCATATGCTGTGGGATGCTTGATGGAGATGTACTTTCAGATGCTTATCGAGAAGCTGGTTTGCGCGCCGAAGAAGATATTGAAGATGCCGAAGATGCAAGATACAGTGATTTACGAGATGCAGAGGATGTCGATGGGCCACATACCCAGTCGATGGTAAAACTTGCTTTGAAATCAAGTCAGCTCTTGCTCCTCATGCCAAAAATCATTTCTAAGTCAAGATCCTTTTGAGCAGCACACACCAAGATGATCTATGACCTCGCGCAGGAACTTGGCCGCACAGGCCCCGAATTAAAAACATTAATGTAACACTTCTTATTCGAGCAACTCTACGGACATGGCGAGCATGACATCACCACAGATGATATCTCTGCAGATGACTTGCCTCGCTTTAAGGGACAATTGTCGATATACCATTCTGCCACCATCACTTTCTATTGCCCCACGGAGCTCGCAGGCATTGGGGGTATGCGCCGCGAGACAGTTCGGAGCACACCACGATGGTATGGGAAAGACAAGCGCCGCGACACCGTTCTTGTCCAGGTTGGCCCTGAAGTTGATCTCATGCGGGGTATCCTTGTTGCGTGTGTGCTCCACTTCGTTTCATTCATTCAGCAGGATGTGCAATATCCATGTGCTATAGTGAATTGGTTTGTACCGAAGGACAACGAACCAGATCAACTGACTGGGATGTGGATTGTGAAGCCAGAGAAGTTGAATAGACAAAGAAGTATTGGCATTGTCCATGTTGACACTATCTTCCGTGCTTGCCAGCTGATCGGGGTGTATGGCACGACACCCATTCCTCTTGACTTTCATTTTTCTTACTCGTTAGACACATTCAAAGAATTCTATGTAAACTCCTATGTAGATTACCATGCACATGAGTCTAGTATAATATAGGCTCTCATACTTCAGATCTGAACCTCTGCACTGTCGGAAGTCCTGAAGTTCGATCGGTCTGAAACTTTGAGGTGTCGGAACCTCTGAATGCCACACTGGCTGGTAGCCCTGGCATATATGAGACCTCTGATGATTCATAAATTGATCTTCACATTGTCCTGAAGACCATGAAAACTCTGAAGCCCTATCGGCACTTATCTGATGATCTGAAGAGCTCTGAAGGCCTGCGGCAAGTCTCACCAGGTCGTTCAGGCTCTCAGCAGACACAACAAAGTGCTGATGGCCGACTATGTGGCAGGAGGCCTACATGACCACATTATCACACTCCTCCAGGACAAACTTGGGAAGATACAGTCGAAGTCTAACTTGCATTCAAATCTGGATGCTGACGAGGTTGTGCATATGGAGGACAAGACAGATAAGGAGATTCAGCGAAGGAAGGACAACTTCGAATTCATTCAACTCCGGGTTCGCCAACTTGACGAGAGCTTAAAAAGACGATCGCCACATGTGGGGCAGCAGAGACTGCCCGCGACTCCACCAAAGGATAGCCGACAGGGCTCAGACCAAGCACCAGTCTGGGATTCGACGTCTCCGAAGGGGAGGTCGCAATATTTGATGTACACCAGTACTGATCCCGGCTCTCCACCCACTCCTCCGCCTCAGTTGAAGAAGGCGCGAATGGGCAACACTGGCGCTCCATTGTCAGGACGTCATTAAGGCAGGTTTGTGAGTATTTACGCCCAGTGAACGAATGTGGTCGAGTCCCGGCGAATATGAGTCAGCGGGTGGCTACTGCAACGGATAGGGTCGCATAAGTAGCATTGAACCGAGACTCTTTTTGGTGCTCTACTCTTTCTTTTAAATACTGTTTTCTGTTATTTGTCAGCTTTGAAATCATGATTTTACTCTTCATTGAACATAATATCGAATGACAAAGGGATTCACGAGACAAGATTTTGAATTTAAAACATAAATTTATTTCAAGGTACTTAAATTGTATCCATAAAAATTCGAGGGGGATACGGGGAATGCGGGGATTCATAGTAAGCAATGCGGATGAGTGTGAGCGGGGCCGGTGCGGCGAGAATGGGGGAGATGGGCAGAAGTAGGTATGGATGACACGAGCGTGCGCGCGTGGACGGGCAGGAGCGGGAGAAGGATCCGGGGAGTCAATGTCAGCGTGAGCGTGCGCGGTGTGCATGCGCGTATGAATATGGGCGGGCGGTGGCGGTGGACAGACATGGGCGGGGGCGGCGTGAGTGGGCGGGTGAGCGATCGGCAAAGGGCATGGGCTGCGTACATGCGCACTGACAATAGGTATGGGCGCGCGAGTAGGCGGTGGGTTGAGTGCGGGCGTATGTGGGCGGGAACGGAGGCAGCATGCAGGTGCAGGGTATGGGTGCGGGGTACGGGTGCGGGAGTGGATGGGTAGGACTGAACGGCGTGTGTCGGTGTTGGCGGTTGGCGGTGAGCGCATGGGCGATGAGCGTGCGCGGGTGACGAGGGGGGGCACATGAGTGGACCACACGCACATCGGGAAATTGGGGAGCCTCAGACTCGAGCCTGGTGCAGTCGAGCCTCGATTTTTCAACGAACTCTCACTGGGACTCAGAAATCATATCCTACCGAGCCGCTCCAAGTGCAGCACTTCTACCTCAGCTCAAAGTCGGCCATGTCGGGGTCTCCGAAATTGTTTCTTCGACGGCGTGCGTGCTCTTCGGGGAACCCCATCAAGACCACCAAGCCGGCTTGAGCATCCGTTCGCCGGGCTCTATTGTTCCTAAGCATTCGATCTCCAGGATAGTCTTCTCCTGCTTACTGATTTTGAGTTGTAAACTTTTTGTTGCTCGGGTCCGATTGCCGAGGTCAGCTGCGGCCAGGAGTTAACCTCACCAATGCAGCACTTCTATGCTTATTTCTCCGATGGTCGTAATGCGAAGAGCTTGGCTGGTCGTCAGTGCATTGCAAGCAAATGTTCAGCTATTTGCAGTCGTCAAACCAGAAGGTATGAATAACCTCGCATAAGTAACCACTCCTTTATGTATCATACGAGCTTCTTCATCCGTGCTTTCGACTGACATCAGGAGATCCCTCTGTGCCAGAAGCGTTCGCTAATCAACAATTTCGTTTACAGCCGACGCCTGTGCCTCGATTAAGCGGCGCCGCCGAGTGCCACGACGATCCGGGGTCGTTTTTTGTTATATTAATGACACCCAACACCTAGCTCCCCCCGAGCCGCCTACTTCGCCCATCTTCCTCTCTTTGACTTCTTACTTTCTTGCTCCTACACACCCCCATCATGCAGACATCACAATCTGAATCAACCCTCGCGTCGTGGAATCAGACAGACTTCGGAAGTGAACAGGCCTTCGTCGACTACGGTTCTGAGCCTTATCAGTCATCTAGTGGCGACGGAGTGGCATCTTTCCCTTACTCGATCATCTCAGGCCAGGACACAGAAGGCCTAAACCTTGTTGAGTGCAACCCTATGGGATACTCTCATGACAGTTCGAACGAGGTGCGTATATGACGAAGAACTTTCATGATCCGTATATAGTGAGATGCTTTGAAGCATGGGTTCTATCAGATGCATGGGGCGTACCATCATCCTGGAGGCGTCGACTACGCTGCTACTGCGGACATGCGTTACGGCAGCGACTCTTCCCAAACCGACCTCTCTGCTGCTGTGGATGTATGTCAAGACCCTATCCTCGACCCATGGGCAGAGACGACCCATGAACAGTGGAACAATGCTGTCGATGACGTGTACCCTGCTATAGAGCCTATCCAAGTCCGTGAAATCGTTGCACCAACTCCTCGGCACGCCGTACAGATGACGTTAGAGGCCGCTCCGAGCCCAGCTCGCCGACCGTCAGCGCCTGCTCTCAATCCCGCCTTCTTTGGTCAACATGCCTGGATCAAAGAAAGAAGAAACAGGCATAGCCTTGCTTCCTTCAACGGCGAGAGTGCGTTTACAGAGAACAAGGTCAGTGCCCATCTCTCTTCCCTCGACCTTGGTTCGCTGACATTCATTTGGCAGTACGAGCACCCTTCTAGCCTCCTAGACGACGAGACCTCAGAGAAGCATCATCAAGCACAATATCAAAGGTGGCATGACCACCAGGTGTCGTCCTCTCTCGACAGTAGCACGTCACGCCTTCTGCTCACAGTCTGGTCAGAATGCCGTGATGCCATGGCAGGGGGTTGCAGCGAACACAAGCGCCAACCAGTGCTTCTCGCCGTGTGAACACTCACAGCATTACCCCTATTCTTCACCTTCTAGCGTCACTGTCTCTCCCATGAGCACACCCACAGCATCGACTTCTCCGCACTCGCAGTCGCCGGTGGCCATATCGATATTGGAGTCGAAGTTCTACACCATTTTGTCAGAACAATGTGCACCTACAACACACACACACACTGCGCATGCAAAGCACGAGGCTGGAATCTTTAGGGGCCCCAACACGGGAACCCAGAAAGGATGGATGGGCCGGACAAGCACTGAATCCCTGGAGACTATCGGTGAGGAAGGCTCTAGGACTGGCAGTATCGCACGACGCTGTGGTCGTACTCGCGTCGTCAGAAACGTTCAGCCCATCGCGTGCTTCTTTTGTCGTGGTCGAAAGATCGCCTGCGGTCCTGCGGATCCCAATAGCTCAGATAGAGCGTGCATGTGAGTGTCGCTCCTGTCACGATGTTCGCTGAGGAAAGAGGGGGTCACTGAAGGTCATTGTCGCTCCATCCCTTCCCATCTTCTTTATATGCTTTCGTCCATGCGAGGCACCGGCTGCTGCCGCTGAACTAGACGCAGCTAAATGCTCACTCTGCGGCAGTCTGTCCATCTGATCAAGCCATTGCGATATCTGCGCGTGGCTTCTGTTATTGGGAACACAACTACATGCGCTACTTCCACCTTGATCACCTCGTGGCGTTCATCTTGGCCATCTCATCTTTTCAACCAACCTGTGCTAATCTACTTTGGTTTTCCTTTATAGGCAATGTTTGAAACGGCACCGCAAATGCGTGTATCCGCCTGAATCAAGGCGTGGCCGCAGACAAAATGAGGATACAGCCTAGAGGGACGATAGTGCTATGCATGTTAAATCCGGCCACCATACCACACGCTGCGACGGCTCCTTTTTGTTGCCCAACGTTGCATGCTTTTGCGGCGTGCTTGCCTGGTATTTGTATCGATATACTTGTGGCAGTTACCCCATTTGTTATAACTTGTCCATACGCCTTTTTTGCATCTCGGATTCCAATTAATCTGATAGATCTGGCACGTACAGAACATCCTCATCATTGCCTATCGTCTGTACGAAAATAAGAGACTATTGTCACCATACTGTATTAAGGTGAGCTCGCAAGCTGCAGTCGTATCCATACCCTTTCTGTTCAAAGAGCGGGTTGTATCACTATCCTCTCGTATACGCTCATCTCTTCCGTGCGCCAAGCGCAGCCTTCCAAGTTATGCACAATGCAGGCGGCATTGAGGCGGATATTGAGAACGGAGTCTACGCATCCTCTTGCACGGCAGTGGTTGTTCGGCGCTGGCCACGGCGCGACGTTAGCGGATAATTGCAGATGAGCTGGCGCCGCGCGCACTGGCTAGAAAGCGGGGGACGGTCAGCGCGCGGTCAATGACAAATCAACCAATACGAAAGAACGGAGGGAAGGGAGCCGACGAAATCTCGAGACTGGCACTGAGGAAGGGGTGTGATGACAGAAGGTAAACAAAACCCGCTCGATCGAAACCGAATTGAATGAATCAAAACCGAGATGAAACTTCACGAGATATAGTATCGCGCGCGTGAATACAAAGCGACGAAAGCCACGATACCAGGCGTAAAAAAGTAGTGCGTGTCCTGACGTCGGGTTTACGTCGTCCAAACCTGTGCATCTAGCGCCACACGTATCAGCGTTTTATCAGGACGCAGCCAGGTCGGCTGAAGGACTTGGCCTTGGCATTGGAGGTCAATTGTCCTTGGTAGAGGCTAAGGACAAGGACAAGAGGCGCCAGACCAGGACCTCAATTGCATTCGGCAATTTAAACACACGCTCGGGGTCGGGCATCACACCGAGCGCGCATCAACCGAGGGCAAAGAAGCCCTGGCTAGGTTGGATACAAGAGAGTTAATCTTAAAAAAATGACAAAGGCTCACCCCTTTCGCATTAGTGTATTCGGCGCCAACATACAGGAATAGCTGCTTCGTGTTCCAGTTGAAGAGTGGTGTCAAGTCTGTTATGTGTTCGAATCCGATCCGATTTTGTGTTCGACTTTGCGTTTGGCGTGCAGTACGCGTGGCGCACGATAAGGATCCAAGATCAGAGGAGATGGGGAGCGGTTGCCAATTTATGGACGGGTGTACACGAGGACAAATGAATGGGATAGCGGAGCCGATTGCATAGCGGGAGGGATCGCCAGATTATGGGTCAAGTGAACGAACGGCGTCGCAAAAGCGGAAAAGGGATAGATTAGCAAGCATACAGGGTGGCGATCGCGACAAACGCGGAAGTAGAGTAGGTGACTTGTGTGCTATGATGGAGAGGGAAATGAGACTATCAGACTGACCAGCAGTGAGGTTGAAGTTGACGAAAGCGAAGTCTTGCGTACGTCCAGGTATGCGACGCGTTTGGCCGGGAAACTTGTACGACGGCGGAGGTGAGCAGGCGATGATGTAATTTCAGAACATAGGACATATCAAAACATGCGAGACAGCGATAAAGATGAAGCTAGAAACAGGAGACGAAGATAAAATGATGTGGTTCGAAGCACCTGTCGCCTGGTGAAGCAGGAAGAGAAGCGCGCAGTCGTGGCAGCAATCGATCCAGTGATGCACGCATGCATAAATGACAGCTCGCAGCGCTACAATTTCTAGGAGCGGGGCGCGAGACCGTGTGGATCAACTTCCGAAGCGCGTAGACGGGACCACCAACAGACGAAGACGACTGTAGGCGCGATGGCGGATACGCGCCATTATCGGATGAGCTAAACGTGGGCAGCTGGAGGGTGAAGGTCACGATCCGTTGCCATGGGCTCACATGGGCTCACGGCCTCCATTGCACACCTGTACCTCGGGCGGCGTGCGGTCAAACATACTGGAGTGACACCCAGATGCACAAGCTCGACTGCATAGGAGAATTATTATAAACGAGAACAGACAACGCACACTTGGACAGAGGAGATGTTGAGCGTGCCCTTCGAGTCCGCTGTGAACAAGGATGATGAACACGCGATGCCTGCTAGGAGAACCATCATGCATGTCGACAGCGTCGCCGTGATGTTGTTGATACGCGCGTAGAGACTGTGCATCGTATTTGTGATTTCTCCCTTCTATCTTGTATAGTGGATATCGCCTGGAGGAAAGGAAGATAGAAATGGACGTGGACGTGGAGGTAATGATATTATGCACAACGTTGAGCGCGATGGCATCATGGCAGTGTCGGTGACACGTCTCCTGCAACACGCTGCTCGATCAGGAATCTGGTTCCCATGCTGAAACGTATGCTCGAGAATATTTCCCTTGCTCTCAAATGTGCTCATCAGTAGGTTCAACTTCCTCTACAATGTCAATCAATTAATCACTCATTAGATGCATATCTCGATAACTTTGGCATGCGTCATAGTAGCAATGGAACGGCCGACTTACAGGTTGGTGAGTGAAAATGATATATTCTGACTATACTCATCGGTATTCGTGAATCATGTAAGGCCTTCTCAGCTAGCATCACGCTTCTTGTATGCTCAAATACCCTCGACCACTTCTTTCTTGCTGTGTCTCATAGCAGAATGGGCTAATCCATTGTACCTGCAAATGCTTCTCACTATAATCCAGTGCTCGCCTGCTGCAGAGTATATGCAGGCTCAGTCAATGCTCTGTGCAGATCAGAATCTCACGAAGTTTGGCCAACACCTATCGCTCGGTTACGGCCCGATGCAGGTCTACTGCGAGACGACATAAGCCCAGCACTGCTCTTTTTTCAAGCGTGGCGTAATGAGGAACGGGGCTCTGAGTTCGATTTTCGCGGTCGTACACCCTCTCGGCGACTTGCTTCCGGTGGTCTAGCCTTTTGGTCCCAGGGTCAGTACCTCCGATTTCCTCAGAGATGTTTTCGGATCAAGCACATCTTTGCTGAATTTTCTTCCATGTCATTGTCCAGTATGAAGACGTTTCTGATCATTTGCGTGACTGCTCAATTTTTTAGCCCCGGCTTGTTGTTATGCGCCTAGAAATGCTGTTTGTCTCGTTACTTGAGCACCCAGGCGTTAACTGATCGCACACCTACCTATACCGACACCTTTCTGAGATATGCAACGCGATTGTTTATTCGTCTCATGTGGGAACACCTACAGGCACTGGGGCCATAAGCACAACTATAGAGTTTGCTTCAGAGCTCGAGGAATGGGGTGTGTAAATATCGCGCGTTTCTGTTCTAAGTTATCTTCAAGCTTAGGCTCGCGGACAGTAGATAGATAAAATACGAAAATATTGACAATTTGCGCAGTGCTTAAGCGCTTAAGGCACGTGTTCGGTGGCCGTCTGCAGTGCTCTGCTACTCTGACCGCTAAGGCGTGTCCTTGACTTCCACCACATCGGCAGCGATGGACGACAACAAGGTTCTACACAGGGTGCTTCGTCAGATCGCTCGATGGGCTGTCTATTCTTCACTGAAGTCCACGTTATCAGCGAGGAGAACGTGCCACGAAAGGGTCCGCTTATTGCGTAGGTACTCTTTTCGTTGAGCGTGACGTATGGGATGTTAGAAGGGCTTCGGTAGTGGCATTAGCGATGTGATCGGTGGAACATTGTCAAAAGCATGCTGACTTCCGACACAGGACAGCGACACACCATAATATGATGCTAGACCCTGCCATCCTCTGTGAGTGGCATATACTCTGTGATCCAGAACATCACTTACGATGCAGCTTTCCAGCCTCGGCATTTCCATACCAGCGAATCCTTCACTATTGGAGCAAGGGTACGCCCTTGTCTATCCCCTCACCTATTACAGTCCTTCCTCAAGCCCTTCATCTTGCATCCATATGCCTTTTCAGCTAGCCTCTTTGCAAATCCAGTAGTGCGCGGCATCCTCATCAGCACAGGGAACATTCCCGTCGATCGCAAGAGCAAAGATCGTCAGGCACTCTTCCGTGGAACATTTGATACGCTTTCACAGGGTGCCGCCGTCGCGCTCTTTCCGGAAGGCACCAGTTATACCGAGTCACGGATCATGCAGGTGAAGGATGGCGCAGCGTGGTCCGCGCTCGAGTACGCCAAGTGGGCGAAAGAAAACCCTGACAAGGTGACGGAGGATCCTCTGGTTATTGTGCCTACTGCGATCGTATATACCAATAAATCGAAGTATCGCAGTTATGTGAGTGCAAGACACGTGCTTTGGTGATAATCTATAAATGCTGATTGAAGCTCAACAACAGGTCATCATGGAGTGTGTCCCAGTGCGATATTGTTGAGCCAAGTGCTTGAATTTGACATGAATGTTCCTAGGTTCGGCCGTGGCATCACGCTCGACCCGTATATCGACCAATTCTTGTCGGCGGAGGAAGGTGCTCCGCGCGCGGCAGTCAAACGCCTGACACGCACCATCGAGGCTCGACTGATCGAACTGACAATCAACGCGCCAGATTGGCAAGTTCCCTTCATTCATGGGTCTGACGTATCTCATCGCTGCTTCTCCCATACAGGGACACATTGTATGCTGCACGCATGGCAAGGGACCTTCTTTGGGAGGACGAGACCACCCTCAGTCGTGACGATTTCGTCCAAGTTTCACAAACGTTTGTCACTCTTGTCATTCCCGAGAACGTTGATGAATCTCTTTCTCAGGCTGGTTGACCTATTCTCTACGCCGGATGCTACGCCCAATTTTAACTCGGTCAAACGAATCTTTTGGAACATTATTCTCTGCTTCAGTCGACGCAGCTTACGAACTCAGTGCTCTCTGCGCTTCCTCTTCCTGATACACTCGACCCCTATCGCCCCGTCCCTCTCCCCAGCCGTATCGCCCCGTCCCTCTCCCCAGCCGTCTGTTCACACTCCTGATCCTTCTTCGTGATAGTCTGTCCTGCTTAGTCCGTCTCCCCCTTTTCATCTTCCCCCTGATGATTCATCTGCCCGCATACGTGATGGCTCGGCTTGGTGCACGCCTGGTAGAGGACGAAGAAGAGACACAAGCACAGAACAAAATCCTTTTTGGCCTACTATTACTCGTGTTGATTTACCCTGCCGCATTTTTCTTCCTTTGGGCTTTCCTTTGGTATACCCCTGTCGGAGCTCTGTTCGCAGGCTTCGTCGTATGGCTCACAGCAATATACCACACAAAACTAGTCAACGGTACGTACATACTCATTTCTACATGCTACATTTTTCTGAACAAACCGGTATCATATCTGCTCCACTTCACACAGATAATTACGAACAGTAAGTCCAGCTTTCTCCGTACTCGTCGGAGGTCTGCACATTTCTTATCAAATTCTAGTGCAAAACGCCTCGTCGCGGCCTGGCGCGTCTTGATTGGCGTCTGGGCTCCGAAGCGATTCGAGTATCCGCTCACGACACTCGCGCAATACACCACGACGCCGATCCCACCTGTAAACCCGTGGATATCAGGCTCTCACTCCGGCACATCGACGCCGAAGCCGGGTGAGAAGGCGGGGACGAGTGCCACCAGCGCAGCGGCAGAACCGCCCGTCAAGTCGAGACGTAAGAGGCGACCCCGCTCTGGGCGCGTCATGAGGCACGTCCTGCGTGCCCGAGCAGAGGCTGTTCGTGCCCTGGCGTCGTTCGTTGACCAGCTTGAGAAAGGCCCGGCAGAGAAGTGTGTGAACGCTTCGGCGCATCTCGCGCGGGCTTATGGTGGTGGGGTAGAAGACCCCAGTGCGCTCGAGAGTCAGTCAGTCGAGAGCGCAGTCATCCCGCCTCGGAATTATGCAGGCTAGAGGAGGGCCAGAGAAGTTATCACTTTCTTGAGGAAGCGAGGGGCGAAGATTACTGCCCTTGAAAGGGGCATCGAAGCAGACTGGGCGGCCCTGAATAGTGATGGTGAGATGTCTCCTTCAGAGGATGCAGAGGATGCGGAGGACAGGGACGAAATTGTTTTTGTATCCCCGGGCCAGTGACGACTGGTCCATGTGGACGAAGATCTACGGCTCTTGAATAACTTCTGTTCGTTCATCTCTTTTTGTGCAGTATGACATAAGTCACTGTCGACATTTTAAACGGCTCGGTACTGAGGTTTCTACAACAAGGATAGGTGCGAGTGCCCAGTGTCTCTCGACGACCACTCGTCGCTTACTTACTCATCTCCGATAGCTGAACGCCTTATTGCACGAAATTATGTCGACTACGTGTTATTACCGTATCTGCCTTGAAGCAATTGATAGGACCGCGACGTCGGGAACTTGTTCCCGACGTCAGGGACAGAGTGTACCTCATTGACGGTCAGATCGATGACTTCAGGACATGTCGTCCCTTCAAATCTGTATCCGCCCACGGTATTTCCCGGTTGGCAGCAAGCTAGGACTTCTGTGGAGATAATCCAAGTAAGTCCTCTATATTAGAATACGGCGGTATTACCCATAACCCATAACAGCTGATGTCAGAATGATAATTGAGATGGATTGAAGGCGGGTTTGGATCCTAGCCCGCGCGGACGCTCGGCAAAGAGTCTCGGACTTGAGCCTAGTGCAGTCGAACCTCGATTTTTCAAGGATCCCTCACTGGAAAATGGAAAGAGGCATACTCAGAAATCATATCCTGCTGAGCTACCCCAAGCGCAGCGCTTCTACTCTAGCTCGACGTCGGCCATGTCGGGGTCCCCCAAATTGTCTCTTCGGCGGCGTGCGTGCTCTTCGGACAACCCCATCAAGACCATCAAGTCGGCTTGAGCTGTTCAAAAAGGAGCCGTTCGCCGAGGCTCTATTGTTCCTAAGCGTTCGGAACGACCCCCAGGATAGTCTTCTGCTGCTTACTCATTTTGAGTTGTGAACTTTTTGTTGCTCAGGTCCGATTGCCGAGGTCAGCTGTGGCCAAGAGTCGACCTCGCCAGTGCAACGCTTCTGTGCTTATTTCTCCGACAGTCATAATGCGAAGAGCTCGGCTGGTCGTCAGAGTATTGCAAGCAAATGCTCAACAACGTGCAGTCGTCAAACCAGAAGGTATTACCTCGCATAAGTAACCACTCCTTTATGTGTCATACGAGCATCTTCATCCGCGCTTCCGACTGACATCAGGAGATCCCTCTGTGCCAGAAGCGTTCGCTAATCAACAATCTCATTTACAGCTGACGCCTGTGCCCCAATGGGGAGAATGCGTGTCAGTATTTTTACACCGATCGAATTCATAGAGAATCACGATTAAGTCCCATAATTGACCGTGGGACCACGCAAAGCAGGCTTTGTATCGTCGGCCGGTACCTTGCTTCCGAGCACTGCGCATGGGCTCGAAGCTGCTCAAAATCTATACGCAGTGTCGCACACTGCCTCAGGTACTGACCTGCGCGAATTCTTTCGAACGTTCTACAAGGAAATACTGTAGGTCCTTGTATTTCTCCCTGATCAAATAAGAAATTTGAGTTGGTGAACGCGCGTGGAGGCGCGTGGTCGGAGCCAAGATGATGATCTCTCTAGTGCCATCTTAAACCTTTCTCGATTAAGCGGCGCCGCCGAGTGCCACGACGATCCGGGGTCATTTTTCGTTATATTTATGGCACCCGATACCTAGCTCTTTTTGAGTCGTCTACTTCACCCATCACCCCCTTTGACTTTTTGCGATCCTGCTCTCACACACTCTCGTCATGCAGGCATCACAATCTGATTCAACCCTCGCGTCATGGAATCAGACAGATGTCGGAAGTGAACAGGCCTTCGTCAACTACGGTTCTGAGCCTTATCAATCATCTAGTGGCGACGGACTGGCATCTTTCCCTTACTCAATCATCTCAAGCCAAAACACAGAAATCCTAAACCTTGTTGGATGCAACCCTTCAAGATACTCTCATTACAGTCCGGACGAGGTACGCAATGACCAATTACTTTCATGATCCGTACATGATAGTAAGATGCTTTGAAGCATGAGTTCTATCAGATGCATGGGGCGTACCATCATCCCGGAGGCGTCGACTTCGCTGCTACTGCGGACATGCATTATGGCAACACTTCTTCCCACACCGACCTCTCTGCTGCTGTGGATGTATGTCAAGACCCTATCCTCGACCCATGGGCAGAGACGACTCATGAACGGTGGAACGATGCTGTCGATGACGTGTACCCTGCTATAGAGCCTATCCAAGTCCGTGAAATCGTTGCACCAACTCCTCGGCATGCCGTACAGATGATGCTAGAGGCCGCTCCGAGCTCAGGTCGCCGACCGTCAGTCTCCGCTCTCAATCCCGCCTTCTTTGATCAACATGCCTGGGTCAAAGAAAGAAGAAACAGGCATAGCCTTGCTTCTTTCCACGGCGAGAGCGCGTATACAGAAAACAAGGTCAGTGTCCATTTATCTTCCCTCGACCCTGGTTTGCTGACTTCCATTTGGCAGTACGAGCATACTTCTAGCCTCCTAGAGGACGAGGCCTCAGAGAAGCATTATCAAGCACAATATCAAAGGCGGCATGATCACCAGGTGTCGTCCTCTCTCGATAGTAACACGTCATGCCTTCTGCTTACAGTCTGGTCAGAATGCCGTGATGCCATGGCAGGGGGGCGCAGCGAACACAAGCGCCAACCAGTGCTTCTCGCCGTGTGAACACTCACAGCATTACCCCTATTCTTCACCTTCTAGCGTCACTGTCTCTCCCACGAGCGCGCCCACAGCATCGACTTCTCCGCACTCGCAGTCGCCGGTGGCCATATCGATATTGGAGTCGAAGTTCTACACCATTTTGTCAGAACAATGTGCACCTACAACACACACACACACTGCGCATGCAAAGCACGAGGCTGGAATCTTTAGGGGTCCCAACACGGGAAACCAGCAAGGATTGACGGGCCGGACAAGCACTGAATCCCTGGAGACTGTTTGTGAGGAAGGCTCTAGGACTGCCAGTGTCGCACAACGCCGTGGTCGTACTCGCGTCGTCCGAAACGTTCAGCCCATCGCGTGCTTCTTCTGTCGTGGTCGAAAGATCGCCTGCGGTCCTGCGGATCCCAATAGCTCAGATAAAACGTGCATGTGAGTGTCGCTCCTGTCACGATGTTCGCTGAGGAAAGAGGGGGTCACTGGGGTCATTGTTGCACCATCCCCTCCCGTCTCCCTTATATGCTTTCATCCATGCGATGCACCGGCTGCTGCCGCTGAACCAGATGCAGCTAGATGCTCGTGCTGCGACAGTCCATCTGATAAAGCCATCGCGATATCTGCGCGCGGCTTCTGTCGTTGGGAAACTGATTACATGCGCTACTTTCACTCTGATCACCTCATGGCGTTCATCTGTCCAACTGAGCTGTGCTAATCTACTTTAATTTTCCCTCGTAGGCAATGTTTGAAACGTCATCGTAAATGCGTGTATCCGCCTGAATCAAGGCGTGGCCGTAGACAAAATGAGGATACAGCCTAGAGGGAAGATAGTGCCAAGCACATTCAATCCGGCTACCTGACCAAAGCATCGCTGATCGACGATAGAATGTCTTCCTGCGACGGCTCCTTATTGTTGCCCAAGTTGCATGCTTTTGCGGCGTGTGCCCAGTATTTGTATTGACATAGTTGTGGCAGTTACCCCATGTGTTATAACTTATCCTACGCCTTTTGGCGTCTCAGATTCCGATCAATCCGATAGACCTGACACGCACAGAATATCTTCATCATTGCCTTTCACCTGAACGAAAAGATGAGACTATGGTCGCCGTACTGTGTTGAAGTGAGCTCGCAAGATGCGTTCGTATCCATAGCCTTTCGAAGGTTGTATCCTCTCGTATACTCCCATGTCCTCCGTGCGCCAAGCAATGACACTCATGTAAGTCGGCGTACAATGACTCGTGAAAGGTTCGTGTTTTTAATCGCAAATTTTTTCTTGTCCATCGAGAACCGCCCAGACCTTTGATGTCTGCCTCTTTCCGAGTCCAGTCTTGGCTGCTATTCGACACGAGCTTACACGTTTATTCTAGGCTTTGTACTCATGTATGACACTGACAGCCTCACGATTTCGACAGCCCCACGTCATCTCCCCACGCACGTCTGATCGTTGCTCGATTATGACGGGAAGCGCACGAAAAGTTATCAGGTAGAAGTGATAGCTGGACTGGCCTCCTTCATCTCCGACTTCCGTCATTGCGCCTGTCGGCCAAGTGGATGTTGATGAAATACACCCATTTGTGGAACGAAATCGCTTACTGCTGAGGAACCTTTGAAGTCGATAATTCAGCGTTGAAGACGTCATGATCGACTCGCAAAGCAGGTGACAGGATATCTGACCCTGTATGTCCCGGGATGAAAGCTATGATGGTGTGTGGGGCACCTTCTGCATACATATCAACTTCGGCGAAACCTTGGCGGCTAATAGTTCATAGGCTACGGCGGAATTCTTGATATCCAAGTTGACCATTCCATAACTATGTTCCCTTCGCTCAGTGTTTCGTCAAACCCTGACGCGCATCTGCTTCTATCAACGAAGAACCCCTCTCATGAGGCCCCTCCTGCAAAAATGCGATTCCACTCTGCTATACTATTCAGGCAGCATCCCCCGACGAGGCCTCTAGTGAGCAAGTCTAGCACTTGTTACCACGCTCTTCGGTTAATGGGCATACACCTCGCGACCAGACTAGCCCAAGAAAATCTAAACAAGAAGGACGATGAGGCGTATGGAACGGAGACTGAAATCATGGGACGCGGATTGAAGGAATGGAAGGCGAAATGGCTTTAGCCCCAGTTTTGTGCGAGAGTGTTAGCCCAAGTAGTAGCTATGAAATTGCAGTGGACATTTTCGGACTTCCGTGTACGAGCCGGCTGGTAAGGTATCTGGTATGGTCATGAATGGCTAGTAGGATCTGCACGTACCGCATAGTCACGAGATATCAGAGCATCGCAAGGAGTTTTGGGTGCAGCGCACATATGTAGCCTCATAGACAAGTCTATAAGAGTGGTACGCTGGTGGTTAGGCCAAAGCTGAACATCGACTCTGTGAAAGTGCGGTAAGGGAAAGCTAACATACCGATTTAGCCATGCGAAAAACTCGAATCAACGGCGTCGAGGTCCGGAATTGATCACGCGGCCTCTAGGTCCCAAACGATAAGGAGGTCTTCAGAGACCTCTTGAGGTATCGAATTGCCAAGGTCATGGCTTGAAAAAAGGTTCAATTGCCATGCGCAGTAGTAACTCAGTTACGCAGTAGGAATCCTGCACTCAATTTGTGACCAGACGACATACCATTGTTCTCAGTTTTCGGGAATGTTTGTTTTACGAAGAATATCCCAGGAAATTTTGAGCTGAACGGCTGGAAAAAGAAGGTCGTCAAGCTTCAAGGTCATGATAACGGTCACGGTCCGAAGCTGGAGCTGAAGCGCTGACGAGCGAAACGACGAAGGCAATAGCGACGCTGACTGGCCCGGTAAATGCCGCACCTCTTCTTTTTTTTTTGACAAGTGATTTATTTATGTAATGACTAACAATGGGTACAGCCTTACATAAATACACTATAGCGAGAAACCCTCTAGGAGGGGTTCTCGGTCGAGGACAAAATGCATTGATGCACGCCCTTATGTGGGCAGTGTGGGGCTCAGGGGGATCAGATTGGCCCTTTGAGTCAGGCTTCATGGTCCCTCAATACCCACTAAAACCTTGGGGTGGTCCACCCAGTCTTCCTGTATATTTTCCTGGTTTGCTAGTATTTTTGTCCAGGTGTCTCTCACCTTTCTTTTCATCTTAGGTCGTCGGTCTATTTTTGCCGCTATTATATGGTCAATATGTAGTCTTTTGGTTAGTTTGTCGTACCATCTCTGCCGTATTGTGTCGGTTGTGTGGGTTTTTCCTTGTATGGCTCTTTCGCACCTCATGACCCATATTAGGTGAGCCGCTTCTGAAATTAGGATCCGTAGTAGGTGCTCTGGTCCGGTGTTTTTCCTCCTCCCGTCATTGTCCTTTTGTTCGTTGTGGTTCATGGATTTGGTTTTTAGTGAGCCACATCCTGTTATCGTTCCCAGTTTGATGTGTGGCCATTCTAACTGTCTGTGTGGCCACAGATTAGCTGCCATGTCCCATATAACTTGTCTTGGCGCGTACGTGCAGTGCAGTAGTATGTGTTCCATGTCCTCGTTAGGATGGCCGCAACTGTCGCACTGTGTGCAGTGCTCGTATTGCGGTATGTTCTCCCAGTACTGTCCTACCCTATGTGTGTTGTGTAGAGCTTTGTATACGAACTAGTGTACGTTTAGGCTCAGGTCATTGTTTCCGATGCCACGCCAGATCGCCTCATTTGTTTCTTGCGCTTCTGTTAGTTCTTTGAGTGCTCCTTGTATTATGTCCAGGCAAGTCTTTGTTCCCGTTCTTTGTTTCAGTTCTTTCTCTTTTAGGTTCCTTATTCCTCTATAGGCCGTGGTTTGCGATAGGGTCGCTAGTTTTGCTCCCTACAGGTCAAAGTGAGGGGGTATAGTTAAGTCTATGTCATCTACCGTGTTCTTTCCAGCTCCTTCTTTGGCTAGGGTGTCTGCTCTCTCGTTTTCAAGATCTCTATTATGGCCTTTCACCCACCGGAAGGTTGTTGGTGCCAATCTCATCCTTAGTTGGTAAGCTGTTGCTTTGAGTAGCTCTTTGTTGTCTATGTTTATCCAGCCAGCGTCTTCCCATGTTCACAGGTATTTTGTTAGGCCATCTATAACGTAGTGCAAATTGGTGCATATTTGTAGGGGTGCAAACGTCAGCGTTTTTTGTATTGCTGTGAGTACCATGGCAATTTCTCCCGTTTGGTTGGATTGATGTTTCCTTGGTGTACGTATTGCGCAGTTGCCTAGGTGGTCATCTGCTATCCATACTCCTGCTCTACTCTAGGCGTTATCCTTGCTGTTGTTAATGCAAGACCCATCGGTGTAGACGGTGACGGCATCAGCTTGTACGGTGGTGCCTCTTGTCATTACTGTTAATCTGTGTGCAGGGTTGTTGGATATCCTGCTTGGGTCGGTGAATATCTGTATGCCATCAGATAGGTTTGTGCAAAGTGTGACAGAGGGGTCAAAGATTATGTCCCCTTGGTTCTGATTTCTGTTGGTGCTATTTTTTTCCTGCCTCCTATGAGTGAGCATCAGGTCATCTGCTTACGGTGCCTCATATGGGTTATATTTAGGTTGCATATCCCGCAGGATGTCATGTGCTGTGCGACTGCATTTATTAGGGTTACGGCATCCATTCCTTCGATCCTCTTTGCAAGAATCACAGGCGCAGGTTTATATGCAGTAGTGCCTTCTGTTTCCACTGTTTGGGTTTTTGGTGCATTTGGCCAGATGTACTAGATCTACTACTGTCTTGAGGGAGTGGTTGCTCACTATACATTCACTACGTTGTCATCTGTAGTTCCTTGGTGTCAGTCCTAGGTGGTGCCACATGGGCATTTGGTTTTTCATCTCTTTCGGCAGCTTGATCGCTGCAAAGTTAACCTTAAGATCTTTTGCGACTTTCAGCATGCTCAGCACATAGGATGGTAACTTGTTGGCTCTCGGGCCTTGTGTCGGGACATCCCAGGATTGTAGGAAGGTGTTCACCTATTCTAGGTTTTCTATACTTGGTGGTATTATTCTGTTGATCAGGGCATCAACAAGGAAAGCCCATGTGGGTCGTTTCTTGGTGAGGTCAAGGTATTGCTTCAGCCATGTCACTTGTATTGCAATGTTGCGTGCTTTTATGTCTAATAGGTCAATGCCCCTTTCTTTTTTTGGTAGGTATAGGTATTGTAGGCCTATTTGGGGTATGTTCTCATTCCAGACGAAGTTTCTTATTGTTTTTACTAAGGCTTCTTCAATTCTGGTGGGCATGCCATGCACCTTCCTTAGGTATTGGGTGGATGCACCAACTACCATCTGCACTATTAGTTGCTTTCCATCTAGCGTTGGGTGCCCTAGGCTCCACCAGTTTAGGTGTGTGTTTATCTTGTCTAGGATGGGTTCCCACGGCATCATGTTATCAATTTTGTTTCCTATCCATGCTCTTAAGGAGTGTACGGCTTGTCCATCGGGCGCTATTTGTATTGAAGTGTGTAATGGTTCATCATCAGGGTGCAGTTGGCAGGTCATGAGGACCCTGGCACGGTGGTCTGTAGGGCCGGTTGGGATGATTTCCATTTTGGTGGAATTGAACTTGGCGCCTGAGATCGTGCACCATTGTGATAGTATATCTTGTAAGTCATTATATCTGTCTTCTTGGCCTAAGTAAATGGTTGTGTCATCTGCAAATAGGTTTATGAGGATTGGGTTGGGTACACTGGGGATGGTAAATCTCTTCAGCTTCTTCGAGTTTCTGATCATGCAGGCTAGCAGCTCTATCGCCAGGTCAAAGGTGAGGGCTGATATGGGGTCGCCTTGTCGCGTACCCCTGTATACTGTCCATGTGGTGCTCAGGACTCCATTCACCATCACTTGGGTGCGTGCTCCTGTATACAAGGACTTCATTGTTTCGATGAATTGTTCTGGCAGGTTAAATGTTTTCAGGGTTTCCCAGAGGTACGTGTGGTCTATTCTATTGTATGCCTTTTCCTGATCGAGGGCAATGATTGCGCCATTTTCCTCTGTTGCCTCCGCCAGGTCAATCATGGATTGTGCAAGTCGTGTCTGGTTGAAGATAGAGCGACCGGGGATGAATCCAGCTTGGTTCTCATGTAGTAGAGGTGGTATTATGCTGGCAAGTTGTACGGCAAGCACTCTGGTGAGTAACTTGTAGTCCATATTCAGTAGTGTTATTGGTCGGTAGTTTTCAATTTCAGTTCTCTCATTTTTCTTGTAGATAGGGCACATCCAGCCTAGTGTGAAGTTGGTTCTGAGGTCCACTCCATGTGTTTGGATATCTTGGTATACTCTGGTTAGAGTGTTCTTTACATGGAAGCATGGTGCATCTAGCATTGCTTTTTCTTGTAGGATCCTCCTATGCAACAGGCTTTTCCGAAGTTTATACGGGATGCCATCAATTCCTGCTGCGCTGCCTGCTTTTGCGGCATGTATTGCCTTTATTATGTCGTTAGCTATTATAAGATTGTGCAGTGTTGATTGGTTAGGGTTTTTTAGCTTCTGTTCTGCGGGTATTTCTGACAGGATTTCAGCTATATATGTGTCCCTAAGGACAATGCTATCCAAAGACTCATTGTCAAAATGTATCATAATGCACTAGTGGTAGGACATCTAGGCAGAGCCAAAACCTTAGAAATGGTACAACAACATTACTGGTGGCAAAACATGACCAAATTTGTCCACGATTATGTAGACGGGTGTGCTATATGCCAATCCACAAAAAACTTGACACATAGGACACGTTCACCCATCCACCTTTTAGTGACCACTAATGTCCCCTGGCAATTCATCTCAACAGACTTCATCACTGATTTGCCTGAAAGTAAGAGTTTCGACTCAATCAACGTGGTAGTAGACCAAGGGCTGTCAAAAGGCATAGTCATCACCCCATGCAAGAAAACCATCATGGAAGGCATAGTCATCACCCCATGCAAGAAAACTATTATGGTAGAAGAAACGACCAAGCTCTTCCAGAATAATGTTTTTAATTGACATGGGTTGCCAACCAAAATAGTATCTGACCAAGGCCCCCAATTCACAGCTAAATTCACACAAGAACTCTAGAAACGGCTAGGTATTGCCACCGCTCTCAGCACGGCATACCATCCCCAAATAGATGGAGAGATGGAGCGAGTTAATCAGGAGACCGAACAGTTTCTGAGAACGTTTTGCAATTACCACCAAGATAACTGGGTGGACCTTTTGCCATTTGCTAAATTCTCATATAACACACGAAAACACTTGACCATTGGAAAATCACCTTTCAAAGTGCTCTACGGTTTCAACACCCCTTATTCAGCAGATACAGCACTAGAGACAAAGGTACCCACAATAGCTGAACGAATAAGGGTAATCACAGAAGCCTAGGAAGAAGCGGCAGCCAGCTTACAAATAGCAAACCAATATGCCAAAGACCAGGATCTCACTAAGAAACTTCCCCAATGGGGAGAAGGAGACTAAGTATGGTTAAAAGGAACCCATATCCAGATGACGCATCCTAAGTTCAAGCTCGCCCCTAGGAGATATGGCCCTTTCAGAATATTGACAAAAGTAGGACCTCTGGCGTACAAGCTATAGATCCCCCAGCATTGGAAAATCCACCCCATTTTCCATGCTACTATGCTCACTAAGTACAGGGAAACAGAAGCGTATGGGGAAAACTTCATGAGGCCATTGCCAGAGGTATTAAACGACAAGGAACATTATGAGGTGGAAACAATTGTGGACTCAAAGAGACAAGGATGGGGAACCAAATACTTGGTCAAATAGGTGGGGTATCTCAAGATGGACAGTACCTGGGAACCCTATACCCTCCTGAAAGGAATGGTGGAAGAAGCCATAGAGGAGTTCCATGACCGATACCCTAATAAACCCCATCTAGGATCATCCTAGGTAAAGAAAAAGGAGTATAAAAGGAGCAACGAAACTGCTCCATAAAGGACATTCCCCTTGCTTTTAACTCATCACATCTAAATGCTCCTCCACAATGACCACGATGCCTTGTCCCCTTTTAGAAACTCCTCCCCCAATATCATCCTTATGGTCGCCAATCTAGACACCAAATAAGTTGAAAGAGGGACAAGCCCTCACCTACCAGAGCCAGACACCACTGTCACTGTCCTCACCCCAAATCTTAACAACTTCTTGGATGACAGTGCTAAAGATTATGCCAAGTTCAAGAAAAGGGAAAGAACCTGCCAACTATTGCCAGGGAGGAATTCCCGAGATGCACCACAAGATGAAGGCACTGATGATGGAAATGCGAGGGGCCCTAGCAGATCGCCAACTAGAGTTCCACCTCCTATTGGAATTGCACCGAATCCTAGAACTGCAGGTTCCTCGGGACTATGAGTGAGAGGTGGAACTCAACAACCAAGCAATGAAGCAGCTGACCCAGTACCAGTTCTACCAGGAACTACACAATCATCAGTATCAACTAGTAGACAAGTTCCCGGCCCCATGGGAGGAACTACCCATAGTTCAAATCCTCACTCTAGAAAACTAGAATAACACGTAGATGCACTCTTACAGCGGAACACCATCTCCACAGTAATACAAATGGCTACTACCATGGCACTCTAACAACTCGCTAATTTCTCAGCAGGACAACCCAGAAATGAAAACAGCAATGTACCATGACAACTGGCGCCAGCTGACAAATCAGATTACTCACCTTCCAAACCAATCCCAACATAGCATCCTGGTACGAGGACAATGATGGGAGACCATGAGCTCTCTTTATCCACCCCAACAAGTTTTCTCAGTATGTTAACTGAGAGCTCCTTCCAGCTCTCCTCTTCATAGGAGAACTGGGAAATGTCCAGGCAGTCAGAACTGACCCTTTTTGCATTGTCACCTGGAACTCACCATATTCTGGAAAACATCCCATGCCTATATCAAATCTAAGGAGGGTTCCACACATGGTTGTGAAACACCCTCCTCTGAAACAATGAGAGGATCATACAACACTTGACAATCCCATGACCTCCTCCTCTCACCAGGTACAAAACCTTCCTATATCCCATGGTCATACCGACAAGAAGGAACTGCCCATCTATTGAAAAAACAAGGAAAGAAGAAGTTGAGAAGCCCAGGCAACCCTCCAACATGGAACAACTGCTGGCAGGGGTATTCAACAATGGCCTGGAACACCTCCTATTAATCATTGACTTCATACAGATGAAGGACAGGATAACCAAAGTAGCCACAGAGCTCACCGCATTAATTCAGAGGCTTGAAGAAATCGCTCATGGACTTGATCTAAGCTCAATGCATAGGACACTCTAAACGACCCTGGGAACTATGACAAGGCAGATCCCTATTATTGACCTGACAAATAGGGCAATAGTTATCAAGGACCTTATGATTATTAACAGACACTGATAAGGAAAGAAAAGGGGGTAAAGGAAGCCGAGGAACTCCTTGTTATGAACTACTTACTGTACCTTTCTTGTTCTCTCATAATCCATATAAGGACATGTAGGACCTTTCTCCTAACTATACCTTGCATTCCTGATCCATTGCTACTTGGTCTGTGCTCTCACCTGTATATATTTATAGCAGCTGCAGCATAGTAGGGAAGCCCTAGGCTATCCACTTCTGTTCAATCTAGGAACTGCTGTTCATCAGTCTTCCCTGATTCTAAGACACCAGTCTGATCAGTCCCAAACCTTCACTCTCATTACATTGCTCTCCCTCCTTGTGTTGTTGTTTGTGGCCTAGGATTCCTTGTCCCGAACAGCTGTTTGTGACATCTGGATAGCCTTTCCACAGATCTTACTCCACACCCCATTTCTATTTTTTCACAGCAGAACACCAGCTACTTATATACAGTGCTAGGCAGTCTCAAAAGACAAGCGACCGTCAACTGTAATAGTTATGATACACTTTGAGTGAACAATTGGGCAATTCCACTTCAGTGTGGGTTGCTTTAGGTTGTAGAATATCTCTATCTGGTACTCAACCCAGTGGAGATATGACTGAAACAATTGCGCTTGACATTACCTACTGTACGATACCCTGGCCAGAAAGAGCTGCTGTTGCCTTAATCCTCAAACCTTGATCAGGTTGAGGCTAGCACGAGCTCTCTTGATTAAATCACCATGACTTCCAAAGGAAAAGGAAGAGAAGTAGGGCATGTTCCACACAGAACCAACTACTTGGAACACTCAGACTTATTCATCTACCTTGGACTAACTATCAGAAGGAACTTAAAAGGAACCTGGGTTTACATAGGTGGACAAGATAGTGGAAAACCCGTTGATGAGCATGCACCCGTGCTAGGGTCCGAGGGAGGTCGTCGGGAAGCTTTGGGGAGATACCGAACAGCGCTCGACAAGTACCGAAGATGCCGACTTTTACCGAACACGATCGGTCCCTACCCGACCGACGACAAGCCACCGAAGGACGTCCGGCAGCACTTGGGTCAGTTTGCCCACACTTCACGTACTTACCATGACCGCATAGGAGTGTTACGATAAGTGTTTACGAGATCGGAGCCAGTATTCCGTATCGGCCGATGTCCTCCGTGAGTCGGTCGGTCCTTATCGCTTATCTTCCTGACTTCCGCATGGTCGGTCAAACGCGATCTTGCACCATTGCTTGGCCACCCCGGTCATACGACACCTCTTCTTTATTTTTCATTGGCTCTCCAACGCCTGTTCCTGCTACCTACGCTCGGGCGACGGATCCCGAACGTTCGGGATGTCGACATCACCGATTACCTTTTACCTTATCACCTTCGGAACCCATATGGACATCTCACCTACCTTCCTATCTTCTCTGATCGCTGGGGCTTGGCGCCCATTCGACATCTACTCTCATTTCGGGTTCGATATTTTACTTAGGGGCGCTGTTTACTATAAAAACCTACATACAACTCTGGAATAAACCAGCTTTCGCACCCCACAGTTCAGAGCTCATTCGCACTCGTCTCAACCATCGAAATTGTCTTCATCGACTCCCGAAAACTTGTCATCCTCGTCGTTCGGCCTCATTCGCGTTCGTACTCGTCTCTTCGCTCGTACCCCCATCCTCCCTCGTATATTGTCAGAGTCCCGTGTGGCTCTTGAAGCACGTAGTTGTCGGTCGCGACACTACCTTCTCGTTACCGACTGAATCCCCGACACGACCGACCGAACGTATGGTTGGTGTTCGGCGCAGTCCCGAAACCGTTCGGGCGCTATAATCTCATACTCCCCGTTGCTCCTCAGTACGCCATCGATTTCTAAAGTCATCACTAACAATTCCTTGTGTATTAGATACTAGCTCCAGCACCCCCTTGCATTAGAGGTTGTTTTGGTGTTGTGCTCGGCACTTAGAGCCACCTCTAGCGTATCACCGTTGACGCTCCACTAGTAGCCTGGGAAGATAGGAAAGCACCACTCAGGACAATCACGGCTCCGACCCGAACCAGACTCACACTACCCCCAATCGATATTCCCAGGGGAAACACACTAGCTGACATCCCCAAAGAAGACATTGAAGAAGAAATCATCTCAGCAGGAGTATTAACCCCTATAGATGAAGAAGACCCAGAACCCACACCAGAACCGAGTAACCCAAGACACCCGGATCCAAACCCAGACCCAACACCAAGTGCAAGAATAACAAATGCAAACAGTAAAATGTCAGACAAAGGAAACAGACTAAAGGACTTTGATGGAATCAGGTCTAAATACCAAGAATGGATCTACAAATGCCACATATAAATCCTGGCTAACCCAATAAAGTATGACATGGAAATGGACAAGATCCTGATGGTACTGTCATATATGAGGGAAGGAATAGCCTCGCTGTTCACCCAAAAATACTATTTTGACAGGGAATTTTGAAAATATAAAGCCACAGAAACCAAACCCAAATGGGGAACCTTCAAAAAATTTCTCAAGTAAGTGGCTGCCGCATTCAAAGATGAAAGCCTAGAACAGAAGGCATGACAAAAACTGTTTACCATGAGGATGGGAAAATGTTCAGCAGACAAATTTGTCACAGACTATCTTATGACTGCCAGAGAAAGTGGATTTGATCTAGAATCCACTGTCAACTACTTCTGCCGAGCTATGCACCCGGAAATCCTTAAACAAATTTACAGACTCCTAGAAATGCTGACCACTATGAATGACTGGGTGAAGTACACCAGAAGATTTGATAACCAATAGAGGGAGTTCCAGAGCATAAAAGGCTCCATCCCCACTACTGTACCCCATTGCAATAACCCCTTCCGCTATGACTCTTCCAACACTCCCACCTCCATGAACAACTCTATTGTACCTATGGCCATAGACACTATCCACACACCCCTCACTGACAACGAATGAGCTAGGTTACGTGCAGAGGGTGGGTGTTTCTATTGTCGACAGAAGAAACACATGGTGAACCAATGCCCGGCCAGGGTTTTATCTAGGATATATAAAAGGGGAACTAGACATGTTCAATTAGGTAGTGGAAAATTGGGGTACCGCCTGGCTCAAGCCAGCGGAGCATTGGCTGGCAGAGGAGGAAGCTATGGCAGAGCGCTCCCGGCAAGAGCTCAAGATGGTGGCAAGACAGCAACTCCAAGTGAAGGTAGAGGCATGGCAACGACTAACCCATTTTGGGCTAGACTTGCAGTGTGCCAAACCTACGCATCCAGAGAGAATGCATTTGTACATCAGAAGGAGCCTGAGATTAGCCAAGAAGAGGTCCAGAGGCTTATAGGGAAGATGAAATGGGACAAACAAGAGGCACTCTTCCAAGAATTGAGTGAGGGGAGCAAGTGAAAGGAATCAGACATGGATTTTTAAATTGGCCTATGTACTCGGTGTACTATAGGCCTGCCCAGAACCCTTATGTAAAAACAGTTGTATGACTCATGAAATCAAATCAAAAATCATCTATGCATATAAATGTGCAACTAAAACATAGAAGGGGAACCACTGAAGCAAAGGCACTGATCGACTCAGGAGCAGAAGGACTCCTCATTGACAAACAATTCTGTCTAAAACAAGGAATACCACTACAGAAAATTGACAGATTTATCCTGGTATTTAATGTGGACGGCACAGCTAATGAAGGAGTCATGGATAAAGCATGCTTCCTGATGAGAATAACCAATGACGAAGGAGACTATCATGATGAACAATGCAAACTACTTGCCACCAACCTAGGAGGAGAAGATGTAATCCTAGAAATGGACTGGCTACATAAGCACAACCCACAAATTGATTGGGTAAAAAACTGCCTCATGTTCTCCACCTGTGCCAAAACATGCCTAGTCAGCCAACCCAGATTTATGATACAAGCACAACTCCTTTCACGGTGGAGAAACGTAAAAACAATCAGATATTCGAGGATAGAAGATGAACTAGAAGACAAAGAAGGCATGAATGAAACTTTCTTCTCTGAATTCTATGAAGAATGGTATCACCAAGATCTGTTCAAAATGCACCTACTCGAAGCAATCCGCATCAAATCCGTCCACAGCAAATCACAAGAATTGGCAGAAATAGCGAATAAAAAGAAGAATGACCACACTGTAGAAGAACCAAGCAAGGGGTCTGGGGACATAGAAGAGCACACATCTCTTCACAGTGCGCCCAGTCTAGTTTTGAAGTCGAAGTACAAGGAATTCTGCTCCAAGACCTAGTCAGGAGGCAACTAGAACATGTGCCTCAAGTCAAGAATCTAGTCAGATGGGCTAGATCACATGACTCTCTTTGGCTCATATCATGGAAGAACAACAAGAGCTGGCCACTCATTCAGAGAAGTCTATTCCACCACAAGTACATCCAAAATAACGTTAAACTACCATTTCCTTAGAGGGTTATATGGTGCTGTCTATACCACAAAGATAGTAGCATAGTGTCCAAAATGACGTTAAACTACTGTGCCTCTGTTCTAGGGATCATATTAGAGCTGGAATTGCTTCTTCCAGCAATGATAACGTCTAGGATGATGTTAAACTAAGTATTGTTTTGCTGCAATATTTGTGGCAAAACATGTCTGCAATGATGGTAAATTACTTGTTCTTTTTAGTATAGGGATTGTAGATGATGTCTGTATTTAGACAGACGTTGTCTGGTCCAGAATGACTTTAAACTATTGTCCCTTCAAGGATAGGGATCATATAGGGATATCTCAATCAGATATCACTATATCCAGAACGATGTTAAACTAGTGCCCCTTGTCAAATAGTGGTTATTATTAACGTCCATGCCCTTAGATGCCAATACATCTACAATGATGGTAAAATATTTGCTCCTTACTGAATAGGAGTCGTGGTTAATGGCCATGACCTTGGCCACTAACCGGTCTGTAATGACGTTAAACTATTTGCTCCCTGCACAAATGGGAGTTATGATTGGCGACCCTGGGTCCTAATTGTCCACAATGATAATAAACTATTTGTCCCTTGCTCTACAGGGATCAATCAACATCATTTTTGACAAGGAAAATAGCATTGAACATCCAAAATGACACTAAACTACCTTCATCCTCAGAAGGCTAAGACTATCGTAACTCAAGGGACACAGTCAGATGATAGCAGCCGCCTAACTCATGGCATTAAACTGAGCAGTCGCCTACCTCATGGTGTTAAACTAAGCAGTTGCCTACCTCACAGCATTAAACTGAGCAGTCTCATAGTCTTGAGACAATACAAGTTATCTAGTTTGATATAGTATAAACCGTTCCCATCATGCCTCAGTGGAATCTGGAGGGGTAAAGTCTGGTCTAGGGCCCTATGCACGTAACCAATAAATGATCTGGCATGCAGAAACATCTTTCCCCCACAGATAGTCTATGTTGATGATGAAGAAGGTCCAAGACAACCTTAAAATATAAACTAACAGGCAGCGCTGGGCGCCCTAATGGGTTCACAATTGACCTTAAACTACAGACGGTCTGCCAAGATGGTAAACTGAGCAACATCTGGAATGACATTTAAACTACCATTGTAGATATATATAGCAAACCCGACAAATATATTAGCTGTGGTCTTGATGACTATTCGTGCAGACGAATAGGCAGTCTTGGAGAAGGAGTCAGACTCCTTCTTGCTCCCTGCTGCACCATTCTAGTCTAATTCTCTTCACATCCTTGCCTTGAACCCAATACTACACATAGTATTCTCCACTATAGGCCTACATTTGTGACAAAAAAACTCTGGACACCGACACTACCTCACCGGAGATGAGCCTACTGTATGGGGGCAATACTGCTTGGAATTTGGCTAGAACCTCACTGGAGATGAGCTCACTGTATGGGAGCAATACTGCTTGGGACGATGGAGGGTAGCCTGAAGAAGTAAGCCTAAGCATTCATAAAGTGATCAACCTACTTGTCCATGGGCACCCCGGGTTGTTGAGAGAAAATAACAAATCATGAGGATAAACAACTATCCTGGAAACACTGAGGTTTGGCCCTTAGAGAAGGAAGAAGAAGAAACTGATAACACAAATTAGAACCCACATGCTAGAGTTTCTACTTATCCATCCACCACTTGCATTCATATGCCTTTCTTGACACCGTACCAGATAGCCAAACTGGTCTAGGACCTTGGCTTGAGAACCCAAGGATGCCTACAATAAACCGAGGGGTGAAGGAAGAACATCCTACTGGTCTGAGGTTTGGTACCCTCATGCATTGACTGACAAACAAATAGCTCAATGGAGATGGAAAACTCCTAGAGGATCAAATGACGTAAGTCGGTCTTCTTCCCAGAAAACAAAGTCATATTCTGGAAGATGCATCTGGTCAACACATTGTTGGATTAAGAAAGCAAATCATATATAGAGTAGCAATGAAGTACAAGGCACTGTCCTACCAGGCACTGTCCTACTAGCAGAATAGGATATAAAAAGGGGGTATTGTTATGATCACAATTTATCAGGCCTTTACAGCGGTCTATGCCAATAGGATCATCACAAATATCAGGTGGCCTCACAGGTTGAGGCATACAACAAGGTACAAATATTATCTTTGGTCATCCAATCCTAATGAATCATCCATTGCTGGTTGAGTATCATGAGCCTATTACAGCGGGCATTCTTTCCTGCCTTACAGAATACTCACACATGAGCATGAAGCTCCTTGTCCTCTTAGTTGGAAAGAGACAAGCAGAAAAGCAAGAGTAGTCATTTCTGAGAGGGGAATGACTGGGAGAATACCTATGGATACATATATGGGATTTTCATGCCCTTTTTCTAAAGTAGTATAAAAGGCCCATAAAATAGGCTAAGGATCTTTAATCTATTCTCTTTATTCCAGTACTATCTTCCTATAATACTCTTCATTCACTGCAATCTTCATACTGCAGTCTCCATTGCCTACATTGCAATACATTCCTGGCTCCTGTACTACATGTACAGTTGAGACCATTGTTCCACCCTCCCTCTACAAGTGACCTAGGGAAGAACCTCCTACTCTTGGGGTTATTGAGCGAGCAGTTTGTAACACTCGTTCAGTAACCCCAAGAGTATAAGGTTCTTCTCTAGGTTGCTCATAGAGGAAGGGTGGAACGATGGCCCCAACTGTATGTGTAGCACAGGAGCCAGGTAGTATTGCAGCTCTGTATACGAGGGTACAGAGAGAGCAAGGACTGCAGTAGGAAGACTACAGTATAATGAAAAAGAATAGACTAAAGATCCTTAGCCTATTTTATGGGCCTTTTATACTACTTTAGAAAAAGGGCATGAAAATCCCATATATATATCCATAGGTATTCTCCCAGTCATTCCCCTCTCAGAAATGACTACTCTTGCTTCTCTGCTTGTCTCTTTCCAACCAAGAGGACAAGGAGCTCCATGCCCATGTGTGAGTATTCTATAAGGCAGGAAAGGATGCCCGCTACAATAGGCTCAGGATACTCAACCAGCAATGGATGATTCATTAGGATTGGATGACCAAAGATAATATCTGTACCTTTGTGTATGCCTTGGGGTATGAGGCTGCCTGGTAGTTGTGATGATCGTATTGGCATAGACCACTGTAAAGGCCTGATAAGTCATGATCATAACACACATAGGCTGAAGAGCATATTCAAGAGGAGAGTGTTCAATTATTGGCACTTCCCTTTACAGATCTAGAAGAAGACTGAGTTTATCTTATCAGATGCCTCAATACAGGACAATTAGAAGCCCTCGAATTATACAATGACAATAATAAAGGATTCAATATTCATCACATCAAAACCATAGAATCTTTTACAGTCAACACACTGGCTCAAAAGAAGGGACCTATCAAAATACCAATGGGAAAACAAACCAAACACACTAATTTACAAAAATTGGCAGAAGAAGCTTCAAAAGGAAAACCAGAACTATTCTTTGAAGAAATAGTCCCTAAAGCATAGTGGAATTACAGAAAGGTTTTTGAAGGACAGAAACCAGGGAAATTACTGCCTAAATGATCATGGGATCACAAGATTGAACTCAAAGACAGAATAAAACACTTGCTCAAGCCTAAACTATATAGCCTCAGCCCAATAGAACAAGAAGAACTCAAAAAGTTCATTGAAGAACATCTGAAGAAAGGATTCATTCAAGAATCTAAATCACATATGGTGTTCCCTTTCTTCTTTATAAAAAGAAAAATGGAAAATTATGGCCAGCAATGGATTACTGCAAAATCAACAAAATAATAATTTAGAACAAGTACCCACTACCAATCATTCAAGAATTACTAGACCTCTTAATAGAAGCTGAATATTTCTCACTTGTAGATATCAACACAAGATATAACAATGTACTCATCAATGAAAACAATATTCACAAAGCAGTATTCATAACAAATTTGGGAATGTATGAACCATTGGTAATATACTTTGATCTAACCAACTCACCGACAATATTCCAAACAATAATAAACTTGCTCTTCAAGAATTTGTGAACTGTAAGTGACATGTAGCTGGGGAGCTAAGAAAGAGTTAACCATCAGTAACCCTATATTTATACAAGGTCACTAGCAATTACACAGGAACCTTGGCAGATAGCTCCTAAGAGAATGGTGCTAAGAGAAATTGTGAGGAAGGTAGCAGTTGCAACAAAGGTATAGATAGCAACTTCTGATAAGATAGGGTTTAGGATAGGGGTTATAGTCATTTTTCTGACTATGCCAAACCGTAGTTCATCTACCTTTGTAGTTCCTAGTAGGCTTGAATACACTAATTAGAGCTGTCTGATTATTTGTGCTATGGCATAGATTGAGACAATTCTAAACTAGGTCTCTTTGATCATGTTCCTTGATAGTTGATTGTTAATTTTGTCATAATTGACTATAGAGGTGTTGGTTGCCTCTTTAGCTACATTATCCTTTTGCCAATTGCTTCCATGATCTGAGGAATTTCCAATTGAGTAGATAGGAGTCATTTTCCAATTGGATGCTTCTAAAGCTTCTTTTTGATCTAATCTTCTTTGGAAGTTCTGTTGTATTCCAAATTGATTGTTAAGGCTTAGATCAATGCTTCCATTCCTTTGACTACAGAGGGGTATCTGTGATAAAACTCTGCAATAGCCTTTTTGGCATTAGTGATATTTGCTACTGATTCTTATAAGTTATCCAATTCCAGATAGCCCTTCTATTTGATTAGATACTGCAATGTCTTCTATTTTCCAAAGCATTGGGCTCCAACAATTGTTTCAACTTCAAATTTTTCTTGCCCTTCAATCAGGTCCGGGGCTGGTTTAGGGTAGTTGGGGCCATAGACTTTGTTTTCCTTGTAAGATGTGAGTTGACTAATGTAGAAGATATCATGTATGTGCTTCCAGCTATTGGGCAGCTTCAGCTTGAAGTTGATAGTTCCAATTGTGTCAATGATTTCAAATGGTCCAAAATGCTTGGACCACAGTTTCTCCAAGGAGTGATTGGTATGAATATTTTTTCCATCTAACCATACTTGGTCTCCTTTCTTAAAGGGCAGCAGTTCCATTCCAAAATGGTCATATTATATCCTTATGGCTTTTGCTGTAATTTCGAGGCTAGCTTGTGCTTCCTTCCTAGTACATTGCAGAGCTTTAAGATGAGCATCAGCCATGAGGATGTTCATGTTTGCTATAATAGCTGGGTATGCTCTCAGTTGGTACCTGTGTAAAAGTTCAAATGGTGACTTCCTTATGGCTAAATGTTGGTGTACATTGTGGGCATATTCCACATAAGGAATTATTGTTGCCCAGTTGTCTTATGATGAGCTGTAAAAGGCTCTAAGATATTGTTCCAGCTCCTAATTCATTTGTTCAGTAGCACCATCTGTCTATGGACAATAAGCTGTGCTTAATGCAGATTTAATCCCAAGTTTTTTGAGTAGGGCTTGTGCTATTTTTGAAGCAAATTGAGTTCCTCTATCTGATATCATCTTATTGGATAATTTATATTATCTCTAGGAGTTTTCTAGTAGGATTTGGGCTGTTATATCTGAGTTGATAGTTTTCAGACATAGTATGATTATTGCTATTTTGATAAATCTGTCTGTTATCACATAGAGTAAGTCAAATCCTTTTGATTTGAGAAAGTTGGTAATAAAATCCATGGTGATTGTTCCAAATGGTCTCTCTGGAATTTCCATTGGTTGGAGTAGTACTATTGTGGGATATGTATTGTTCTTGGTAAATTGATATGTTGCACATCCTTCCACATATTGGTGGATTGTGTTTGAAATTCCAGGCCAAGTAAATTCTTGTCCTAATATAGCTAGTGTTCCTCTTTGTCCTGGGTATCCTGCTGCTAGATTATTATGATTCATTTTGATGATATCTCATTGAAGTTGTTTATTTTGTGGGACATAGATTTTTCCTCTGTGTAGAACAAGTCCTTCTTTGTTGTTCCATTCTTGTAATCTTTTCTTCATGCTATAAGAATTGAGTGTCTTGACCTTGATTAATATTTTGAGTAGCCATTCATCTTTCTTATTTGCTTTAATAATGTGATTTCTGAGGTCTTCATTGATTATTGTGACACCTTCTTGTCTGGTTGCCCTGACATGGAATATCTGATGGGGGTCTAGTGTTTCTTCTGTGGTGGTTGCATTAATTTCTGCAAAAGGTCTTTGAGTCTTTTTCTTTGTTTGGTTGAAAGTTTAGGTTCCAAAGGTGTTTTGCCTGAATTGTCAAATTCCACCTCTTTTTTATGGTCTGGATGCCATAACAGACCATTGGATTTATTGGTGACTCCTGCCTTGTGCATTAATTTATAGTCGAAACATAAGAGATAGAGTGACCATTGAGCTTGCTGATGGTTTAACTTTTGGCTTGAGCAGAACCATTCTAGGTTCTTGTGATCTGTCCAAATGTCAACTGAGGTTTTGGTGCTCTCCAAGTAGTGTTACCAAGCTTCAAAGGCTTGAATAATGGCTAGCAACTCTTTGTTATAAATGAGGTAGTTGAGATGATATGAATTTTTTCTTAAGTGCTTAGAATGCTTCTTTGCATGCTGGCATCCAATCCCATCTATGTTCTTTCTGTATTAACTCAAATAGTGGTTTAGCTGTTTTTGAGTAATCTTTGATAAACTTATGATAGAAGTTACAGAATTCTAAGAATGATTGTACTTCTTTGACTTTAGTTAGTATTGGCCAGTCCGTAATGCCAGCTACTTTGATCACATTTCCAGGTGCCCATGAGATATAACATATCCCAAATAATCAATTTTCCTCTTGTGTAAATGGCACTTTGACAGTTGCAGGTATAAATCATTATCCTATAATATCTGTAAAACCTGTTGCATTGTCTTGATATGTTCATTCATAGTTTTGGAGAATACCAAGATGTAATTTATATAAATAGCCACTTTTCCTGCATAGATCAAGTTCTACCTACTTAAATCACCTTGTTATATCATAGCCGGCTTTCATCATGCCTTGTCCCCCAACACCTGTCCCTGTTTCACTTTAGCCCCCTTCATCCTTCACCTAGTCTTAGTCACATCCTCTAGGTCCTATAACTCTCTCACCTCCATCGACCATATCGATGGTATCATGGTAGATGACCCTTATCTTGAACTTGGTGTCCCCAGTCTCCCTGATCACATTCTTAACCCCTATATACTAGCACTTCACAGGCCTTTGCACTCTTTAATACTACTCCCCACATTCTCATCCCCAGTTATCCCCTCCCTCTCTAAAATCTGATGAATTACTGAAACCCTAGCCTCACAGGCACTCTTCATCACATCACTCTCATAAATGACAAAGCCCCAATTTTATTGGACCAATCAGGACTCAATGATCCTACCAACTCCCTCCTCTATATATAGCAGACCATCATGATACATGCCTATCAGGTGCACCAGGGACCACTGGACAGGCATCAAATGGCACTGCTTACCAATATAGCTATTACTAATTATAGAAACAAGGGGTTGGTGAATCTTCCCACCCTCTGCAGCGACATGGTTAGCTATTGTCCTAATGGGTATGGCTTACTCAGCATGAAATTGCTGCTTTATCATTCTCCATAAGAATGGATCAACATACTCACTCCTATCCCTTACAAGTAAAACATCATTCACTGGCTCTGAGTCACTGGTTTTGGAAGGGCTCAACTAGTAATAGATGAGTACATACTAGAGGGAACTCTGCCAGAATGCCTCTTTCCCTTAGATGAACAAAGAGTACATCACATTGCTGCCTATTGGTTAGAGGGGTCCAACCTACCTGACAATGTCAGACTATGGTACATGTCAAGGAAAGATGTAACAGAGGAAGATTGATATCATCTGCTTAGACCAGAGAAACTAGTTTATAAACCACAAAGGATCATTGGTGCCCCCAGAACTTCAGGGAACATTGCATGAGCACCTGGTTTCCTGTTAATAGTCTCTCTTCTAATGCTCTGGGAATCCACCATTGAACCCCTCCCACTTATTGTGACTTTACTGCCACTCTCACCCTTACATCTGGACATACTAGTGCTCTTTCAGCACCCAATATTGCCAGAATGGACCAGTTCCCTCACTACAGAAATACCAGCCAATCTACCATACCCTCACACTGACCCCTTTCTAGGAAATCAGCTTATGCCTATCCTAGACTTCGAGCAGGATGAGCCCATGTGCTCTATGAGTCTCTCTTACAACCTTGAACAAGTCATCCAGGATTTCAAGGCTTGTCACCCACTTCTGGCAACATTCATACTATCCTCTTTTATATCCACATCTGAGACCCTTGTTGACATGCCCACCCCCTAATCTCCAGCAATATCTGTCACAATAGAAAATTAGTGTGATGGAGCTTGCACTTCTAAAGCTATATGGCCCTCAACCGTAGTGTTCACTCCCTCTCCTCTTGCATCCCCCTCCCCCCTAAAGTACAATAATGTTGGGAATGCAGCTGTAATGGACATCTCCTTGCAGGATGCCCAATCACATATATCTGGTAAAGGACTAACGTCACCATACACAACTCCTTGTGCAAGTACAATATGCATTGCATAACAGTGAGTCATCTTCATATTCACATGGAACAGGTTGCTGAAGAATACAGCTACCACAAGAGGGCAATAGAGCAGATGTGTGACATGGCTCTTTGGGTTGGATACCCAATATGCATAATTCCCATGTTTGATGAGGATCACCTACATAAACCACCTCCTACAATCACATCTCGAGTCAAGTGCCAAAGACTTGTGTAAGAGAGGGTGTAGTATTAGGACTATATCCTAACACGTACTTTGCATATGATCTAAAAGTACAGTCATGCAGTGCACTCATGTCTCAAACTTAAACTGTAAATTTGTTACTATTTACATGCTGATGCATGAACTCTTATGTATATATAACTCATTAACAAGTCTCAGCTTGAACACTTATGACCATTACAATCAGTCCCTGATTGCTTTATAATGTAGACAGATATTTAATATGGTTACCATATATAGTTAAAGTATTCACTGTGGATGATGTATCTCAATCATTTAGCTTACTTGGTGTTTAGAAGCATAGACCAGATCTCTGTCTAGCCCTAAATAGTTTGTACATATAAATATCCAAGCTGAGCTTCTTAGAAGATCAGCTTGTTCACTTTGTATACATCTTGATCTCTACACTGTGTCTAGTGTCTGGCTCCCTTCAGCCTACACATCACAAAATCTGTTGGATCAATTGGTTCATACCTAGTCTAACAAAGCACTGGATCTATCTCAAAGCTCTTATTATTCTCTCATCTCTATAGCTTATCAAGGACTTGCTGCTTATCAAGTCATATGTTGGAACCCATCAGAAGTCATTTGTTGTATTAGAGAGGACTTTTTGGTCAGTGACAAGCATCATCTTATCATCAATCAACATTTTTTCCATCTCTTTAAAAATAGGATTGACAGCAACTAAGACTTCCTCATACAAGCCCAAAAACACATAATAGTCTTTATTTATTGGGCTGTCACAATTAGCCCAGGGGATATTTCTTAAGTGCATCAAGTGCACATGATAAGCCTAGTGGCTTAACACAAAGTCTAACCAAACTTAAACTATATTGATACCATAGAGTGCTTCAAAGAATAATTATATTCATACAACAGTTAAACATATTGAGATATAAACTCTCTTGCTTTTTTTTCATCACTTTTGTCATCAGTCTTTTTTTGTTTGCTTAGTACCCCCCCAATCTTTGATCATGGCAGAAATTCTCCTGGATTCTCATACAAATCATCCACAGCTATGTTGATGTTAGTGATGGAGTGCACTACAATAGTAAACTCTGCTCACAATATTCATCTTCCTGTTGATTTACTGAAGAAGGGCCAGATGGTATATGCAAACTATCCACTAAGAATACTTTTGATAAGCTATATTATCTTTAAATAAGAATTTACTTACAATTAGACATTGATTTAGAAGCCTTGACTTGTTCCAAAGCATTGCTAAGAATAGCCAAGGACATATCTTGGATATCATTGATTGTCCTATCTAGTCTGTTTATCAAAGCTGCCTCATTTGTTTTCATGCTATTAGTATATGCCTTTATAACCTCTTTTATCCCTTGGTCTATCCTTGTGGTAATCAAGGGACCTAGTTGCTCCATGAGCTGAGCGACAATATCGCCAGTATTGAGAGTTGTGGCTGTAGAAGGGGGAGCAAGTGTAGGAGTTGAATAGGCTGGTGTAGCAAGCTTGTATCTGTTCCAGCCATTGATTGCCTTCTTGTAGTACATGAATTGACCACCAGGTACGATATGCAAGATACGCTGGAAGTCCCCACTATAATTAAGATACAAAGGAAGGACCTCCTCTGCAATCTTTCCTTCAATGATTTCATTGCTAAGGCCATAGTATTCTCTTGCAGCTTTAGGTGTATGACCTGCTTGAAGAGCACCAATTGTATCCTCTTCATCCAGTTGGAGCAAGTGATTGATTGGTCGGCAGTGATGGCGACGAAAAGCAACATTAATATGACGGTATGAATTGACATTCATAGGCCAACCAATTGTTTCCTTTTTCTGGCTGTGGTGGCCTAAAAGAGTGGTAATCATCTTGGCATCAAAATCATGGTCATATGCAACAAATAGTCGGTTATGATAGCGTCGTACACAATCAGGCCTGTCCTTCATGAGTACAGCTGCTAATCGCAGTGCAAATGGGCGAAGAATGGCATGGTCTTGGATCATAAGATCAGCGGTATGTGCAGGCAGAGAGGTGGGGATTGCTTTGTCATGTCCTTCAATAGCTGTGCGCTTGGTATAATACCGCATAGTGGCAACATGCTGGTCCAGTATGAGGCAGCTGCGCTTGTCACGAGTCAAAGTGTTCCGTAGATTAGAAGCACCTAGTTCGCTAATTCGGCTTGCAGCTCCACCTATCACCTCAATAGAGAGAATCTGCTGCCCTTGAAATTCAGCATAGTCCCGAAGCCATTTTTCACAATAGCCATGATTCCAAATGATTTGTCCATCTGCCTGATAACCTATAATAAACTTGGCACAAACTTGAGGGGTTGAAAGAACGGCATTCAGCATACGGTCCTGGTCCCCAAAGATTTTATGGTTACGAGGATCATCCAAATAGCAATATCCTACTTCACGATTAGATGGATCATCGTAGATTGTGTCATACCTGCACCGCAGCTTCATTCCTTCAAATAACCTCTCGAATGTTGTTTTTTGAGCATACATGATTGAATGTGCCATTGCGCGTAGTCCATCCAAAGTGATCTTTTGACCATGGTACAACATCTCTGTGTGGTGTTCATGATCGGTCCACCAGATACGAATGTCACCCATTGTAGCATATGCAATGGCAGTGGCAAGATGCTGCAAGGATCTGATACTGCTAAATGTACTTTCTTCGCCTTCAGTTGTCCACTTGGCTAAGGAAGCAAAGGCCATATCATCTGATTGAATACGATGACCTTGATGATCTAGAACCAACTGCCGCACTCTATGGCAAATGACTAGACGGATAGTATAAGTGAGGCGTGCAAGTGTCTGTGTGCAGCTAGATGCTGGTTTGAATGCACCCTTGTCATCAATCATTGATAATGCCACCCAGCACATGACAGGATCTTGTAAGTTTGAACCAGTTGCAGGCTCCCATTCTGTTGTAAATAAGTCCAAAAGAATTGGATCAATTGCAGCAGAAATTTGCTCATGGTCTTGAGTGGTAAGTGCCTGACGGAGATCACTAAGATGCTGCACAAGTGCTGGGGTTGTTGTAAGCTTGTATGGATCTGTTGATTTGGCACGAAGAAAGGCAGCAAGCAAAGATAGGACAGGAACCATATATGACTCAAGAGTCCCATCAAGAAGATGATTGCTAAAGGGTGTGTGATTTAAGCTATGATTAACAATATAAGTATATGATTTATAAAATATCAAAGATAAAACTGACCCAGTTGCACGATCTTCTGTATTGACCTTTTTTCTAACCAATTCTGAGATCGAACCAAGCTCTATAGTCATCAATCTGAATAGATGGAGGAGGCCAGCCTTTAAAAACAAAAACTCGGTATGGAGAGGAGCAGCACCAAGCTTGTGAAGTGATAGAAAGGATTGGCCCTCAAAGTGAAGATGCCATCCAACTTTATTGAGAAATGGATTGACCAATCGGCGGTCTGTCTCTGCATAAACATCCTGTGCCATAATGTCCTTGACCATAGTTTTGACAGCATGAAGAATATCCTCATGAGGTCGAGTCACCTGAGAGCGAGGAATAACAGGAAAGTAGGGGTGATTGAAATGATTCCAGCGCTGAATATAGGAACGGCTCCATTCTTCAGGACGAGGGACTCCCTTGTGCTTTTGGTGATGATGACCCTTGGCTGATTTTTCATCTCCCCGATACACATTGCAGCCATGAACGTCACATCTATACCCATTAATACATTTGAGGCCTTCAAACTCAATGCAAAGGTCTGTTGGCTGATCAGGATAATCATAAGAAAGATCCTTGTCATTGACTGTCTGATAAAAAACCTCTTTGTCGAAGGGCTTGCGACCCCAGCCATGTGCTTGTTGAAGATGGGCATGGATATTTTGAGGAGCAACGACAATTTGACAGAGCATGCAAATAAGGGCGCCAAGACGAGAGTTATAGACAAAGCCATATTCGCTGAAGATGGGAACCAATATAAGCTATAATTAAAGGATTAATCATAGTTTGAAAAAAGTTTGCAATAGATAGCTACCTCATCATATACCAGAATGTTAGACTGGCCATTAAGAATATCTGTGTCTGGCTCTGAGCCCTATTAATATATGTTCAAATCTAGAAAACAGTATATTGAAGCAATGAAAATATACCTCTTGCTCATCCTCATCAGCTTCAGGTTCAATTGGCTGTATTATGACATAAGGTATATCATCTTGTTCTTGTTCTATAGGTGTATCATCTTGTTCTTGTTCCATAGCAGTATTCTCATGTTCAGAGTGGACTGAGTGGACTGGTGAAGGGGATCTTGAATGATAAGAAGTTGAAGTTGATATTGCTTGATTGATATTTGTAGTAGCAGTAGATAATGGAGTGATAGACAACTAAGTTTATTATTAGCTATACAATTGAACCCTCATAAAATATAACACTTGCATTTGGAATAGGATAATTGGCAGGCAACACTTTGACACGTTTAGGTAAGTCCAATGGATCAACTATAATATTAGGCTAATTAATCTTAGATTAGTAGTAGAATTTTTAAAAATTAAGTAGTTGCATACCTCAAATGGAACAATAGGTTCAGTGCCACACCATGTACTCTTTAGCTTTTTCATATGATCTGTAAGTGTCTTTCCCCTTTTATAAGGATGAGGAACATTTGCATGGTTTTCTGCACTACAGTGGCAGTAGTAAAAGCCATCAGAAAGACGAAAAATGAAGATGCGGCCTTCAACAGTAGTTATCTCAAACCATGGACCTGTGCCATCTGATTTGGCGCTAACTTTATAAAGGTTTTGAGACATGCTACCAAAGTCTATCATAAACATAAATTAAAATTAGCTTGATAATCTTCAACAAATATAATTAAATAAGTGAGGGGGGTTCTAGAACCCCTCTCAGCATAAATAGCTCTTATATTTCTATTCAAGGGCAGGGGGGTCCTAGGACCCCCCTGCCCTTGAATAGTACAAGGACTATCTAGACTTTTCAATAATAATCTGAGGAAACTGACCTGATGATGATGGTTGAGAATGAAGAGGCGTGGGAATAATTTTCGAATTACAGGCCCTTATATATCTGGCAAGCTGCTTATGTAAATATTCTCACAGGTCTGAGAATCCCATACTAAAGAATTGCTAACTGTGTTAATATACTAGTAATGGCCCTGAATACAAAAATATACAACAAAACATACCACTACTAAACATAAGTAGGCATTGATATGCTAGTAATGGCCCTAATTATGAACATATACAACAAAACCACCACTAAATACAGGTAGGCTTGGAGCTAACTTGCCTATAGACTAAAGAACCTTATTATTAGTAAGATAGAAAGCAATATACATACTTAAAGCTATACAAAGTTGTGCAAAGTCTGTGCAAAGACTAGTAAAGTGGTTGGTAGTAATGTGAAGACATAAGATACACTACTGGTGCCAAGGGATATAGAATATGCCAATCTAAGTCATAGTCAACCTAGTCAACTTTAAGGATAGTGACAAAGGCTTTAGTAAGAGATATAACAATAGTATGAAGACAAGGCAAACAAAGCAAAAACAATAGAAAAGATGAGTAATATGAGTGAGATCTTTTGATAAAGTTGAGATCAAAACAGAGGGATGTTTAAAACTGGTATATTGCAGTATCAAAGGTAGGTATTTATAGTAAGACAAAGTAGGTAGAGTAAAAATAAACTTGTAAGATAAGATATAAATGACATTGTGCCAAGCCTGGAAAATTGCAAGATAAAGAAAACCATATGCAGAGTTACTTGCAGACTACAAGGTTCTATTGCACCATAGTTGAGAAAGTAAACAATTTTTATCAAAGGAATATAAGGAGTAGGCAAGGTAGTCTATGTGGGCTATAAAAAGAAATAAATCATAAGACCTATAGTGTCTAATAAGCACACACAATAAAACTTGCTGTAGATAGAGCATTATGGAGATGAACTTCAAAGCACCTACATAGAAGGGCATGTGGTACACAGCATCAGGGCTTGGCAGTATTAGCAATGTTGAGGTCACTCTTCTAAGTGGTCATGCTATACCCAAGTGATCATGTATACTATAAGGTGCTATAAAATTATGCTGCAATAATAACTATGTTGGTCCACTGTTGTGAATATCTTTGTATAAGGAGGCTTGGGGAATATCATGTGAGACTGCAAGTTGTCCTAATTATAGCAAGGAGCTTCCAAGTATTAGGAAGGTCTAGTGTGAAGTTCTAACAACTTGAGCAACCAACCACAAAAATGATATAAAAATAGGGGCCTTAGTGCCTAGAGAGGTGTCACACTTATTAGTAGCATTCCAGGGCATTCTTTGAATAGCAAGGCAGTCTCTAGCTAGGGTTCTGCCTCAAAAATGACTTTAAATGTAGCCACAGGGAAGATTGTGGAGCTAGAGGTGGTGGTGGCAACTATAATGGTTGCCCCCTTACAAAAGGTGCCAGTTTTGGAAGCCACAAGGAAGACCATTGTATGAGTGGGGTTAGTAGCATTGAGGAGCAGTCTAATAGAGCCAATTATGGTACTAGGGCATATAGACATAGAGGGGAATAAGAGGAGCAATGAGGAAGAAAAGAAAGTAGTAAGGGAACTGTCAAGCAAGGACTTGGCACTATTAGAGGCTATAAGAGGACAGCTACCATTTAGCTAGTTGGTATTACAAACTGATCATTTAGTAACCCCAAAAATAGAAGGTTTTTCCCTAGATTACATAATAAGGGAGAGTGGAACAATGGTCTCAACTGTATGAGTGTACAATAATGGATGATATTCAGAGTGCACAGTAAGGGAAACTGCAAGCATTTACAGCAGGAAGATTATAGTAAAGCTGAGGTACTGTGATAGAAAGACAATAGTGAACAAAGAAAATAGACTGAAGACCCTCAGCCTATTCTACGGGCCTTTTATACTACTTTTGGAAGATGTGAGAATGCTGTGCATATCTCCTAGGCATTCTCTAAGTCACTGCTCTTTCTCAGCAACTATTCTTGAACTTTTTCTATTGTTTCCTTTTAACCTAGGGGAATAATGGGCAGAATCTTCCTATAAATTTGTATTTGTAAGCCCATCATTGGTTACCTCATATTATCTATTAGTTTACTTGACTAGTAATGATAATATTCACCAGAAGTCAATGACTAATAGATGTTACCTTAGACCATGATGTCTGTGCCATAGTAGGCATTACCTAGTAGTTGTGATGATTATTGCTAGCTTAGACTCGATTGTGGAGGTCCCAGCAGACTGTAATCATGACAATACCCCCTTTCTATATCCTAGTACCTAATAAAATTTTTAAAATTCATTGCCATTCCATATACAATTTGCTTTCTTAAGTGTGAAAAGGAGCAGATGTGGCTTTTGCTATGAATTTGTTTTCTAGGAGGAAGACTGACTTACATTATTTGATTCTCTGGGAGTTTTCCATCTCCATTTAGCTGTTTATTTGTTGACTATTGGGGTTTTTCAAGCCCCTTATTAGTAGGATGTTTTTCCTTTACCTGCTAGTTTTGTTGCTGAGAGCTGCCTAGTTTTTCAAGCCAGGGAGATTAGATTCAACTAGACTGTACCTATTTAGCTTTGAAAAAGGTGTCATATATGAATGGTGTGTTGGAAAAGTAAAAACTCATCAATGTGGATTTATATCATATTATCATCATCTTCTTCTTTCTTCCCCAAGGGTCAAATCTTAGTGTTTCTATGACAGCTTTTCTATCCTTATCATTTCTATGCTGAGGGAGACTCTAGACAAGTAGGTTGATCATTTTCACAAGGCTTAGGCCTACTTCTCTATCACAGTTGGACTTTACAACTGGTTTTGAATCCTGGTAGGGTTTCTTTAATAATCCCAAGTAGTACTGCTCCCATATGGTGACCTCAACTTTAGTGAGGTTGAGTTTGTGTCCAGAGTTTGTTTGTCACAAATGTAGGCCTATGGTGGGAAATACTATGTGTAGTGTTGGATTTAAGGCAAGGACTTGAAGAAGAATAGACTTGAATATTGGTACTCTTGTGAAGCTGTATTGCTCCTATATAGGAAGCTCATCTCCGACTAAGATTAGGTTTGGAGTGAAGAGGGAGTCTAGCCTCTTGCTTATTGACTGATACCAAATTTGGGTATATAAGAAGACCTTTAAGACCACAGATAATTGATTAATTGGGGTTGCATAATGTAAATCTATAATTGCAGTTTAAACATTATGTGGGACATTATATAGCTTAACATCTTTATGGATATTATGTGTAGTTTTCTCTAGTCATGCAGGGATGGTAATATGTATGCAGTTTTGTCTTGTCATGCAGGAATGATAGAGTAGAATAGCTTTTTTTATTTGGGTGCTTTCCTAGTTTAAGAGAAAGGTTATTGTAGACCTTTTTTATTGTCATCATGGAGTAGCTGTAAGGGAAAACTTTTCTTTGTACTAGATCATTTGCTAGTAATGTGCATAGGGCCTAGACCAGGTTTTGTCTTAACAGGTCTCTACTGAGGTATGATAAAAATGACTTATGCTATATTAAACTAGATAACTTAGACCTAAATAAAGGTCAACTCAGTTTAATGCTGTGAGCTTAGGTGAATTCTATCATCTGACTTGTTCCTCTAAGTCACAATAGTTTTTGGGCCTTTAGAGATAAGGGCAGTTTACTGTTATTTTGGACTTGACTAGTGGATTGTCATCAATAATGTCATTGATTGATGATCTCTATGCTTAAATGGATGAGTAGTTTAGGGTCATTGTGGACATAGATAGTTTAGCATTATTACAGATATATCCAACTACAAATATTGTAGTAGAACAATAACTAGTTTAACATCATCTCAGACATTTGGGCTAAATAGACTAGACTTGAGGATGGCCATCCCTGTGTCATACTTCTGTAATATATGGCTAAGAAAGCCTTGTGATCTAGTCTTCCATAACCAGATACTTGACTTAATGCACATGTCCTAGTTGCCTCTTAACTAGGTCTTAAAGTGGAATTTCTTGTCTTTGACTTAAATACTAGACTAGGCACTCCACAAGGAGATTGTGGCTCCTTCATATCCTTAGACACCTTATCTGGAATTGAACTAGATTGACCCCATATTCTTTTATTAAAAGGTAGAGGAATATAAAAGTACTTGACTGCTTATAGATGGAGTTCTACAATGTGGAAGGTTAGGTCCCCTGCTTCACTAGAATAAAACCACAATCTATGGGTTAATAGTAGTTTAATTGTCATTTCAGATATGGATAGTGTTATGTCATTGTGGACCCTTGTAGTTTAATGTTATTATGGATGGAAACTAGTTCATAGTCATTGCAGACCAAATAACCTTGTTCTAGAATTTTTGCACCAGTCATGTTATGCCCTTTTTTTTTGTACCAAAAAAAAGAAGGGGGTGGCTTGTCAATACCATAGTATATTGACCCTCAAGGGCTCCCTAATACAGAAAAAGCCCTATAAAACTAGGAATACAAATGGGATGCCTAATCATTTGTCAGATTAACCCTTTGATAGTAAGGGTATAAAACCACCCCATTTTGTGTATGCTATCACATAACAAGACTCACTATTGTACATCACGAACAAATTGTATTGGTTAGGTACTTTCTCTGCCTTCTTGTTTTTTTACAGTTTTAAGACATATAGGTCTAGTAGTTTTGATGTCATTTTGGATGAAGGTAGTTTAATGTCATTTTTAGATAAGTTGTACAGTTTAATATTATGAGGAATGGCAATGATGATGATGACTAGTTTAAGGCCATTATGGACCAACATGGTGGTATCCTATATATGAAACCATTGACTAGGATATAGGAGGTCCTTTTCTTTCTAATATCTAATGATGGGTAAGGAGTTCCTTAACTTCCTTACCTTTGCTCTTCATCTTATGCTCCACCCTCTAGTTAATGAGAGTTATTAATAGTCACAATTACCTTGATAACTTCCACCACCTTCATTGGGTCTATAGTAAGGGTCTACTTCATTATAATTTCCTAGATTGTCCAGTGTGTCCTAAGTATCTAGTTTGCTCTGAGTCTAGTAGCAATCTTATTAAGTCTCCAAGTTAGTATGCTGAGTTCATTGATTGCTTTGAGGATTTGGGCCCTCATTTGTATGAAGTTAAGGAGTAGGAGTAGCTGCCCCATTTTGTTATCATAGAGTCCTGCTAATCAGTGTTGCATGATAGTAGGGGGTCTGGGTTTCTTGATTTTGACAACCCTTGTTTCTTTGATAGATGGGCAGTTCCTTGTTATCAGTATTCTAAATATTGTAGGCTATAGTTTAAGCTCTACAATTAGGGGCTCCTGCCTCTTATAGGGCTTGTGTGTTCCCTCAGAGGAGTTTAGGTAATGGTATAAAGTGGTTGGGCAGGTTGACTTTATGACATAAAGATTCTAGCTTTTGACTAAGGGGGCTAGGTGATAATATGAAAAGGGTCAGCTTATTGTGGTGTGACAAGTCTAAGTTTCCCTAGAAGAAGGAGTGCTAGTAAGAGTCCATAGTTAACATATAGAGTGAATTTGTCTAGGTGGATGAGGAGGGTACAGGGTCATTCTTCTCCTTATTCTTCCCATGCAGCAATGTTGGAGTGTGTATCCAGGGCAAGTTACCTGATTTATTGACTTGTATTAGCCAATCATTGAGAAACATCATTATGCTCATTCCCTGGTTGTTAAGCTAAGAAGTTAGTGAGTTGCTACAGCACCATGGCAGTTGCTGTTACAAACTGCTCGTTTGGTAACCTCAAGAGTAGGAGGTTCTTCCCTAGGTCACTTGTGGAGGATGTGTGGAACAATGGTCTCAACTATACATGTAACACAGGAACCAAGAGTGTATAGCAAGGGCTGCAGTAGGAAGACTGCAGTATAATGAAAGAGAATAGACTGAAAACCGTCAGCCTTTTCTATGGGCCTTTTATACTAATTTAGGAAATAGGGCATGAGAATACTGTATATGTATCCATAGGTATTCTCTAAGTCATCTCTCTTAATAACAACTACTCTTGTTACTTCTCCATTTGTCTCCTTCCGGCCAGGAAAGACTAGGAGCTCCATGCCCTGTGTGTGAGTAGTTTATAAGGCAGGAAAGGATGCCCGCTACAACAGGCCCATGATGCTCGACCAACGATTGGTGATCCGTTGGAGTGGATGACCAAGGTTATTGCCTGTACCTTGATGTATGCCTCAGGATGAGGCTGCTTAATATTTGTGATGATCGTATCGGAATAGACCACTGTTAAGGTCTGATAAGTCGTGATCATAACAATATCCCCTTTCTACATCCTATTTGCCTGGTAGGACCATGCTTTGCACGTCATCGCCACTCCATATATGATTTGCTTTCTTGGCCCAACTATTATCGACCGGGTGCGACTCCCGGGAATGACCCCATTTTCTGGAAGGAAGACTGACTTATGCATCTGATCCTCTAGGAGTTTTCCATCTCCGTTGAGCTGTTTGTTTGTCCGTGCGTGAGGGTTCCAAGCTCTACCCTGTAGGATATTCTTTCTTCACCTGTGAGGATTATTTTGCCACGTGTAACCCCATCGCGGTCTTACTCCAGCCTCCCTGGAACAGTATCAAGATAGGCATATGAATGCAAGTGGTGTGTGGATGAGTAGAAACTCTAGCATGTGGGTTCTGATTTATGTCATCATTGTCTTCTTCTTCCTTCTCCAAGGGCCAAACCTCAGTGTTTCCAGGATAGTCGTCTATCCTTGTGATTTGTTGTTTCCTCTTGATGCTCCGAGACGCCCACGGATAAGTATGTTGATTGCTTTACGAAGGCTTAGGCCTACTTCTCTAGGCTATCTTCCTGGCATCCCAAGCAGTATTGCTCCCATATGGTGAGCTCATCTCCAGTGAGGTTCTAGCCAAATCCCAAGCAGTATCGCCCCCATATGGTGGGCTCATCTCCGGTGAGGCAGTTCATGGCATCCAGAGTTTGTTTTTTACTAAAAGTGTTGGGTTTAAGGCAAGGATGTGAAGAAAATTAGACTGGAAGGGTGTAGCAGGGAGAAAAGGAGGAGTCTGACTCCTTCTCCAAGTCTGCCCATTTGCATGCACGAATAGACATTAAGACCACAGCTGATGTATTTGTTGGGTCGCGAGATATATCCACAATGGTAGTTTAAACGTCATTCCAGATGATCCGTAATTTAGGGTCATTGCAGACCATTGGGACCCAGGTTTGCCAATCACAACCCTTAATGTAACAAGGGGCACTAGTTTAACATCATCACAGATGTATTGGTGTCCATGAGGGATATGGACATCAATAACAACCACGATGTACAGCGGGGCACTAGTTTAACATTGTTGCAGACACTCCATAGTTTACCATTGTTGTGGATGTACCGGCCTTTGCAATTCAAGGACCCAATACACAATCCTTATACCAAAAGGGATAGTAGTTTAGTATCATTTCAGACATAGGTGTTGTCTGCATCCTCTAGATACAGATAGCACCAATGATCCCCATGCTAAAAGGAACAAATAGTTTACCGTCATTGCGGATGTGTTCTGCTGCAAATATTGCAGCAAAACAATGCTTAGTTTAATGTCATCCCGGATGGTATGCTGCTGTCTTGTGGTACAAACAGCACCATATGACTCTTAGAGCCAAGAGGGGAAGTAGTTTACCATCATTTCGGACCGGTGGACTGGCGGCGGCCACCAATCCCAACTCCTATGCGGTAAGGAGCAATTAGTTTTACATTGTCGCGGATGTGATGCCATTTCGCGACTTAAAATGACATCCTATGATCCCTGTGTGGAAATGGACAGTAGTTTTATGTCGTTTCGGACGTATTGGAGCTGGAGCAATAATTCCAGCTCCAAGATGGTTCCTAGAACAAAAGGAACGGTAGTTTAACACCACTTCGGACGCTTGGGAGTCATGTAATCTAGCCTTTTTGACTAGATTTCTGACTCGAGGCATGTGTCCTAGTTGCCTCCTGACTAGGTCTTGGAGCGGAATTTCTTGTACTTCGACTCCAGGACTAGACTGGGTGCACCGTGAAGAGATGCGTGCTTTTCAACGTCCCCAGACCCCTTGCTTGGATTTGAACCAAGATGACCCAATGTTTTTTTATTGAAAAGCGAGTGAACGTCGAAGTGCTCGACCACTTATAGGCAGGGTTCTGTAATGTGGGTCCTCCCAAAAACCCGCGCTTCACCAGAATACAACCATGCTCCATGGGTCATTGATAGTTTTGTGTTGTTTTGGACAGTGACTAGTTTAATGTCATTGCGGACCCTAGTAGTTTATAGTCATTTTGGACCAAGCCTTTGGTAGTTTTACATTGTTCCGGATGTGATTTTGGCCTTGCATTGCCTTGTGAGGCAAGCACGTTTAGTAGAGGTGACCTGGCCTTTACTATCTCATGCATCAGCAAGTTAGGATCCCCTAATATGGAAATGATCCTGTAAAACTGGAGATCCAAAGTGGGACGTCCAGACACCAGTCAGACCTTGACTGTGAGGGTTCACTTAATGAGTTATGCATCATAATGTTCTTGGACTTGCAACCGATTATGTAGGAGACTCCTTTGTTGTACCAAGACAAGGAGCAAGCTTGTCGACACATTAATACACGATAGCACGCATGACGGGTAAGGGTTCCCTAATGCAGAAAAAACCCTGTAAAACTGAGGATCTAAATGGGATGCTCAATGCATCTGTCAGATTTCTCCTTGACAGCGAGGATGTGAAAGTTCTCCCGCGCATACACTGCATCGAGGAATATGCCCGCTATGTGCCCTGGTTCTACCATCTCTAGAAACGGGGTGGTAGTCAGATACTTCCCCTGCCTTCTTGTCTTTTCACAGTTTTAAGATATGCAGGTCTGGTAGTTTTGACATCATTCCAGACATGGGGTAGTTAAACGTCTCTTTCGGATAAGGGCATACAGTTTAACGTCTTGAGGGATGAATCCAGTTTTACATCATTGCGGACAAACTAGTTTTAGGTCATTTTGGACCCTAATGTCAGATGCCCATGGGTAAGGAGTTCCTCCACTTCCTTACCCCCTTTCTTTCCCTGTGAGCGCCTGTTAATAATCAAAGGGTCCCTGATATCCATCGCCTCCTTCATCGGGCCGGTAGTAGGGATTGGCATCATCATAATTGCCAGGGTCGTCTAAAGCATCCCAGGCGTTGAGCTCAGACCTAGTCCAAGAGCAATTTTTTCGAGCCTCCAAATCAGTGTGGCAAGCTCTGCGGCTACTCCGGTTATCCTGTCCCTCGTCCGCACAAAATCGAGTACCAGCAGGAGGCGTTCCAGGCCGGTGTCGAACACTCCGGCCAACAGTTGTTCCATGTTGGAGGGTTGCTTGGGTTCCTCGACCCCTTCTTCCTTCGTTCCTTCGATAGATAGGCGGTTCCTCCTCGTTGGTACCCCCCTGGGATATGGGAATGTTTCGTACCCGGTGAGAGGAAGAGGCCACGGGATGGCTAGGCGTTGTATGAACCTCTCATTGTCTCGGTGAAGGGCCTTCGACGACCGTACATGGAGTCCTTTTTGGATTTGATATAGGCACGGAACATTCTCCGGGATGTGGTATGTTCCAAGTGACAATGCGGAAAGGATCAGTTTGGGTCAGCTGAAGATTTCCCAATTCCCTGGAGAAAAGAAGAGCTGGAAGGAGCTCTCGGTTGATAATACTGGGAGAATTTGTTGGGGTAGATGAGGAGGGCTCATGGTCATCCGTCATTGTCCTCGTACCAAGAGGCTGTGTCGGGGTTGGTTTGCAGGGCGAGCATTCTGATTTGTAGACTGGCACTAGCCAGTTGTCAAGGTACATTGCTATTCTCGTTTCTGGGTTGCCCACATGTCACTCCAATTCTCCGGAGTGAGGATCTGTACAATCGGCAGGTCCTCCCACGGAGCTGGGAACCTGTCTACTAGCCGATACTGATGGTTGTGCAGTTCCTGGTAGAACTGGTACTGGGTCAACTGCTCCATGGCTTATAGATTGAGCTCCAGCTCTTGCTCGTAGTCCCGAGGAACTTGCAGTTCTAGCATCTGGCGGGACTCCAGTAGAAGGTGGAATTCCAACTGATGGTCCACTAGGGCTTTGCAAGTTTCCGTCATTAGGGCCTTCATCCCATGGTGCATCTCGGGGATTCCCCTTTGTCAATAGTCGCTGGGTTCTTTCCCTTTCCTTGAACTAGGCATAATCTTTGGCATCATCATCCAAGAAATTGTTGAGATTTGGGGTGAGGATGGCGATGGTGGGTTCTGGTCAATGAGGGCTTGTTCCTCTTTCAACTCGTCCAGTGTCTGGATTGGCAACCATAAGGACAACATTGGGAGAGGAGTTTCTGGATGGAGATGAGACATCGTGGTCATTGTGGAGGAGCATTTAGATGTGGTCGATGTGGGAGAGGGGAGGTGTTCTTCCTTGGGGATGCCTTGTCTTCTCCCTTTATACTCTCTTTCTGTCCTCTAGGCTGATCCCGGACGGGGTTTATTGGGGTATCGGTCATGGAGCTTCTTCATGGCTTCTTCCGCCATCCCTTTTAGGAGAGTGTAGGGTTCCCAGGTGTCATCTGCTTCAGGATATCCCATCCATTTGACCAAGTACTTGGTTCCCCATCCTTGCTTCTTTGAGTCCACAATTTCTTCCACCTCGTAATGCTCTTCATCATTTAACACCTCCGGCAATGGTCTTGCAAAGTTTTTTCCGTGTGCTTCCGTTTCTTTGTACGGAGTGAGCATGGTGGCATGGAACACAGGGCGAATTTTCTAATGCGGAGGGATTTGAAGTTTGTATGCCAGTTCTTCTATTTTTGCCAATATTTTGAAGGGACTGTACCTCCTAGGGGCGAGCTTGAATTTGGGGTACATGGTCCAGATGTGGGTTCCTTCTAACCACACTTGGTTTCCTTCCTCCCAATGGGGGAGTTTCCTGTTAAAATCCCAGTCCTTGGCGTAATTGCTAGCCATTTGTAAGCTGGCTGCGGCTTCTTCCTAGACTTCTGTGATCACCTTAATGCATTCAGCTACCGTGGGTACCTTTGTCTCTAATGCTATGTCGGCCAAATAAGGGGGATTGAAGCTGTACAGTACTTCAAAGGGGGATTTTCCAGTGGCTGAGTGTTTCCACGTGTTATGTGAAAACTCGGCAAACAGCAAAAGGTCTACCCAATTGTCCTGATGGTAGTTGCAGAACGTTCTCAGAAATTGTTTAATCTCCTAATTTACCCATTCCATTTCTCCATCGGTTTGGGGATGGTACACCATGCTGAGAGCGGCGGTGATTGCTAGCCATTTCCAGAGTTCCCAGGTGAACTTGGCCATAAATTGAGGACCCCGATCGGACACTATTTTGGTTGGCAGCCCATGTCGATTGAAAACGTTATTCTGGAAAAGCACGGGCATTTCTTCTGCCGTGATTGTTTTCTTGCATGGGGTGATGACTATGCCTTTGGACAGTCCTTGGTCCACTACCACGTTGATTGAATCAAAAATTTTACTTTTGGGTTGAGATGAATCACCATGGGACATTAGTGGTTTCCAAAGGGTGGATGGGTAGATGGGTCCTGTGTGTCAGATTCTTTGTGGATTGATAGACAGCACATCCATCCACATATTCATGGATGAACTTGGTCATATTTTGCCACCAATAATGTCATTGGACCATTTCTAGGGTTTTGGCCTTACCTGGGTGTCCTACCACAGGGGCGTCGTGATGCATTTTGACTATAAGTCTTTGGATGACATCGTCTTTTGGGACACATATGTATCTATTTCGCCTAGTGATTCCGTCTTTGTGCGTCCAATATCCTAATAATCCTCTTATTCCTTGTGGGCCCACTCATAGGAGTTTGGTGAGGGCGACCTTTGTTAGGCTATTGTGCTCTAATTTTGAGTGCCAGATGAGAGAGATAAGGTCTGATGATGTCATTTCCGTGGACTTTATGTGCCTTATTGGAGGTAATTCTACCAGGGTGTCGTCGGAATCATTAAAAAGTTTGGCTGGGAGTAAAATTTGAGCCTTGTTGTCAGATTCTACCCCCTTACTTAGATCTGGACGCCTGGACAGAGCATCGGAGTGATTTATTGACCCTGCTTTATAGCTGAGTATGAAGTTGAATCTGCTCAAATAAAGGCTCTAGCGGGTGTGTCTTTGTGACAGATCTTGCGCTGTTTGGAAATATTCCAGGTTTTTATGGTCCGTCCAGATCTCAAAGGGATGTCGTGTGCCTTCGAGGTAATGATTCCAGTGTTCCAGAGCTTTTATGATGGCTAAGAGTTCTCGGTCATGGACGTCATAGTTTCGTTCCACTGGCAAGAATGATCCAGAAAGGAATGCTACCGGGTGCCAATCACCGTCTTTTCCTTCCTGTAAGAGGGTGGCACCATAAGCAATCAACGATGCATCTATTACTAGTCTATATGGGCACATGGGATCCAGGTAGTTTAGAACAGGCTGGCTAATGAAAGCCTTCTTTAACTGTTCAAAGGCCTCTTGGCATTTTGGAGTCCAGTTCCATTTTTTGTCTTTCTTTGTGAGGTCGTGTAATGGGCATGCGATAAATGAGAACTTGTCAATGAAACGCCTATAGAAGTTCCCTAGACCCAAAATAGAACAAATGTCTCGGACTGTGCATAGGACTGGCCAATCCTTGATCATGTCTACTTTTGAGTCTTCCATGGCGACATGGTCCTTCGAGATTGTATACCCTAAATAATGGAGTTTCTCCTTGTAGAACTCGCATTTCTCTGGCTTCAGATAGAGGTCATTGTCATGTAGAATTTGGAAGACTTGGTTCAGGACGTGGATGTGTTCCGCCATAGATTTTGAGAAAATGAGGATGTCATCCATATACATGGTTATTTTCCGAGCTGTGATGAGTTCTCTAAAGATCATGTTCATCATGGCTGGAAGGTGGCCGGCAAGTTGGTCAGGCCAAAAAACATCATTGTTGGTTTATAAGAACCCAGCGGAGTGATGAAGACTGCTTTCCATTCGTCTCCCTTCTTGATGCGTATATTGTTGTATTCCTATTTTACGTCCAGTTTGCTAAAAATGATGGCCCCTTTTATTACATCCAGCAGTTCTTGGATTAGTAGCAGGGGGCAGACATTCGGGACAGTGTGCAAATTTAGATGGCAATAGTTCTGTACTGGGTGCAGTTTTCCATCTTTCTTCCTTATGAAGAAAAATAGGGCTGCGGTTTGCGAAGTAGATCAATGGATGGTCCCCCTAGTGAGATGTTCCTTGATGAATTATCCAAGTTTGTCATGTTTTTCTAGGCTTAAGGCGTAAATTTTGGGTACTTGAGGTTTGAAAGTGGGTTTCAGATCAATAGCATGGTTCTAGTACATATGTTCCAGGAGTTGCTGTGACTTTCGTTTACTGAAGATGTCCAAAAATTCGTGATGCGCCTTGGGCACTCTTTCTTTTAGATTGGTGACGACGATTTCGTCTTCCAAGTCCTGGTTGAAGCTAGCAAATCCTGATGGTTCAGGGGCCAGTTTCCAAATAACTAGTTCCCCTGTGGCTGGTGTTCCTGAGGTCTTATCTAGGAGGTCAGGTTCTCCTCCGTTTAGTGAAAGAGATGGCTTGAATTTTGTTTGAGCGCATCATTTCTCTTCTGCGTATTTCTTTATGTCACATAAGAGCTATTTTTGTTTGAGGTAGGCTCGTAATTGGACACCAAACATCCCACTGTGGTTGCGGAGTCCAACATCCTTTGATATTCTTCGGGGGTGTTCTAGGCGCTGTTTTTCGTGCTTGCTGATCTGTGGATTATGCCATAGTTCCACGTTCATTAACCGCCTATTGTTTTGCAGTTCTTCCCTTACCTTAATAAACCCATGTGGTTGTTGGAATTTTTGGGGACATTGATCAAAGTGTACTTCATGTTGCCTCCACTCAATGGAAGGATTGTGGTATTTTAGCCAATCTGTTCCGAGGATAAGATCATCTTTTCCTAGATTGGAGATAAACATTTGGACGTGCTCGGTATGCGTTTGCCCATGAATGTCCCGAATTTTGAGGTTCACATCCAGAGCAGACCAGATAAGACCTGCTTTGTTGATAGTGTCATCGACGTTTTGGACGCGGATGGGATTATTAAGTGAATATGTGGGGAATTGGTGTTTCTTGACCCAGGTCTCATTCACTATGATTCCTTCACATGCTGAGTCAATGGTGGCTTTTGCTCTAGCGTTTTGATCCTGATTCGATATCTTTACGTTCAGGCGTATGGGGGTAATGATGTGATCATTCATTGCTCCAACGTAAATACATTCACCTGTGTCAAACTCGGGTCTTCCTTGACTTCTCTCCTTCGCTGGTGAGGGAGAGGTTAGGAAAAACGCTTTGTGTGTCCCAGAATTATTTCTCTTGCTTCGTCCTCCCCTAGTTCTTCGAGCACGGCTCCGATTCGAGCAGAATGACTGACATTTCTGTCCTCTCGTCGTCTGTCAGGCGATATGACACATCGCTGATGGTTTGTCGGGGGTCGTCCAGATGAGGTAGGGTACAGACGTTCCATCGAAGGACCAGGTTGTGGTACCCACTGTCGCGCTCGCACATTGTTAGGCATCAAATAGTGATGGTAGAATGGAGGGCAGAATATCTGACTAAAAGGAAGAGAAGGGAAACGACCTAGAAGGGAAAGGACATTTAATTCCGATTTTCTACATATTTTTCGAGTATTTTACCACTTAAACTTGATTTCCTATCCCTTTTCATACTTATAATTCGTTTTTGGGACAGATTCCAGAGCCTAGGGTCTATTTCAGAAAGGGCTAGACCATGGCAAGACAATAAGGAATGGAAAGAAAGCAGTGGAATCTGGTAGAATAGAGAGGAACTTTAGTGGAAGGATGGAGAATGTTTAGGAAAGGGGCAAGGTTTAGGCCATTCCAAGCTGAAAGGAGGGGAAGGTTCTGAGCAGTTCTGAAGAAAGCTGAAGGAACATTCTACCATATTCTGAGCCTTTCTTTTACTTTCCTTTCTGTTCCTCTGATTTCCTCCCTATTCTTTTTATTTCTACAGCATTCTTTGTGACTCACAATGACTCTACTCAGCCTGTATATACTAGGAAGGAGATTCCCACTTGAAATAGTATATAAGGAGGCTGATTGTCCTGCTTCAGACAGAGACCATCTCTCCCTCTTACTTTTACTCAGTCAGTCAGTGCCAGTCAATAAGTTCTTTGAGTGATATCAGTTGGAGATAAGCTGAAAGACTTGTAGGGATACTAGACGAACTAGTAGCTCGCCTTCAATCTGTGTAGCACCTCAGCAACTTGAATCACAAAGTTCTTAAGCCTCTCCTCATTATTCTCAACATTTACGGAGTATTGTCTTTGTTAGTGGTCCGGCACCACTTCAGAAATTTGCTAAATAGCTCAGGATATTCTCATCGTTGCCTATAACTGTGGCCAACATTTGTGTAACGTGCCAACACCAGAGGGTATCATCTAGAGCAGCAATCAAACGATCACTAGGTACATCCGGAAAAACAGGAAACCCCAATTGTATCTAGGAGTGAATCCATTCCTCACCACAACACCGCTGGTCATTGCGATGAGCATCCCATGCCTCCATTCTTCGATATATTCCCGCAAGGTTTCCCACAGCGGGTGTGTTGTCTTCTCCTTCCAAATCAACCACGTGGTTTCCTCTCCCTACCATACCCATGTGTCTCTTCGAGTTTCCTCAAGTTGGTTGAACACCTCTACGTGGGGATCGGCAGTCAGTGCTATAGTGTCCTAAGCGTCCGCAGTTATAAAATTTGGGTCGCTTGCTATCAAACTTCCTCTTTTGACTGTCAGCATTTCACTTCCTTGTAGTGTCGATATCCATGTCAACGACCTAGTTATTCATTTTGCGAGGGGCATTTGTGGAGTCATAGTGGAAAGCAGGCTGGGCGTGAAAGCGATTTAGATAGTCACTTCGAAAAGAGGTGAAGCTGGCAAAGATGGCCTTTTGAGCCGTTCTGGCTCTGAGCTGTCCATCTATTTTGCAGGCTGTATTGATCTAGTCCTGAATGGTGTCCTTTGGCTGTACTTCCTTGTCATATATTTTATCCATGACATGTGGGTCTAACCCGCGTTGGAAGTAAGGGACTTGCTCCTTATCAAAGATATTGGCGTCGGTGGCAATAAGGATGAATTGATTTGAGTATTTGTAAACTGTCATTCATCCTTGGGAGAAGGCCATGAGTGTGCTTTGCGCCTTATTGGTTTTGCCCGTCTCCCTGAATTGTAGTTTGAACTTTGCTAAAAAGTTTGCCTAGGTGCCTAGATCAGTGGGAGGGTCTGCTCCCACCAATTTTAGGAGGAAGTTCTCCACCCAGGCGCCTGCTGTGCTGTATCTCATACATGAAAGCACAAGGGATATTTTGTCCTGGTCAGTCTTGTATTGGTCGGACTCTGCTGCAAAAAGAAGGAGGCATTGGAGCATGAATTTCTGGGATTCAATGTGGTCGCCTGTATAATTGTCTGGGAGTTTGACCTTTCCTCTCCTGGGTTGTACTATTGTGGGAGGGATGTTTATAGAAGTCAAAGCTTGTCCCGACATGTTGGTGAGTAGTTCATTTTGGGTATTGATCAGTGTTTGGTCTGGTGATGAGTTGGAGTCTGATTGTGAGGGTGGTTCCTCTTGCTCCGAGTCTTCGGGGATTACCAGTGCCGGTTCCCTGTATTGGGGCACTAATTCCCAACGGTTCTCTGTTTTGTTCCAAAGGTTTTCCTCTTCTGTTCCATTGTCAAATGTGAAGTAATAACACCCGTTTCAGTATAAGTAGTTATCGTAATTTGGAGAGGCGATCCTATTGTTGTCTTCGTAGATCCAATAAATTCCCTCGTGCCGGATAGGGCGATTGTTGTAACGGAGTTGGTTATTTATACATCTAGTGCCAGGAGGGTATTCTTGGCCTAGGTCTTGCTCCAGGGTGTATGCAGTAACACTTCCTCAATGGGGGTCTATAGTCTTCACTGAGTAAGGTTGTGAGAGAGGGTGTGGCAGCAAGCTAGTGCAAGCAAGGTAGGGGCAGAAGAGTCTATTCTAGTGTTACAAACTGCTCGTTCGGTAACCTCAAGAGTAGGAGGTTCTTCCATAGGTCACTCGTGGAGGATGTGTGGAACGATGGTCTCAACTGTACATGTAGCACAGGAGCCAAGAGTGTATAGCGAGGGCTGCAATAGGAAGACTGCAGTATAACTAAAGAAAATTGACTGAAGACCGTCAGCCTATTTTATGGGCCTTTTATACTATTTTAGGAAATAGGGCGTGAGAATACCGTATATGTATCCATAGGTATTCTCTAAGTCATCTCTCTCAATAATGACTATATCTAGAAAACCACTCCCTTGTATTAAGCTCTAATTAGTTCTATTTATGCATAATTAAGAACGATTAGGATTAGACATTTTTAGCTTAACCCCCCTCTAAACCTGTTCTAATTAGACATAATTTTCCTAAATTAGGAATTATTAGGATGGATTATAACCTGAAATTTTGGAAAAATCATAATAAATCAAGCATCAGTGTTTTCATAGCCTTCTTATAGAGTCATGTCTATTAGAGCACTAGTTCAATACCTAAACACAGAATATACCTTATAACAAACTTGCCTTTTGCCAGGGTTGAACCAACAACCTCATGTATGCAAGCACCTGGGACAGATGCTCTAAGCCACTAAGCCACAAGGTCTAAGATATAAACTTGGTAATCTAAATAAGTAGACATAATATAGGCAACCTCAACATCTCTGATTTTATTTAACATTTATCTTTCCTCTATCTTATAAATAAATAGGTCAATAAATACCTAAAAAGTCAGGTCTTTTAGGATTTAGTTTAAACACCAGCTAAGAAGATAATAAACCAATGGAAAATCAATAATACACTTTATATAGGATAAAAATAAATTATGGCACTTATACAATTTGGACTGAGAATGTGTAAAACTATGACTGAGTGTAATATTCAATGGGACTCTACTAGTATAGACAATGCTACCTTAATTTGCAAATTTGATTGAAACATGATTATGAATAATCAAGATCCAATAAGAGAGAGGGGTTTTCCAAATAGCCACTAGTGAGGTAGAGGGTGGGGACAAGTGTATATGTATGGCATGCCTATACATAAATAAGCACAAGATTGTTGGAGGTGATCTTAATATGCTTAATGCATATATTTCCTATATGGTAGGCAAATATATTATTCTGGCACCACATACCAATATGACTGTCTTTTCCACAGCCTAATAGCTAGAGGAAAACACCAAGTTTGAGCATCTTCTGTATAACAAGGCAATAAACAATATAAATAGTGCTAAAAATTGTAATATCAATAGTGATGATGATTGTGTGCTGCACAAGACAGTATTAGCCACTATACTAATAGATAAGGTCTATAAGGCTGCATATAGCATATCCCTAAGTCCAACCCACATGTTGTGTCCTATAATGACCAGTAGCAGGCATTGGCTAATAATGACAACTTTAATGATCTTGTGTGCAAGGCCAAGATACCTAGGCCTTCATAGCCTCTTGTGGCAGCTGCCAAGCTGCCAACAAAGTGGCTGGGGGCATCAATGCACATTTCTCTCTTTCTATATCCCTTATAAAAGCAGCTGGAAAGTCAGCAAAAGAGCTACAAGATAATGGTATAGGCATATATGAAGGAGAGTAATATGCTGAAACAGTATAAAATGTGCCACATTTTTACCTTCTCACTGATAGAGCAGTAGTACTTACTATTTCCTACTAATAATTAAAGACTTCTTAGTATGGAATTAGTGCTAATATCATGAAATTAGAAACCAATACAATGCTCACAGTATGTTGCTCCCAATTAGGAAATTAGACACTTTTAGATACTATGAACACTTTTAGATACTTTTAGACACTATTAGATATAATCTGGAGCTAATACAAGGGGGTGTTTTTCCAGATGCTATCTCTAAGAAATTTAGTGAAGGCTATATTGGCTAAGATGTTGTGTTTTGACCAAGAGTGTTGAATAAGGGAAAGAAGGTCCAATAATACCATTTATATTGCCTTAACATGTATACTTGGGCTTGAATCTACAAAATTTTGGCTGAAATTGTTAAAAAGTTTGGCTGGGAGTCATACCTGTGATTTATTGTCAGATTCTACCCCCTTACTAAGATTTAGATGCCTAGATAGAGCATCAGAGTGATTTATAGACCCAGCTGTATAGGTCAATGTAAAGTTGAATCTGGTC